TCATGAACTACTCAGAAAATACTGAAAAAATATAAAAATATGAAAATGTACTACTGCAACGGGAATTCGAAACATATGCTGCTTTTAAATTTCTATGATTTTGCTGTGGTTTTGTTGAATTGCATGTGGCGTAAGTGCGAGAATGATGCTTCGTGATACAGCTAAAAAGACGGGGGAAAGGGGGCTAGCAACAGTAAGTGCAAGAGCAAATTAGTAGACTACGAGCTCAACGAGAGCGAAAAAACATTAAGAAATCCTCTTGGGCGACCTTTGCAATATGAAACATTTGACATTTTTAGCCCAAAGGGTGTTAGACCAGAAGGGCTATTAATTTTGTTTTGGCATTTTGCGTTGAAAACTTTAAATGTTGGTTCGCTTTTCAAACTGTTGCCACCAAATATTACAGCCCTGTACTATATTTAAAGAAATTAAATAATGAAGAATCTGCATAAATGTATGTATGTTTCTCGCACTGTCATGGAACGACGGTACCTAGAGCCATCAAATATTGAATAACGTATGTTTCTACCTGAATATGGGCATCTGGAAGCTCAAATTTGGAATTTGTTTTATAATCTAATTCATATTTTTTAAAACTTTAACGAATTTTTGATTAACAAACTCAAAGATTTCAAAGCGAGCGGTGGCCACACTGAAAAAAAAAAAAAAAAAAAAAAACCTCCAGCGCACGAGGCTGTGTATCGGAAATTTTAAAGATATGCTTCTTTTAAACTATTTTGCGATATTGCTACTGAACTGAATTTTATGGTTTAAGTGCGAAGAACGTGATATTTAATAAATAAAGGTAACCCACAAAACATTAAAAAAACGCCCTTGGGCGTAATTTAAAATCTGAAAGCTTTCAGATTTTAATTTAATTTAATTTATTTACTTATTTTTTCCATTGCGTCTACTCAAAAAAAAAAAAAAAAAAAAAAAAAAAAATCACAATTTAAGAGACATAAAAATCTTTCCTTTATCTTCTAAAATGTTAGAAGTTTAATTTTATAAGATGAGAGATCAGTTACTGTTTTTTAGCCCAAAAAGTCTGTTAGCTTAGAAACGCGATTTTATGTTGTTTCACTTTTCATTCGAGTGTGTTGCCATTTGAAAAAAACGTAAGATATTATTATTTCATATTTCATTTGTCTGTTACTAATTAATAAACTAAACTATCTAAAAGCAATTGATGCAATTCTTAAAAATATTATCTTTTTTTTTTTTTTTTTTTTTTTTTTTTACTTTTTAATCTGATCGATTTAAATAAAAATGCATTTAAAATATACAAAAATATATAATGTTCCCATGCTAGTCTAAATGCATATTCAGTTAGTTTCCCATAAAATATTTCGCTATTCCATCGATAGTCTCTACTGATAAACAATACTAAACATTAAAAAAGAGCCCTTTTGTGCGATCGTTATTTCTGAACACTTTCATATTTTTTCTTTTCAACGCATAAACGAAAATCTACTGTACAGTTTTCCATTTGCATTTCAAAGTTTGTTTTTTAAAGTTCAAATTCTTTACATTTTCATTTTATGTGGCACAGTACGAGCAAACATTTCTCATTATTAATAAATCTGCCGTTTTTTTAAAAATTTTTTTTCCAGAATAAGTTCACAGGTTTCGGATTGAGAACATAAAAATCCCTTCAGATATTAAACTAGAACGCTAAGATTTCAAATTACAAAATTGTTAATTAAAATGGTTTCTTCTTCCTAATGCGTTGTCTGAATTTTCAATGTAAAAAATTTTCAAAAGTAATGAAAACTTAAAAAAAAAAAAAAAAAAAAAAAAAAAAAAAATCTGATTTATTGTAACTGTTGCCTATTCTAAAAGATAAATCAGTACATGAGGTAGTTCCCTTAGAAAGTCCTCCACGAAGGCATTCCTTCCCTTAGGCAGATAGCTCTCGAGTGCTTTGCCATAATTAAATAAATTGAGTCATATCTAAAAACTAAATCCTTCTACCATGAATTATTTAATATGTGGTCAGAAGTAGCGGAGAGGATAAGGTCGTTGACTTTTAGGAGCTCAAGAGAATTCAGTCCTCGTGAATGGGCTCATTGTGTGGTGTCTTCGTGACTTTCTGTGTGACATTAATATTTTTCGACCTACCGAAGACCGAGTGGATAAGACCGTTGAACATTAGTAATTTCATATGGGTATAAATTCTGGCGAAGGGCTTTCATGGTTTTACTGTCATGTAACGTAAAAATGAGAGTTTTCCTAAAAAATCACTACCAAGGCATTCCCTTCCTTATACACCCTACAACGGCTGAGGGGTAAAAGTCGTTGAACAGTTCGGTCCAGGGCTCTAACCCAGACGAACGGTCTGGCTCTATGGTTGATTCGCGGTTTTCCTCATGTGTAACATGAATATGAGCCAGATTCTCTTAAAAAGTCACCCACGAAGACACCTTTTCTTGTAGGAAGATAACCCTCTCGTGTTTTGCCGTAATCAAATAAACCAGTCTTTAGACAGATCGCTCTAATGTAATTTCTCATAATCAAATAGTCCAGTTCGAGCCCTTTTTCCATAAAAAGTTCTTCATGAAAACATCCCTCCCCTTAAGCAGATAGCCTTCGAGTATATTGCCTTCATCAATTAACAGATTTACTATATTAAATAACCTACGTTCTTCTATTTTCAGGCATACTGACCGTATAACTGCGTTCACTGCAGAATTTCAATTAAGCTACAGTTAAAAGTTACTGCTTTTTTATTACCCTTTTTAGTTTTAGGAAAAATGTTATTATTTTGGAAAACAAAAGTCCTATGTAAATCCTGAGTACCACATAAAAAAATCCTGCAGTATCACACAGCAGTTCTGTGTAGTACTTTTTGGCTATTTTGATTTGCGAAGTTTTATTAGTGACATTCATAGATATAATATCTAGAAAATACTGACTACTCGGTATTTTGAATTTTAATTTTTGTGGTTGAGGTCAAGAATTTTTTTAAAGTTCCATCGCCAAATTATTTGGAAATAATAACAATGGTAATAAATTATTTCTTTACAGGAAAAAAAAAAAAAAAAGTATTATAAAAATAAATAAATAAATAAAATTACAAAATAAATTATTTCGTTACAGAAATAATTTGTTTTATAAATGAGTTAGTATATCTGAAATGATTAGTAGCAGTTAATGAATCCAATTAATTTAAATATCCTTTTCAATAAATACTTCAATTTGTTAACACAGGCACATCATAAACGGTTATATATAGCTCAAAAATTAATAATGCAGTGTTACATAAAGTAAAATTAGTCTTTAATTAAATTGCGATAAATTTGTACGCAGTCGTTACAGTTGGATCCATAAGTATAATTCATTTTGTGGACTTTTTTTTTTACACATAAGTAGCTCTTTATCGAAACGAATGACAATTTTACTGTAAGGTAAAATATCCTTAATGATTGACAATTTTATCGTCAGATAAAATATCCTGAATATTTTCTCTAAAAATTAGAACTGCGATTCATATATATTCCCATAGAGAGATAGTCGAAATAAAAAAGTCACATAGTATTTGAATCCACTTCTAAAAATCTTTTCATCTGAGTATTACTTCGTTAAATAACCTGTAAAAATTATACGTATCTACAATAAAAAGTATTACAAATAATTTGTTCCAAATAGGTAAGGAATAAAAATGTACCACACTGTTTCATCATCTGGTACCTTCCCCCTCCCCTACTTAAACGTTTTTTTGCATCCGCATGATGCAACGAGCAATAGAAATTTCCTGGCGCTGTGTCGCCAAAAATATGGCGATGAGCTTCTAACCGTGGCTGACGAACCCATAAGTGACTTCTCTCTCTCGGAGAACACGTGTGACCTTCAGCGCACCTTCAAGCTAAGCGTTCTCTGTTGCTATGGCGAAGTACAGAGCTGCCATTGGTGGAAAAGAGAACCACCACCCGTCGTTTTCATTGGAAGATTTTGCATCCAATCTGTACGGCTGTTCCTCAATCAGCTGTTTCTACCGTGTTTCTATGTGCCATATTTGGAACTTTTTCGCTTTATTGAATCAGTTTAATCACGGTCTGATTCACAGATAAATTTTGATCGACGTTTTCGCAGCTTCTTTTCATTCTGATAGCAGTTGCGGATCATAATTAAAAACATGTAAACAAAGATCTAATTTAAATTTACAGCCGTCACTTTTTTGGTTGGAATAATTAGAGAAATCAGTCTGGAGATGGGAATAATTAAATAAATGAAAACTAAAAATGAATGCTTATTTCTAATTTATGAAATGCGTTTATTTTAATTTATGATTCATAATATTATTTTTTTAATTGCGTACTATACAAAAAATAATTTCAACTAGGAAGAAAAGAATATTTTTTACAGCATTGTTAAGATGAAAAATGAATTTGAAAATATTGCATTTAAATATTCCGAGCAAATAAATTAACGCCTACACTTTTATAATATTTTTTCAAATATTTTGAATTTTTATTATAAAATAAAAATGATTAAAAGCTATGAATATTATTCATTACAAAAATTAAAAACCCGAAGCTTTAACTTATTAGACATTGTTCAAGAACATTTATTGTCGCTTACAGTTATAATTGCACTAACACAGTTTTATGTGCATTAAATACAATTTTATGTGTATCAAAATCTTTGAACAACGCATTAAAGGTGCGTTAAGCTGTCATAAAACTTCGTACACCGTGAAAGGAAAGTTACTAAAAAAATTGAAAACTATAATTTTAGAATCTAAATGCAAAATCAATTTAGATATTTGCAGGTATATTTCCTGACAAACAAACAGAAAAAAAAAAAAAAAAAAAAAAGAAAACAGAAAACAAAAATTTGAGTTTTACTTCGAGATAGCGAACTTCTTTTCATTGAAGAAAATGATGCAAGCATCTGTAAGCAACCTCAACAGAAGCGTCGCCAAATTGGCTTAATTTTGGCGTAGTTTCTGTAAAGAATCGAATCTTCTGGGTAACGTGAAGGGCTTTAATTCTGCAAACCTCAATACTCAGCTGTCATTCGGTCGGTGTTCGTCGTTGTGAGCTGTCGAAGAAGAAAATCGTGCTTAGGTTCCATTACCTAATTAGCCGGTGTTTCTCTTACTTCGATTCAGAGCCGCAATGTTTTGAATGAACCATTCTCTCAACTGAATGCCAACTTTTTTAAAGTTATGAGTTGGAATATTGATTTAACTAAATCTTCTCTACCTCTCACCCGTGTTTTCGACAAGTTCGGAGATATTATTTGTCAGCAGTTAAGCGAAAGTCAACTTATGAAAGTTTCCAGTGTAACCAACCCACCGATGGTCTGGAGGAGACCACACAGTGCTTTAGAAAACGAGTCAATCGACGCTTTAAAAAACAACATGAACAGTAAGTGGATAGTTGAGCTAAGATGCTCCGTTTATCTGTACTGAATTGTGTGGAATTGTAATCTTGTTTAGCATTAAATATTGTAATTTTAATTAATTTAATTAAGCAATCGCAGTTTGTCATGGAAGCTTTTATTTTAAAGTTTTTCTTTGATAACATTCATGTTAAATTATGCAAACTTAATATTCTATTTAGACAACGATCTGGCTTCAGTTATTATTAACCTTTTAATCTCTTTATTAATTTCAAAGTTAAATTGTAATATCTTGAAATTAGAAGTATTTTTTGTTAGTATAATAAATTGTAATATCTTGAAATTAGAAGTATTATTTGTTAGTATAATTCTCCGAAGTGGAGGAATGATTTTTGAGCAGACTAAAATTGCCGAATTTGTCAGAATACTGAAAAGAAATTTGCTTGCTGATCTTTATTAGTGCTAAAAGCTAGTAGCAGTTTGAAATATTCGTGTAATTTTCGGAAATAAAGATTGATTTTAATATGCATCTTATATTATGAAGTTAACCAAGTTTAGGTCGCGGTGCTAATAAACTGCGATACATGGTGTTTTAATTAATTTAGAATTGTTATAAAATAACTTAAAGATATTTGGAGTTCCTTTAGATCTCTATAAAAGTGACTTTATGATGCCACATGTCCGATCGCAAGTTTTTCATATTTTGAGTGAATTTTAACGAAAATTTATATCCTTAGTTTTGTTTAAAATTTCGAATTATTTGTATTATTTCAAGTATTGTTTCTGGTACCGGTTAATGCCGCTATCAATTGAATTTCCAGTACTTCTTTTAAAAGCGTTTTGCGTAGTTACAAGAGTTAACGAAATAAATAAATGAAATCTGTTCTGTTTTATCTAATTTTTTTCTTATTTGAGCATTTTAATATTGAACTTTTATAAATACCTTGTCCACTTTCCTTGAATGTTAACACACTCCTCCCCCCCTGCATTTCCACGTAAAATTATTGAGCGGCTTATTGATTAAACTACGAAATGCGAAATCATCGGTTTGGAGAGAATTTGGCGTGTGCAGAAAGTATATTAATCGCAGTTAATGAGCATATTTTGAGAATATGTTAGATGCCGGCTTCAGCTGTCAGCCTTTTTTCGCCGAAGTGAAGCCATCCTATGAAATCAATTTTGAAGAATCTATCAGTAACCTAGGTGCGACTTTGTTTGCCGGCGACGTTATTAGATATAATTAATTGTCATGGTTTAAACAGAGAATTAGTTTAACAAAGCTAATTATTTTAACCATTTCTTACTTTTTTTTTGGGCGGTTCATGTATTTGAAATGCTGTTGTCGCTATTGCGAATTAATAATGCAATTACAGATTAACCTTTTTTCTTGTTTTAATGTTTGTGATTTTTTATTTCATTCTCGTCGACGAGGGTTTAAGTTAATAAATTCCAAATATCCGATTGTAGGAAAGTAAGAGTTTTTTTTATTAGTGTAAAATAAGTGAAAATTTTTTAGCTTTCATAAATACGCGCATAAATACTTACCCGATTAAAAAAATATTTTATAATTTGTATTAAACCTCATATCAATTTTTAAGCAGAATCGATTCACAGTTTCTTTTGAAAGTGGTTTTCGTAACTCCTCCCCCCCCTTCTAATCAGCGCGTGTAGTCATTGTTGCTGTGCTATTTGGATTGAGGAAATGTTTTTTAAAGGAAGATACAAAAATTTGAACTCGAGCAGTTTATTTCTGAAAGCTGTATATAACAAAAATTATGAAATTGTGTTTCTGAATGCAAGAATGATTAAAAATTGTAAATTATTCCATTTTGGCAAAGTCAAACCATGAAATTTGTTAGGTTGCTCCGTTTTAAATAAAATGGTAAGTGTTGGGAATGGCATAGAAAAATAAGTATCTGCAAAGTCGAGTTGAAAAGAATTTATTATCGTCATCAATTGTACGTAAAAGGCCACTGCAAGTGGGATTTATGTATCATAAGCGAAGCCAGTGATTATAATCAGAACCAACAGGATTGCCTTTGATTTAGGTGATATTTTGCACCACATCGGAATTGGATATCGTTAGCCACTTTTTATCAGTCGTGTCTGAACTGCGTATCATTGCTGTTCAAGAGATGCGTAAGTGTTGGTAATTGCTTAATTTGCGGTAGAAAATACAAAAGCATGTTTGGGATTGCACTGGTACTGAAGTAAATGAACATCTGCCGATTTATTTTTTTTAACACCATTACGTCGCTTAATTATTATTATGCCCTTGATAGTCAGATTATAGTATTACAGTAAAATACTGCTGTTAGCGTTTATGAGCAAGAGCTGTGAATTTTACAGTTTGCCTGCGCTTCTAACATTTATTACGACTTGCCGTTCAGTAACCACCAAACCACCTGTGTCAATAGTTTGCTCCCTTTAAAATCCCGTGGTTATATTCGACATCGCGTGGCAGAAATAGATTTCAAATCTAATACCCGATTTTCTTCTAATATTTCCAATTAAGAAAAGTTATGTGCTGCATGAAAATCGGGAATGAAATCATAAACTTCAAAGAATGTGGTTTTTAAAAAAAATGAAATCCGACCATTTACGTCATTGATTTGATCAGTCACCCGTTTTCCTAAAATATCAAGATTTCTGTTCTTATTTGTAGTAAACAGGTTTGCACGAAATTTTCTCATAAAAAACATTTGCTTTGCAAAACTGTTGGGTAGTTTTCTTGGCGACAACGCAATAATTTTTAATTAATTACACCGAGTTTTAATCGAGAAAAAAAATGTATTAATGAGCTTCATTGTATCCTTCTATTAAAACCTCGATGTAGAAGTTCGTTAACCTAAAAACGAGTAAAGTGAATTTATTTAAATAATAATTCAAGCAAGAAAAGCACGCCAATTTGAGTTCAGCGTTAGCTAAATAATCTTCCGTTTGGCGTTGATTTCAGATGGAAAGTGAATGAATTTCAAGAATTTGCTTTGTCATTTTAAATGCTTTGAAATTTTCCGATTCCAAAGGTTGAAGTTTGATAATTTAAAATATTCACATCTGTTTGCATTATCTTCACTGGGAATCGTTACAAAAGCGATGATTGTAACAATAATCTTGATAAAACAAGTTTTTTTTTTGGCTTGAAGTATCAAAATCTGACGTTCTTATTAACGAACGATAAAAACTTGGTTGCCAAATCTTGGAGATAAAAACCCGATGTCTAATTGATTTCACAACTTTATGCATGCAATATAATCCTGTTTTCGCATTCACATTGCTTGCGTTGAGCATTAAAAAAAAAAAAAAAAAAAAAATCGTGTAGATGAAATTACTCTTCGCTATTTAGAAGATTAATTTTTTAACTTAATTTCGAAATGAATTTTTGTTGCAGTTAGTATCACTTTGATTCATAAGTAAAATAAATGTTGACCGGTAAGTGAGTAAAATAATTTAAGGGGATAAAAGTCTAGTTTTTGAAAGAAGGAAACTGCAGAATTTTAAGTGTTCCTTCTGGTATATTGTATGTCTTTCAAGGACCAACGCAATTTTGTTTTTTAATTTATTTATTATTATTTTTTATACTTAGGCAATATTTTGTATATTCCAATATCAATGTATGTATTTACCATATTTTAAATGAAAATGATTAATCATTTCAATGAACAGATTTATGTATTTTAAAACCTTCAATAAACTAATTTTGTTAATCTATTGAACCCAGTTATGGCAAAATTTTCGCGATATTGCAAATTAATATACTTTTCAATACTTAGTAAAATCTTTTGATTATATTTTAGTAATACGTTTAGTATATTTTGACGTAAGTCTTCAACAAGGTTATTTTCAATTTTCGGACCCAGGTCAAGTGATTAAAACCACGAAACAGCGCTAATTAGTATCAAACTGGTAGCAATTTGATGGCAACCAATTTGATACCAAGCTAATAAAGGAAATATTGTATGGTTTTGTCATGCTTAGCATACGAATGTAAATCAGCTTACTAGAAAAATGTTTTTCCTATTCTTGAGTGTATTAAGGCCATTAACGTCCCAATTCTTTCATCATCCCAGATTCGACCCCGGTAAACTGGCTGGTTGTATGCACTGCATTGAAGACAATCAGATAAATCTAAGGCCCATCAGCGGCGAGAAGTCGCTGAACACTGGTAGTTCGGTCCGAGGTTCGAATCCCGCTAACGGGCTGGCTGCATGTGCGTTTTCGTGGTTTTCCCCATGTTGTGAATACGAGCCAGATTCCTTTAGAAAGTCCTCGGTGAAGGCATCCCTCCTCATAGGCACATAGCCCTCAAGGCTTTACCGTAATCATAGTCACATCACTGATATAACGTTGTGTCTTCTTTGCCGAAGCAATTAAGCCGCCCTTAAAAAATCTGAATATGAAAACGTGTATCCCTTTGGCTAGCTAATTCTAATTTGAAGTTACTAACCGATTACATTGAAACATTTCAAGTACTCTTCTCAGTGTTGCCAACTTTTAATTAATTGCCTATAAAGGAGACATGAAAAATACGTGCAGCCAGCCTTGAGGAGAACATGGAACGCATCTGTAATGTTCTGTAACCCGGTCTGTCGAAAAATACAAAATCAACGTAAAATGGTTTTTGGAAGTTTTCGCATTTCCAGCAGAATGAAGGTTCATTTCAACTGATTCAACACCGTGGCCTGCGAGGTCGCGTTAAGAAAGAAACAAAGGTGGGTTTGAAATGAGTTGAGAACCTTGTCAATCTCATTCTGGAAATGCGCAATTTTAAAGCGATTATTCGGCGGATTGTACAACCCAATTCGTGCCTCCTTGCTTTGGCTTTCAATTTTGCTGTTGCATATGGTACACCCAAAGTTTTTGTTTCTATTGTAAAGTAGTAGTTTTAATGTCTCTTTTCAGCGGACTTTCAGAGGCGAGTTTTGTATTGCTTCTCGGCCTATTTTTTTGTATTCTTTTCTTTTTAAAATAGGCAGCGTAACGTTTTCAGCCATGTTTGCTGGAAACAATTTTATTTCGTCTTTAATTAGCGCTTTAGCAAGTCATTTATGCAGTTAACAGTTAATGTCATCGAGTTTCGCGATAAAATAATCAAATAAAATCAACCAGTGTTTTTAACCAGCCTTTTTTTAAAGAAATTTTAGTGCTAGCTAAGGATTACGTGTTTGTAATCAACGACTGTCGAAAATAGTCGTAGTTTTGGATATTTGTAAAAAGAAATATTTTCTTGAAAGTAAAAGTATCTCATTTGAAATTTACCTTTATAATTCCGTTCTTTTGAATTTTAAACTTAAATCACAGTATGTCATTCTTTAGAAGATATTAGAAGAATAGTTAACGCTTCTACACCCTTTTTTCTTTTAATTTTGTAACAAAATTTTATTTTCTAAATTTCGAAAATTCATAAAATAAATGGTCCAAAATACCAAGTTTTATCTGAAAAAAAAAAATACTCTGCATTAATCGTGTTATCCGAGTGTATTTTTATCTGATAATTTCAAGATGCCTGTTAGGGAGGGAGGGAAGAAGATATGACCCCCCCCCCGACAAAAATCTGATGAATTTCTTCTAAGTCAAATGAAGTGGCTCACGAAGTGTTTTTTTCGTGTGTCTTTTGTCACATGCCTGTTGCTGGAGGGGATTGGATGTTCGAAATCAAAACACGATAAAAAAAACACCCATCCACATATATTGAAGCTGGATTGTATTAATAGAAGCAGTCCTCACTGTTTTTTATTTGGCCTTCCGCCCATGGTTCTGTTTCAAGGCTGTTGAAGATTTCGCTTCCTCCCCGATCTGGCTAAAAGCGGTTTCAACCTCTTACCACACGCACTTGCCTAATGAAGTTGTCAACAAGATCTGTTATCATTTGGAAGAAACTTTTATGCAATCGGAAAAATATTCTTTGGAGGTTGTTGCTACGAGGTTCTGTATGTCAGTCAGCGCACCGAGTTTTTGCAGTGCAATTGGAAAAAATATCTGTGAATCTATTTTAATTAATTGAAAGCGTAAGTACAGAGGCGTAGCTAGGGTTTTCAGCGCCCGGGGACTACTGAGGATTTTGCGCCCCTCTCTGTGTGCCACGAATGGAAAACATTTCCTTCTAGAATTTCGTACCATCAATTTGGCGCCCCCTGGATGCTGCGCCCGGGGACAGATGTCCCCCTTTGGCCCACCCTAGCTACGCCACTGCGTAAGTGGTATTATGAGCTCATACTTGTATAGAAATAGGTACTTTACAGTGTTGTTGTATTCATTAAAATTTGACTGGTTAATTTTCAGAAAATTGATTTTAAATCTCATTGAGTGGCACTTTTTAGTATTTGATTATAAAGTCTAATGAGAGATTATAACTTTGTGCTTTGTACTATGTTTGTAGAAAATATTTGTCCAATTGATATTTAGAAAATATGGTTTAATTACTTTCTAGTCACATTTGCATTAGATTTATCTTTTAAGTATTTCATAGTGGCTGTGTTTAATAGCACACATTTTAAGTAAATTACCCTTCTATGTAGTTCATATTATCATTTCAGCATTTTTCTTATTAGATCATTGGCATTATTTTGAAGATAAATGCTAGACAGTTGAATAAAAGTTTCTCAATGAGATTGTAATATTAGCTGGACATTTTTCATTATAATGGAATTTAGAGACTTGAAAATAAACCTACTGCTTAAATCACAGCTAAATAGAATGGTGGATGTTATTTTTTATATGGATGAAAATTTAAGTGTAAAATTATAGCTTGAATGTTTTACTTATTCATTATTTGTTATGATTTAGGTGTTCTATACTTTTCTGATGAAGATGAGCCATCTGAAAGGCTGATGGCTTGCCAAGCTTTGGTGGAACGGCTGGAACAAGCCCTTCGTGAGGCCAAACTGCTTCACCTGCAGTGCGGGGAAGTACTTTTGCCACATGACCTGATTTGGAGGATTGCTGACCAAGTGGTGACAGCTTCAGAGTATGAACCATGTGGCCTAAGGGGTTGTCTAATATATATTCATCTTCAAGTAAGCAAATTTTTGTTAATATTTTTAAGTTTTGTATATATATGGATTTGGGGTTAGTTATTTGTATAGTTGGGATAAAAAGCATTTAATAAAATTCGCCAGTGGAATTGTTTGCCTTTTGGTGAAGTCATCACTTTATTAATTTCATAATTATTATTTATAGTAATAATTAATATAATTTCATAATTTATTAGGAATATTTTTGGGGCAATTAAAAGTAGCAAGTTAAAAGTAATTTTCTTCAGAATAAAAGTAATTGAAGCCGAAATTTTGAGCTTTTAGTAGTTTGGTATATTTGAAATAAGAAATATGCAATTTTTGCATTATGGTGAAACTGCCATCTTTTTCATCATCAAGGAAAAAAGTATTTAAAGCAGCGTTTTGTAAAAATGATAGTGGCAAAATCTGGAACAAAATTCTTGTGTATTATAAATACATACAGTAATATTTGTGGGTGTTTAAAAGTTTAACTTTTCAGACACTTGAAACATGTTGTTGCATAGTTTCGTCGTTTTTAGAATATTGAACATGAAGAATTGTTACTCTTTTGCAGTTCTTGCCCTTATTTATTTTTCATATTACTTTACTCAATATCCTGCAAGCTGTCTCTTCTATTGTAATTTATTTAGAATTTTCTGTTAACTCCACTATACTGGCCAGTTATTTCATGTGAGAGTTTTTGTTTATCCATAATTTTGGTGGACTGACCTTATAAAAAAAATCATGTGGGGAATTTGCCACTATATAAGATATATTGTTTTTAAATCCCTTGCAGAAATCATATTGAAAAATATACAGTTTATTTATATGTTTTAAAGAGTTAATCTAAAAGTTAAGTTATATTGATGGCTATGATATTTGGCAATAAACATTTATCTGGTGGAATAAAGGAAAAATTAGACTAAAGTAGCTTGTTTAATGTAGAGCTTGTAGAGTATAATATGTGCTTATCAATTTTTTTTTTATTACAGGATGTTAAAAAACTGGAACGGAGAAGAGTAGGGGTAGTGAAATGGGACCCAAACACAGTGGCAACTTTTGAAATCCACCTTACGCTCTTTCAAGATAACAGTAGCTGGTGGAGTCTTAGGCATCTCATTCCCGAAAAACTTCTTCAGAGCTTGGGCAAGCGTTCCAGTCTTGTCATCAGCAGTCATTTCCTCTTGGACAAAAAGAAGCTTTACCGGTCCTCCAGTCAGTGAATGCTTGTTGGACATTTTTCTTTCTCTTTTGAGTTTGTAGTTAATGTCTTTTTATGGCAGCATCTCGTGATTGTTTTGGTCTACGCACCCCTCAACTTTCAGTGAGCCTCCCTACTTTTATTGGGAAAATGTTAGTCTAACTTGCACCATTCATGAAGTAGGTAATTATCTAGATTGCATGTGAATAAATTAATCTGTTTGAACGTTGATGATTTCATTATGCCTTTCAATAGATATCTTGCATATGATTTAAACCTGCAGCATTATTTCACCTAAACTATGGATAGCAAATGGGACTTAAGCATTCTTTTTTAAAAAATTCAGTTATTAATCTAAATGGAAATTTAATAGTGTATTTGCATAAATACTTAGATAATATTTAGTTTCTCGAGGCAGGTGATAAAATTTTGCTGAATTATAAGATGTTTTCATTAAAAATGGCACTGTTCCTAATTATTATAATTCAGTATGTATTCCAAGGTCATGGGGTGCGTTAACCGGTGCGAGGAATTTGCTGCTAATCATTGATGCTTAGTACCTGTGGCTGCTGCTGGATGGCACCACTGTACATCTACATATTTAGTAACTGTCTGTGATAGGTACAAACTTCTTTCTTTGTTCATAGGACACTTGAAATAATATTTTACCTTTATGCCAACTTTTCCACTGCTGTAAATTACTAAATTACGAGGCTTGATGATAAGATGACCTATGCAGTGATTGCATAGCAAGTGGCATGACTTCGCATGGTTAAGGAAAATCTGTTTTTCTTGTGGTTTTTTTTATGTGCCATCACACAAATGTTTAAAAGCCTTAATCAATTGTTTTTTTCCTTTTCAACTATAAAAAGTAACGAAGTGGATTCGTTTTTTTTTTTAAAGCCACAAGTGATACTTGTTAACGCACAATTTAAGCTTTCCCGGTTTATTAATTCTCAGCATGTGGAAGTGTTGTGCCTTTTAATTAAAATCCATGCATCTATTAAATACTCAAATATTTGTGTAAATGGAACTTAAGGAAGAACAATGCATTGTCTTAATTGTATATTTTTTTAACTAGAAAAAAGAATAGTTTTCCCCCTTGGCATTATGTATAAAATTTGCATTTTCTATTATCATTGCTGAAATTGTGAATTGGAATAAATACTTTCAAAAATGTAGCTTTAGTATGCATATTTGAACTTGATACTCTTCTAGAATATAAAATATAATTCTTCTTTATTTGTATATAAAAAACTGATAAAATTATTGAAAAAAAATTTATTTGCATGGATCATAAATACTGGCTAAATTTATGTATGAAAATACTATGCAATAATGCTTCCAGATGATTTTGTGATTCCTTCTAATCAGTTCTATAGAAGTATGCTCACTAGAAATGTTTCAAACAAAAAGTGATTAAAAATAATCTGTGAATCCTTTTTAAACACAATGTGATAAAATTTTATCATTGGAAGTTCAATTGAGTATTTTCATTGTTGAGTGTAAAGTGAGTGAACTGAGAATTATGTGGTGGAAATCTTAAGTATGTATGCATGGAATTTTTTAGCTATTTTTAATGTCTATATAATTTTTAATGCTCTTTATGCACTGTATGAAAAAGCCCTGCCTCTGTTGTTTGCAGACTTGAATGCAGTGTTCCACTGGAAAATTTTCTAGGTTAAAATTTGTTATTGCATAAAATAAGTTTACGCTGTTTTGTTTTTAAAATTTAATAACTTATAAAGTTTTGATAAAAACATTTACAAAAATTGATTCAAATTTCAATATTTGAAAATTTTATTTAGTTATTTCCTTAGAAAAATGAATTCTATATGTTCAATAAAAATCTATTTGGAACACTGAATTTACAGCAGTTGCACTTTTGAAGCCATCTTGCTTCCACCTTTTGTGTCAGCTTCACCTAGATTAGAGAACACATGTTTGTAATTTTTCTAAGTGTTTTCCAAGTTTGATATTTAGTGTTTTGAATTTAATGCATTAACTCAAATAATAAAAACAATACTGTATTAACATATTGGCCCATACATACCGTTTTTGAGATTGGCTTATAAAAATATTTGTTGAAAATGTTTTTTTAGAATCTTGTTCTTTTTTTGGAGAGAATTCAGCGATATGCGAATTACTTTGCAGTATTTGGTTAATCCATTCAAGTTTAATTTCATTAAATATTTTTATAGCTTTTGTAATCTTACATTGAGTTTTTCCGATACCAGAAATATTATAAAAGAACATTTAACTTAAACTAAATTTTTTTATTAATATATTTCATGCTTATTAAGGCCAGTACAGTAAATCATTTTGCTTTTCAGACCATTTAACATATTCTTATATTAAATATTTTACGAATAAAATCCCATGAGTGGCATTCTAAAAAACATTCTGTGATCTTGCTCATTGTGTCATGTAGTCAAATGAAGAAGCATGTTTTGTAAATGCTCTAAAATGTTTTGAGGTGAACTGGAGGGGGAGGCATTTCTTGGCTTATTTATGCTAACTTCCGTCACATCTAAAATTGTACTAGTCAACATGATCTCTTTTTATACACTGCTGTAAAATTTTCCTTAGATTTTGCTTTTCAGTTTATGCTTTTTAAAGGAAAATAAGTCAAATGTTTCTGCTCTATAATTATTATTCTTACTTCCCAGCGAAAATTCATAACATTTGTTTTAATCATTCCTAAGTTCTTTCAGTTTTATGTACTACTATAATCAACTAGTTTAGACAAGAAAAGAGGTTGTGTACTTGTGTAGATTTTTTCAGGTATTATACTGTTTAGTAGGTTTAGTCGTTATAATCCAATTTTTGAAACCAAAGCTCTGAGTGTTGCATGTGTATTCATGAGGTGTTCAGGAAAATACATCATTGTATTTTTTGTTCTGTTGGCTAAAAATGCTTGGAAATTTGTGCTTGTATGTGAACAAGATGTGGATGAACAACTTTTTGTATGTGTGTTTTATATTTTATAAGAAAAATAAATAAAAAAATTATTTCGAATTTGTGTGTGTTTTATTTGCATTTATTGTTACTTAATCGATAGCATTGATATATTTGAAAACAGAGTTAAACTGACATGGTAAATTTCAGAAAAAGTGATCTGAAATTTTACCATTCAATGTCTGAATAAAATTGCTTGAAATCTAAGTAAATTATATGCAATATTTTAATACTTTTATTTCAGATTTAAATGCATGTATGATAATGGATTTGAAAAAAAAAAAAAAAAAAAAGCTGCTTTTGCTTTGAGACTAATGCAAATCGGTTTTTGGAAATTGGAAAATTTTTTTCAAATTTGCGTATTTTTTTTTTTACAGAAATAGACCATGTGTTTTGTGTTAAGTATAGACCCTTGAATGTTTAGAAATTACTACTTTTATCATCTTAATCTTATCTATTAGATATCAAAAAGTACTCTTCAAACTATTGGAACAATAACAATTATTTACAAATATGATTTATAGAAAGAAATATGAAATGTCAGGATTGAAATTCAATTTAAAACTACAGTCAAAAGTCGTTAATCCGGACTCGTCGGGACTTCGGCGATTCCGGATTATCGATTTTTCTGGATTATAGATCATCAGTTTAAATCTCTTAAGATGGCATGCAGAAATTCTAAAATTAAAAATATGAAACCGTAATTTATGAAATAAAGAACAATTATGATCTAAAGGGTATCAAAATTTGCAAAAAGAAAATATTTATTTGTTTACTTTATTAAACATTTCTTTTAATGTAAGTTATTTAAGTTTTGTTTCGTTTCATGTGATAATACTTTCTCTTTAATTCTATTAAACAGACATAATTTCTGTTCAGTTACAAAGTCCCGCTGTTCAAGTCCTATTATTGCTGTGTCGAGAACACCGACTAATTTGTCAATCGAAATTTTTTCGTTTTCAATAACCTCTGTTACTTTCTTCGCTATCGGAAGCGAATTATAATGACGAGGAACTTGTTTTAAATCATATCAAAGATGGAGCATATCGAGATGAAATACTACATTTGGTAAGGAATTATAAGCCAAATAAAATAAAAACATCTGCGCTGAAGATAAGGATACTGCTGACAGATCAACTTCCAATTCATTACGCGCCCGCCGCGGCGTTCCCCCCGCCGAGCAGCGTGAAATTGATAAACAGATTTCGGATTTCAAAACATACTTTCGCTTAGATCCTTTACATATTAACAAATATATATCGGAAATTCTATTTGATATAATCGAAAGTTTAAGCTTACTTTTTATAAAATTGCTCTACAGTCTGCAAAAAATAATAAAGCCGGATCCAATTCGAAAATTAAGGAACAACGCAATCATCAACATTAACTGAAATAGATAATTTTTAGCTTATACGTCCATTAACTAAACTGCGCCGCGAAACGTATTCTGCACTTGCGCCACTCATATGCGCAGTTCGTAAAAGGTCTTACGCGCACGCGTAAACGCCTATGCGCATGTGTCAACGCGGCGCATGCGCAGAAATTTTTAGTTTTGAGGTCCGGATTATAGATTATTCCGAATTATGGGTGTCCGAATTAACGACTTTTGACTGTATATAAATTTTAATTTAAGAACCAGCATTTCTGAATTTCCTAGGATCCTGGTATTGTGTGAATAATTATTGGATCATATAACCAAAGTTTAATGCAAAAAGATACTGCGAGTAAGTAGTGTGGAATTGCAATAATGGAGAATGTATTTATTACTGATTCCTTTTGGATTTTTTAAAAACAGACATTACTGAATGGCAGGTAGTACAGATATCTATTAAATACCGTATGCTTAAAAACTTCTTTAGCACAAACAAAATCAATTAACTACTTAGTTGTCTAAAACTATTAACCATGTTAGAATATTAAGCTTAAAACTGCTCTTTGCATTTAGACAGCTATTTCAAGAAATGAAGTAACCTCCTGTAGCTGCGGATGAAACAATAGGTCAGAAAAGGCGAATCAGGAAACCATTACAAGTTTAAAGAGCTTTGATGAAAAAATATCATAAATAATTAGAATAAACAAAGATTTTTATGATAGGAAAAGAAAATGAAGGGCATATTATCAGTAATGTCACAGTATATAGAATTTGTTTTTATCCACAATTATCTAATTTAATTATAATTTGGAAAATATGAACATAAAGTCATTCATTAAAAATAAGTGTGAGTCTTCTGTTTCCCATTGAAATATAACAGTAAATTAAATACCGGTTTTTTCTGTTTTGAATGTTAATTTAGTTTTCCAAAATAAATTTCTCCAGGTGTAAATTATTATAACTCAAAGGTATTAGTCAATGGCATTTTGCTTCACTTTCACTCCTTTCACTTTTGCCTTAATTCACTATCACCAAATATTAGAGCCCTGCATTATATTTAAAGGAATTGAAGAATCTACATGAATGTTTCTCGCATTGTGAAAAAACAACGGTATCTAGAGCCATCAAATCTCCAGCACGCAAGATTGTATCAAATTCTAAAAATATGCTGTTTTTAAATATTTTGTGATATTGCAGTTGAATTTTATGTAGTTTAAGTGCGAAGAACGTGATATTTAACAAACAAAACTTAAAAAAAAGCCCTTTTGGTCATGGTATAAAATCTGAAAGCTTTTGATTTTTTTTTTAATATGGATTATTCCTATTTATTGGGTTTCTAATTGCTGCTGGATTAATTATAGTAGTATCTTGATTAACTAGGCATCTGCTGCAATATAGAAAACTACAGTTTTTATCTTTAACAAATCAAAATTTGATTTAACTGAGTTCTTGGTTATTTGGGAATCTGAATTCGTTTGTATTAAGCATGCCAAGTATTAATTTTGAAATCGGCTGCCAATAAGTATTCGTCAAACCATTTTTTTAAAAATATGAGATAGCAAAACATTGTTATGGATTACAATTGTATAAATTAGGTATGAACAGATTTTTAGATAAAGTAGACTGCAGTTGAAAATATTTCACACTTAAAAATAATTTAAACACTACATATATAATGAAAACTGTGTTTTATTGAAAAACAATATTACAAATGATTATGCAGTACATATACATACAAAATCAGCTCCCAGAGCCATAAGTGTATAAAGTAAGAAAATAGAACTCTGCCTATAAAAAATTTGCAGCTATAAATTCCCAACCATTATGTAAAAAGCTTCTTAATCATAAATTTTAACCTTTTTGTAATTCAATTTACTAATAAATGAGTTGAATAGAAGGCACGAGAACAGAATTAAAGAAGCAGAATTGTAAGGTGAATAGAAGAAATTTGGATATTTTTGTTCTTAAACAAAACTGAATTTGATGCAAGTAGTATTGAATCTTACTACAGTTTTTCTTTACAGGACATGAAGTAATATACATGCATCAGCCAACTGAAAGCAACTATTATCAAAAAACCACAAATAGTTATTGCTTGCCTTTACTATCCTTTCTAATATTTAACTAAAAAAATGGCAAAAATGAATGCTTTTTTTTTTTTTAATAAGTCACCTTCATACAACAAATTTTTCATGCAGTTAAAGCAATACTGTGATGTTTAACATGTATTTATTATACAAACAAAATGAATTACTATAAATATGGTTCTTTAAATATTCATGGCTATTATATGGAACATAAGCATTGAATGATCTACTTTGGAGATTTAAGAAAAAAAAAAAAAAAAAAAAAAAAAAAAAAATATGAAGACGAAGAACCATTAAGTACAGAAATATACAACGAAGGAAGTAAATAAATAAGTACTTCCTTTCTTTTTATTTAGTTTTCCTCCCAATATAAAATTATACCGCTGTATCAGCAGATCCTTTTTTAGTACCATGAAAGCTAATTATAAAAATTAATAGAAAATCCAATTTTTAAATATATATGTACAATTTTATAGGGTATACATAATTAGCTCATCTTAAATTCATCTAATGAGCTCATCTTAAATTTTAAGCTATTTTTATTAGAAATATTAATGACACTTGTTAATTTTAAAATTAATGTACATAAAAAGACAAATTTCTTATTTTATACAAAAATTACAATTTGTTGTAAAAGTATGATGGAAATATTCAAATTAAAGGACAAAATATATTTTACAATGTGTAAATTAAATATTTAATAATTTCTCACTTTTTAAGTAGAAAATTGATTTCTTTATATTAAAATTGCTGAGATTTTTAGAATACAGTGTGCTTTGAAATATTTTTGAAATTTTAAAAGTGTTTTTGAAATTTCAGGTACACAGTTTTGACTGTCATTTTTTATTTTACCTGAATAAAATCACTTCTCTTGAAAAATTATTCCCTCTTCTCCTTCTCTTAAGAGTAAAAAAAATAATCAACAATTAAAAATATTTCTTAAAATGTTCAAGCTAAATATATAGTTAAAAAGATAAAAAAATTCTGAAATTGTATAGCTCTGAACAGTTAACCATGCTATTCTTACCTAAGTTCAGATGCACTCATATCGAAAATGCACACAATAGTAATCATTTTTCAGCAGTCTCCCAAGTGAAACTGTGTTTTACCACAATTTGATTGATTTAATTAAAAAAAGGAAATTATTAAACATAATTCATGATTTTACACTTGATGAATATGATAAGTATGCAGTGAAAATGTATATCTGAATTGCCATGGAAATTAATCCTTCAATACAGATTCCATTTTCATGAACAGCCATATTATTCTCTGTTTATACTTCACATATTCCAGATACGAATGATATGCAGTTTACAAAAACACATAGTTATGATGCTTTTTCACAGTTCTGATGTTTCCAAGTTCGTTATATGTGGTGGGGTGATTAACTTTGGAATCTGTTCATAACTGTAAACTGCATTACATTTATTTAAATCATTCTGGCGTTTTGTATCTATAGAGTCATGAGAAAGTAAGCCAGAGCTTGTATCATCCGAGTCTATGATATGGCTGCCATTTTTAATCGGTTTATTATTGTGGTTTAGTGGTGCGATTAACTTGGCAGGTGGTATATTTTTACCACCATAATTTGGGTGTCTTGGGGCAGGACCCCGAATTCCATTTTTCACTGGTTGAGAGTAGTTATTATCCGAATTATTACGAAGTGTCTGTTGGTTGCAGATTCCAGTACCAGTCTTTGAATGTTCATTTGGGGCACTAACTTCAGAAATTGCATTTTCATCCAAAGAATTGTTGTCCCCAGAGTTGTGGCTGTTAAAAGGAAGAAAAAGGTTTCAGTACATTAAAAAAAAACTTTTTCATATTTCTGTCAATTTATGAAAATTTCAAACTTTGAAAAAACAAGAAAAAAAAAAAAAAAAAAAAAAAAAAATACTTTTCACTAACCACATGGATTGCTGTTTTTGTTTAAATTTATTATAAATAAGATAATTTGTGAAGAATATAAAACATTGATTTTTAGTTTGATTTTATGACAGAACAATTTCAGTAAATTTCCTAAAGAGGTGAATACCTGTAAGCATTATATATATATGTAATGATATAGAAATATGGATTGCTATAACAATCATTACACACACACACCTAATAATGTACATAAATAATACACACCATAAATACACATATAATAATAATAACCACACATAAATTATATATATATATATAGTTAATTTTTAAAGTCCTTTTTAAAAATTGGCTATTTGTTTCATGTGAATAAAGATGTTCTGTCACCTAGAGCAAAATGAAGATTTTATTAATAAATTCTGAACAATAAAAATGTTTCTTACCTTATTTGTTCATCTTCCTTATACCATTCATTATCGTATGAATGCATCCAAATTGGGTTAGATCTGGAAGAAGAGAAAGCAAAATAATTTTTATTCATCATAATTTGAAAAGTTATAAACATCTTAGAAAATGCTTTTAATTTTGTTCCATATCACAATATGTATTTAAAACAAATAATTTTGATTTCTTTCAAAATTATTTGATTAATAGAGTAAATGCTGTTAGTGATCTGAAAGAAGATGACAAACAAAACAAAAATTTAAGTGCATCAGAATGTTAACAGATACATAATAATAATAATAATAATAATAACAAAAAGATTTTAAAAAGTGTTGGAAAATTTGCATTCTTCCTTGCATCTGTGCAATGCTGAAAAGGATAAGAAGTGCTATATAATTCTGAAGTAGAAGCCAATACTGTATATTGTCCTGATGTGGCTGTCAGTGAGAATGTAGTTGCTTGCTAAGTTCTTTTATAATAATTTAAAAGGCAAAAAGCAAAAGCAAGAATAAATTTTTTTCCATATATAACATTTTTATTATTCTTTTGTAGCCCTCACTAACTCCTTACTGATTTCATGCATGACAACACTTTCATGCATGAAAACTAAACTGAAACTATAGGTGAAGTGAAAGTAGTACTTTAATATCTAGTAGAAGCAGTTGTAGTTATTATGACCAATAATAATTGTTGCCTACATCACCGCCTACCATAACAAAGTTACGTTACTCTGAACATGGTGGGAGAGATACAAATATCTTTACAATACACTGATACAAATAATAAGTGAAATTATGTCCACAGAAAAACATATTAAGTTTTAATTAATATGAAAGTTATAAGTTCAGAAGAGTCAATAACGTCATTGAAACAACTGGAAGTTTTACTTGTCTTCCACAGCTTAATTTTTTTTTTAGGTTGTTCTAGTTGCTGACTTGGCATGATGTTTGCTTACTTGGCACAGATGTATGATCACTTTTGAAGTTGGAGACAAAAGTTCATTAGGTTGTAACACATAAGCTGGTTTTAACCTATCCACAGAGATACTAACTTGTTTATTTTTAATTGATAGAAGAAATATTTCGGGTCTTTGCAGTACCAAAATGGTCCTTCATATGGGGGCTTCAAAGTTTTTTTACTCTGTCAACCCGCAGAAACATGCGAGCATGTGTACAATCTTTGGGATGAAAATCTTTTGTTTACATTCAGATTTGATTGAAAGGCTTCAAGAGGCCATCTGATTTCGAAGATTACTTACAAAATTATCATTAGATATGGCATGTTTGATTCTTCAAAGAATTCCCAATTGGTTTTGCCATAAACCATTTCAGCTATTGTATACTTACAGTCCTCATGTAGAGTAGCTCGCAAACCCATAAGAACTGTTGGTAATATTTCTGCCCAATGAAGAGAGCTGTGACATCTAATAACTGTTTTTAAAGTATGGTGTAGATGCTCAATTTTGCCATTACTTTGAGGATGGTAAGAGATTGTATGGTTTACTTTTACACCGCATAGTGAGGCCGAATTTCAAAGTAGTTCTGAAATAAATGGAGTTCCTCTGTCAATAATAACACAAGAAGGGACACCAAATCTGGTTATCCACTGCTCATAAAAGGCTCTTGCTATATTTTCTGCAGTGATATTTGATTACAGTACCACTTCCATCCAAGAGCTAAACCAATCAATACACATCAAACAGCATGTGTATCCATTAGAAGGTGAATAAAGCCCAATTAAATCAATATTCTTGTCTGGTGCTAGATTTTGAGAATATTCTGATTTTGTATGTTTAGTTACTTAATTTTTCTGACAATCAATAAAAGTTTAGGCCCACTGTTTAACATCTCTTTTTATATCTGGCCAAATGAATATTTTGGTAATTTCTTTTACAGTACTTTGGATTCCCAGATGAGCTAAGCCATGAACTGTATTAAATATTTTCATCCAAAAATATTTAGGTATGAATGGTCTGATATTGGAAGTAGAGTTATCGCAATATAAGAGTTTTCCTTATGCTAATTGGTGCTGTTAATATGCAGCGATTTGGAATGTATTTTCAACTGTTGCAGTTCAACATCATTAATTTGTGCGTCTGCTATCAAGTCAAAATCAACAACGGGTGAATCGATGTCCTCAATTCTAGATAGCCTGTCTGCAACCACATTGTATTGACCACTTGTATGGTGTAGGTTAGTAGAGAATTGTGAGATATATTGTAGTAGTTGTCTGGGAGAGGCTTTGTTATTATTTTGTTTAAAAGCAAATGCTAAGGGCTTGTGGTCCGTATAAATAGTAAAATCGCAGCCTTCAAGTAAATGTAAATGTTAATGTTTAATGATAAATATATACTCAAACGTTTGCGATCGTAAGTGCTATAATTTTTCTGGGCATCAGTAAGCTTTTTGGAAAAAAATGCAATAGGCTTCCATACATTTGGTTCTTTTTGTTGAATAACTGATCCAATAGCCAAATCGGATGCATCTGTGAGAAGTGACAGAGGGTAGTCCGAATTGGGGTCAGCCATCAATGGTACTTGAGCAATATCTTGTTACATTTTTCAAAACTTTTCCTGGTTTCATCAGTCCATAGTATTTTACGTCGATCTTTTTTTGTCGATTTTATGCATGACAACACTTTGAAAACTAAACTGAAACTATAGGTGAAGTGAAAGTAGTAGTTATTATCTAGTAGAAGTAGTTGTAGTTATTATAACTAATAATAATTGTTGCCTACAAGGTTATCGATGTGGCTGTAGCCATGATCTTTCCCAGCATGTGCAGCAATGTAATGCATGGAAGTCTGACATCAAATATAGCTCTCAAAGAAGCAACAGGAATTAGGAATGCAGTAGACTATGATATTCAATTCCCCATCTGTTTTTACTACGAAGTAAAGCATCTACTCATAGCCATGTGTATCTGCCAACCTAATGTAATGGAAAAGTAAAACCCAAATAGTATGATACAGCAGTTATAGTTGTGAAGTTATCCCCTTTTATCCATGTTTTTCTCTCTTATGTAACAGGTTGACATGTCATGTTCATCTGTTTTGTTAAGTTCAAAGAAAACACCAATTAAAAAGCTTTTATTTCGCCAATATTTAATATGCTGCTTTGGTAGGCTGCAATGTATTCTATTCTGCAACAATTTTTAAATGAACTCCATGAGTTTTAAGAGCTATGAATTACACAACAGAAATCAGAAACTACGTATAATGAATAGGCTGAAACAGCTTATAGTAACCCTTGCCGAATGGGGGGTTATGTCATTAATACACTGCACATATGGCAAAATTGGGTTTCACAAAGTCCACTTTCTATGGAAAAAATAGGTTAGGTATAGTTCAGATTAAGGAAGTATATATAATTTATACAAACCTAAATATTATTGTAATTAAAAGGGAAAAATTAAACAAATGTTAACTGAAGAGATTTCTATTACTGTTAAATAAGTAGGTATATGATACAATTATTTTTTTAAATAGATGGTGATTTTTGTTTGGGACAATGTCTGATGCAACTCGTTAAACATTTTGCAGTAAGGAATGCAACGTTTTCCAGTACCTCTTATAAAGTAACCTCTTCTTTCTTCATTTGGGTCAATTTCCATTACAAAATCAGACAGTTCCAGTGCCTTTCTTAAAAATTTGTTTAAATTCTTGTAAGTTACAGTTTCATGATCTTTTTCACTAAAGCTGCTTTCAATGTCTGCTAGTGTTATAAGATTATTAAATATTTCATTTATCATTTCATGATCATAATTCTTGAGTAATTCTTAGATTTATCTTTCTCCCATATCTGAAAATTCTTTGCCACCTATTGCTTTTGCAGTCTGTATGCTTTCCTTGGCTTCAATTTCAATAGATGGCAATATTATAAAACTTTTATCAACTGGCTGGAGCGGTTGCCAGGAAGGATTTATTGTTGATAAATTCACTTTTTCCCATGCAAGTTTAATCATTTTAATGGAATGTCTTATGTTGAGTTTCTTTCAAAATGCCATTTATGTGCCATGCTTTCTTTGATCTAGTGCTTAACTGCAGAGATGTAAACATGTCTGACATAATAGGTTTTCAGTGTTTTTCTGATTTCCTCGATCCATTGGTTAGATTAAGGAAGTGGTATCGGCTGGGAGGAATAAAACTTCTACATTTGGATTGCATTGTTGTGAGGGCTTCAGTATAGTGTCTTGGAGCATTACCATGAATTAGGAGAATCTTAAAGCTCAGGTTTGGTTTCTCTAAGCAATGTTTTACTTCTTCAGTGAATGAACTTCCAAACCAATCATTAAAGAAAACTATTGCAACATGGCCAATGGTCTTCAGCTTACTGCATATAATTTAAATTCTCATGTTGAATAAATTAAATGCAGACAGCTAAGATAACACATATATGCATAATTGCATTCCTAAAGGGCTTAATGATAAGCAGGTATTGAGTAATGGAAGAGTTGTTGTCATAATTGTGGTCAAATCAGCAATTTAAAAAATGAAAGATTCGTGTTTGGACGATGATAAAAAGCAGTCTGTAATCAACTATAAAGGAGAATTTAAAACATTGAACTTGTGGTGATGGCGATAAGGAGCGCGCCTAGCGCCCTCCGATAAGTGTGGCAACCCTAGAGGAGAAATTTCATACGAGTAGCGAGCAGAGCGAAACAGGCAGGCTGTCGGGCAGTGTGCGCGAAGTTCCTAAATAAAGCTTAATTTTTATTGTGCACTATGTCTTGTTAATATTTATATTAATGCAGTAAGAACATAATCTGTGATATGGAACTCGAGGATTGGTGGTAAAACATAACCGGAAATTTCCATAATGGTAACCTGGACTGTGTTAAATCGTATGAACAGTTCTCAAGCACTTTCGGTTTTGACTACAAGCCATCACTCAAGATCTCCAAACCAGAAGTAATGGATTACATCGGTTTTCGTCCTCCGAATCACAGATGAGTAGTAATTATAGATCATTTTATAATTCTGTTTTCTACTTATCATTTAATTTCATTTTCTTTAGTTAAATTTTTGCTTTTATTTTGGCTTAAAAACCTTGCACAATGTCTGATGTTCATGCCGTCCAAATTCCGGTTTATAACCGATTAGACCCATCTTTATGGTTTATTATGTGTGAAAGTACCTTTGCTCTTGCCACCCCCAAACCTATCACAGAATCCATTACTAAATATAATTATGTAGTTGCTCATCTTCCTCCAGATATCGCATCACTAGTACGGGATTTACTTATGAAACCAGACCCTATTGATCCATATGCAAAGCTTAAAACTGAGTTAATAAATCGTTCAGGAGAATCTTCTCAGCAAGAAATTCGCCAATTATTATCTGGAGAAGAATTAGGTTCTCGAAAACCTTCCGATTTGCTTAGAAATATGAAACGTCGAGCAGAATCTTTAAATGTTCCTGATAACTTAATGTTAGAATTATTCCTTCAACGTTTGCCTTCGACTGTTCAGTCTATTTTGGCAGCGGTTTCCAATTTAACTGTAGATAAAGCTGCAGAAATTGCCGACAGAATTTTAGAAGTAAATCCAACCCCAGGGACTTGTGCCGTTTCTCGCACAGTCGATCAGTCTCTTGAGGATAAATTATTTAAACAAATAGAAAAATTAAACAAACGTATTGATCGCATTTCTCTTTCTCGTGGTCGCTCGCCAAATCGCGGAGATCGCAATAAGGAAAGAAGCAATTCCAAAAGGAGAGATTATTCTGTTTGCTGGTATCATAGACGTTTTGGGAAAAAGTGTAGAGATGACAAATGTACAAAACCTTGTTCATGGCAGGGAAACGAAACCAGCAAAGAATAGAGGCGACTTATTCTTTGCCTCAAGTTTCACGTCGCCTGTTCGTTCGTGACCGTAGAACAAACCTTTCATTCTTGGTCGATACCGGCTCTGACGTGTCCTTACTTCCAGCAAATAATTCTCAAAAACGGAATTCGTCCCAACAAACACTTTTCGCTGCTAATTCTTCTACTATTCATGTTTATGGTCAAAAAACACTTTCTTTGGATTTCAAATTAAGACGACAGTTTACATGGACTTTTCTTATAGCAAATGTTAGTACACCCATTCTTGGAGCAGATTTTCTCCATTTCTTTGAATTGGTGCCTGATCTCAGAAACAAATGTCTCAAAGATTTAAAAACGCATTTTAAAACCGTCGGTTGCGTGAAAAATGCAAGCATTTATTCAGTAAAAACTGTATTTAGTGATACACCATATCACAAAATTTTAAAAGAATTTCCTTCAGTTACTAGATTACCAGATCCTAACCAACCTGTTAAACATAACACCGTTCATTATATCATAACTAAAGGTCCACCTGTGGTTGCAAAACCTCGTCGGTTAGCTCCAGATCGCTTAAAAATAGCAAAACAAGAATTTCAAACTATGATGCAATTGGGGCATTTGAGACCTTCGAGCAGCAATTATGCATCCCCACTTCACATGGTTCCAAAAAAGGGAAGTCTGGAATGGAGACCTGTAGGAGATTATCGAGCATTGAACGCTCAAACAATAAAAGACAAATACCCTATTCCATGTTTTAGCCGATTTTACTGCTGCATTGCACGGTACTAAAATTTTTAGTCATGTCGACCTGATTAAGGCATACCATCAAATACCAATTAACCCAGCCGACATCCACAAAACCGCCATATGCACACCATTCGGTTTATTCGAAAGTATCCGTATGCAATTCGGCTTATGCAATGCATCTGCGACTTTTCAACGTTTTATAGATGAAGTCACGCGGGATTTAGAAGGCGTTTACGCTTTTGTCGATGACTTGCTCATAGCCTCTAAAGATTCTGAGGAACATTGCAGGCATTTGAAAGCTTTATTTTCCAAACTTCAGGAATATGGACTTTGCATAAATGTTTCAAAATGCACCTTTGGTCAAACATCTATTGATTTCTTAGGTTTTCACCTTAGTGAAAACGGAATTGAACCTCTTCCTGACAAAGTCAAATGTATTTTAGAGATTTTCCTCAACCTACCACTCTCACTCAGCTTCGCCGATTTTTAGGCATGTTTAACTTTTATAGATGTTTCATACCTAAAGCAGCACATATTCTTTCTCCTTTAATAAAATTGTTAGAAGGCTATATTAATAAAAAGAAATCTCGTTCTCGTGTTCAGGATTCATCCCCACAATTAAATTGGAACGAGAATGCTGAACAAGCCTTTATTGCTGCCAAAAATGCCATTGCTCAGGCTACCCTTTTGAGACACCCTATTCCCGGAGCCCAGCTAAGCATCTGGGTAGATGCCTCAGACGTCGCAATCGGCGGCACACTTATGCAGTTGTCTCAACAAACATGGGAACCTATAGCATTTTTCTCTATGAAACTCAGTAAAAGTCAACAGAAATGGTCCGCGTACGATAGGGAATTATTTTCTATTTATTCTGCAATTAAGAAATTCCGACACATGTTAGAGGGCAGAAATTTTATAATTTATACGGATCAAAAACCGTTAATATACGCTTTTAAACAGAACCCTCATAAATGTTCACCTCGACAATTGCGCCATTTAGATTTTATTTCTCAGTACTCTACTGATATTAGGCATGTGCAAGGTTCAAAAAACGTCGTTGCTGACGCTCTTTCAAGAATCGAAATTGATTCCATAACAAAATCTCCATTTTTGGATTTTAAAAAATTTTCGGAAGCTCAACGGCATGATCCGGAGGTACAAGACCTTCTCAAAAACAACACATCATCATCTTTGAAACTGGAATTTAAACCGTGCCAATATTCTGATGGTAATATTCTTTGTGACATATCAACAGACATTCCTCGTCCATTTGTTCCGAATTCCTTTCGCAGACTCATCTTTAATCATCTGCATAATCTGTCACATCCAGGAATTGCAGCTACTACGAAGCTTATTTGTTCTCGTTATGTATGGCCCGATATGAAACGTCATATCAAAAATTGGGTGAAATCCTGTGAATCTTGCCAAAAATCGAAAATTACTAGGCATACTAAAGCACCCACTGGGCACATTCTCTCTTCCTGATGCACGTTTTTCAGAAATCCATATGGATATCGTCGGACCGTTACCTCCATCAGAAGGCAACGTGTACCTTTTGACTCTAATAGATAGATTCTCCAGATGGCCTGAAGCCATTCCCATCCCGGATATGAAAACGGAAACCATTTGCAGAGCCATCTTCAACTGTTGGATATCTCGTTTTGGCTGCCCATCGATCATAACAACAGACCAAGGTTCTCAAATGAGATCCGCACTTTTTGCAGAATTCACGCGCATTTTGGGTACGAACAGAATCACAACAACAGCCTATCATCCAATGTCCAACGGCATTGTTGAACGATTTCATCGACATTTAAAATCTTCTCTCAAGGCTCACGAGACCAATAACTGGACTGAAACACTACCAGTTGTTATGCTTGGTATTCGGACAGCCGTAAAGGAAGATCTACAGTCATCTTGTGCTGAACTGGTGTACGGCACAACTCTCAAGCTGCCTAGTGATATGATAACGTCATCTAAGATATCTCCGTATGACACACACAATTTATCACGAATCTTAGGCATAGAATGCAACAATTGAATCCAATAGCAACATCTGCACATTGCCAAGAAAAATGTTACGTAAGTGCTACCTTAAAGTCGTGTACGCATGTATACTTACGTGTCGATCGAGTAAAGCCACCTCTGTGCCAACCATATACAGGTCCGCATAAAGTCCTTTCTAGAACGGACAAAACTTTCACAATTGATATTAACGGTCTGAAATCTACTGTGTCTATAGACCGTGTGAAACCAGCCTATTTGCTTTCGGACTCTAATTTGCCTGAACTGAAAACAAATAAAGACTTAAAGACAGTTCAGCAGAATAAATCTGCAAACGAACTCTCTAAGACACAAACTGTCACCAGATCGGGAAGACATGTTCACTTCCCTAAGAAACTTGCTTCTTACATAACAATTTAAAACATTTTTTTTTTTAAATTCATATCTTAACATATTTCTTGTTATTTCATGTTTATTATATGTGTCAATACCTTGTTATATATTGAATTGCATTTTGATCTTTTCTAATTTTATATTCTAATTTTTTTGTAATCATAAAAAAAATACCCGACAGTACGGATACTCTGAGATAATTTCATAACCTATGTCGTTCCTTTGAATAGCCATTAAAGGAACTGGGGGGAAACTCTGTGGTGATGGCGATAAGGAGCGCGCCTTGCGCCCTCCGATAAGTGTGGCAACCCTAGAGGAGAAGTTTCTTACGAGTAGCGAGCAGAGCGAAACAGGCAGGCTGTCGGGCAGTGTGCGCGAAGTTCCTAAATAAAGCTTAATTTTTATTGTGCACTATGTCTTGTTAATATTTATATTAATGCAGTAAGAACATAATCTGTGATATGGAATTCGAGGATTGGTGGTAAAACATAACCGAATTCCATAACTTACTGAATCAAACTGAACATATTTTTCACCGTCACAATACATACATTTGCTTCTTAAAACAATAAAAATTTTTGGATTTTACTTGTACTTTCATTAAAAAAAACAAAAAAAAAAAAAAAAACATAGGGGATGAAACAATTATCCTACTTTAAATATTGAATTAACATTTTAAGTGTTTTATGAGACACTTATCATAAGTAATGAATGATTTTTAAATTTTATGCTTTAAGAGAAGCTTATTTAAGCATTAGCATTTATTATTTATTTAAAGCATTAGCATTTCTGTAATTAATACTTTCATATAAATTCTTCATTTTTCTTTCTTCTCATTATTTTGTTAGTATTAAATATTTTATTTCTTATAATATACTTACTTAAAAAAAGGGATGGGTAAGAAAACAATAATTACATATACAAAGGAAATACATCTACATTATGTATTTATTACATATGACAGTTTGCGTATTTAAAAATAATTACCCTTCAACAGAATGTTGATTTGTGTTGGGCACATCCATTCGATTTAGTGCAGATTCTTGAGAACCTATTAACAAAGCAGAATAAAAGGCCATGAAATTTTATACGGCTACAGATTTTAAATATGTAAAGAAATTAAATAATAATAATAATAAACAAAATTAAATTACCAAAGGCTGTAGCTGTAGCTGCTTTCAGTTTACGTTCATATCTGATGGAAGAATATATATATATATTGTTAGATTACTTATTATTATTTTTTTTTTTACTGAGTTATGTAGGAAAAAAAACAAAATGAGAAAAAGGCAATCTTTTCAAGGAAACAGCAGTATCATTTCGTTAATTTTTGTACTTGGAAAATACACTTAAATGTTTATAACATTGAATTTGCCAAAATGCTATAATTTTGTTGCAAAAGATTTCCTCATAATGACTAATAACAGTGCTTAAATTTCACCGGAGCCCAGCTCCAGTGCTTCTCAATTTTTAAGATAAGTTACAATTTTAGCCGGAGCACACCGGAGCAATAAAAATATGATCTCCGGTACTTCTTTTTTATAAAACTGAACCACATTTAAAGGGAAAAATATAATTCCTATCGTTTTGTTTACAATAGCAGACCTTGCATACTCTATTTCCATAGAAATATGAACTCATGAGCATGAGACTTCAGAGTAAAGTTCCCTCACTCATATGCAGAAACCTTTCCCTTTAAGAAAAGCAATAAATTTGGGGAAGTTTGTTTAGGAATGCGTAAATTTCTCGCCATGCCATTGTATCTAGTGTATTGTTATCGACGTTTACAGTTAGTTATCCTCGCAAGAAGGAAAATTTGTGTTCTTAAATGTGAGTTAAGGGACAGTGAGTACAATAAGAGTGAAATACTCAGATAAACTGCTCAAGCAGGTCCTATACATCGTCTTCCCACAGTATTCACTAATGTAACCAAATACGGGGGGCAAAAAGTGTAACCAGCAACTTTACATTCATCCTTAGGAGTCAGATTCAGGACTCAATTAACCTCTAACACACATCTGCTTGATGGCTATAATTATTTCAGCAGAGAGCCACGGTCAAAAAGAACATTCTCTCTCACCAAGATTCCCTTCATTCTGTTTCGCCAAGGAATTTTCATCAGCTATACTTTAAGTATATTTAATTTTTGTGGTGATAAAATACCCCCCCCCCTACGATCAGAGCTAAAATTGGGCTGGAGCCCACCGGATGGCGGGATGTAATTTAGGCCGATTCATGATTCAAATCTGTGCATATAAAGGCTAGGAAGCTTGAAAGGAGTATTATATTACTGATTATTCTTCTGCTATAAATACGACATCATACATCTTTTGACTGAACATGATAGCTTCAGTACTCATCTCGTTTACATTACATCCAAGAATTCTCCAGTGTGTTCTCCTTGTAACAATTTAATGGACAATGAACACTTAAACACTTGCTCTGCATTTAACAGTTATGTCACCTAAATGCAGGAAGGAAGATGGCTAATGATATAAGTGACAAAAGACAGGCATACATAAATGCATGTACGACATAGTCTAATAAAATTTTGAAATTTCAACATCTATGTGATGCCAATGCGAGATACAGACATTGTGTTTATATTTATAATGTTAACTTTTATATGAATGAAAACCTTTTTACAAAAGTCTTTCAAAGGGGCAGTTTAATTTCAGTTTTTTTGGGGGTATTGTTAATAAATTTGAGCCAAGTGTAAGATAGTTTTCACTCAAATCAGTTACTAACAAAAATATATCACATTTCCTTAACTTTAATTTATATAAAAGAAAAAAATATTAATGATATAATACTGGGGTTCTGTGAGACATGAGTTTCATTTTAAAACTTCAATCAGCACATAAACAATGGAGGTCACCACCTGAGTGGTGTTTTGTTTAAAACAAAACAAAACAAAAATTGATATAAAATGGAATTATGTACACTTTCAAAAAATAAAAAGAGAATTTTCATATCTTATTTGGTTTGGATTTTATTAGCTTCCTAAATTGGGGGATTCTTTCTGTTGCATGCTGTATTTTGGCAAAAGTCACTGCATAATAGCAATAAAATTGTTGATCAGTGCAGGCATTTTACACCTGATTGTTCAACAGTATTATTACTATTCTCATATTTTTAAGTATATATTAACATAGATATTTTATCACCAATCATTAAAGAATAATAATATAACATTATAACAAATTCCTTAAGAGATTTAACATGTATTTTTACCTGCTTCGTTGAGTAATGCAAAGTGAGATGACCAGCACCAACATAATGGCAAGGAAAACAGAAAGCCCAATCAACCATGCACGTACTTGAGCTTCAACATTAGTATCAGCCACAGCTGTATCAGCAGGCTGAAAGAATTGCAGAAATTTAAATATGCATCAATAACTGATATAACAAAAGTTTAATATTAAATTGTTCATTTATTATGTTTCTCTCAGTTAACAGTGAAACTTTGTTACTGTCTCTGAAAATTTTTGAATTTAGGTAATAAAATTAATCATTTTTTTTTAGTAAAATGTAGATTGAAGGCACTTACTTCACTGTATAGTACATTGAATTCCTTAAATAGCTCATCCAAAAATTCAATATTTTTATCAATCAGTCTGTAACGACATTTTCATATAGAATCAGTTAAACAAACAGATGTTTCATATCAGTCATAAATATATCATTTTTAAATAATAAAATTATACAACAGAAACACATTTCAATAACACAAGATATACTTGTATAACAAAAAAACTACTTACGATAAAACTGTAGCCACTTCCATAATTGAATTATCTTCTCTATTTACAAAATGAAGGTACAAGTCGCTCCTACAAAAAGATATTAAAATGAGATGAAAAACTTATTGATTGTCATATAACTTACTGAAACTGATTGATATTTATAATAACTTCTAATTCACAATGCTGATTTATAATTCATCATGTGTACAATAACAATGAATGTATTATATCAGGTAATATGATGCTATAAAATTGCTCATTTTTTTATTCTTTTCTTTTTCTTCTTCTTTTTTTTTTTGTTTGTTCCTTCCCCCCTTTTTTTTAACATTGGTCAAAAGATGCAAAGTTCTAAACTACCTGTACAGATATTTTTTTATTCATTCATTAAAAAAATTATTAACATACCATGTAGAAAACATGGTTACAGTAATCAAATCTTGTATCCTACATCATCCTTTAAGTCAGCCATTGTATCTTCTAATAATTAAACAATAAAACTAAAAATTTTAAAAATTATTTGAAAAATGCAAATATATTTACTTTTTCTTGTCCACAGAACCATCTCTGTTTTCATGATACTTAGTTTCATCAACATTAACAATTGCTCCAGTAATATTACTTAATACCCTAAAAACGAATAAAAATTCTGTTATGTTACCAGTACCAGTGTATTGATAATACTGATGATTTCAACCACATTTTTTAACTAAAGGTTTAAAATTATATAAAATTTATCAACATAAATTTTAGTTGCTTTTACTCACTCTCTGAATTTTTCCAATTTTTCTCTTATTTCCTCAGGTGTCAATCTTAATACAAAACGAACTCTCTGATCCTCTCGCAATAAATAGATCTAATTTAAACACAAATAAATTTAGAAAACAGTGGAAATGATTTAATACAAACAAATTTAGAAAATAGTGAAAACATAAATTTAGAAAATAATGAAAAATTTTGAATAAAATCCTCAGCTATATTCACAAAATTACATTTAAAAAATTCCACATTAAAGAAATTAACACTTTTTTTTTACTTTGACCTTATGAGTTAAGAATAAACTTTTAATAAATTTACATTTTTGCAACTGATGACAAACAAACACCTTGCAACTGATGACAAACAAATCAGAAATTCGAAAGATTAAAATCATTTATATAAGAAATTAACAAAAATGCTTAAATTTATATTACAACTGTTCATAAATAAACCCACTAAATTAAATTTTTTTCACATACATTTAGTAAGTATTAAAAATATATGATAATGCATGTAAATATATTCATTAATACATACTATTTAAAATGTAGACTGAAATATCAAGCACCTATTTCCCCCTCTTTTCTTTAAATTCTTTGTTCTTATTCTTTAATTATATAATTTCTTCTGTTAGGCGAACAACTAATCTTCATAGATGATTAATGTGATTTTTTTATCATTGGCCCCATACTAAAATCCCAAATCTGCATCTTTTGTGATTTACAACTATTTTTTAGGATGATTTTTGACATTTTGCACTATGCTAAAAGAGAAAGATAATTATTGACTGAGAAGCAATTATGACAGATACGAGGGCCATCCAGGAAGTAGATTACGTTTCCGTCTGTGTCCGCTAGGGGCGGGGCTAGCGCGGCCATCTTGGGGTCAGAGCGTTGCGCAGCTCAGTCTGCATCTAGCCATGCTAGTGAGAGGTTTCGTGCTGTGCTCCGTTCAATACTGGGACGGTTTGAAATGTCTGCGTTAATTGAAAATCCCGCGAGCTGCGAGGTGCGCTCAGTAATAAGGTTTCTGACTGCAAAAAACTGTAAACCGATAGAATCTATCGGCTTCGTGAAGTGTATGGGGACAACATTATCACTGAAGGTGGAGTGCGTCAGTGGGTCATAAGATTTCAAAATGGCCGACCAATGTCACGACGAGATCGAAGTGGAGACCCAGCATGTGACCGCCGAAACTTCTCGAAAAAGTCGATGCTAAAGTCCGTGAAATCGAATTTCACAATAACGGAACTTTCTTTGAGTTTTCCACAATTTCGCGAAGTTTGTTTGCATGAAATCATCAGCGAAACTTGGTTACTACAGTTTTGTGCAAGATGGATTCAAAATCTTGACAAGGACCACAAAAATCAGCGAATGCTGCAGCGTTGAACTGTGGACGCTTACCATAAGGATGGTGACTCTTTACTCGATCGCATCGTTACGGTGACGAAACGGGTGAAACATGTGAACTGTGAAACGAATTGCAATCAATGCAGTGGGGGCACACAAGTTCTCCCCAAAAACCCAAGAAGCATGCAAAAATGTCGGCAAGGAAGTGATGGCGACTGTTTTTGGGACAGAAGGTGTAATTTTGGTGACTTCCTGGAAAGAGGCACTACAATAAACTCTCAAAGGTATTGCCAAACTCTCCAAAAACGAGAAAGCAATTCAAAACCAAGCGCAGAGGAATGTTGAGCTCTAAGATCTTGTTGATCACGACAACGCCCGGCCCCACACGGCAAATGTCCCTCGTAGTTCTTGAATCTTTAAGTGGAGTTGTTTCCTCATCTGCCGTACAGTCCGACCTGGCACCGAGCGACTTCCACCTATTCCCAGCAATGAGAAGTGGCTGGCTATGCAGCGTTTTGATGACGACGCACAGCTGCAAGAAGAGGTAACGAAGTGTTGAAGGCGCAGGCGGCCGAATTTTCGACGAAGGAATTTCCAAGCTCGTACATCGCTACGATAAATGCCTTAATTGTATGGTTGACTATGTAGAAAAGTAGTATTTGAGTGTGGCTTTCATCTGTATATAATAAAATTTGTTTCCTATACTTTGTTTATTTTTTTATTCCAAAACGTAATCTACTTTCTGGATAGCCCTCGTATATGATAAAAGAATAATCTTGTAGAAATCATACTTAAATTTATTTCAAAACAAAATGTGCTTCAAACCTGTAAGTTGTTTTTCTAGAAAGAAGTTTTTAGATTCATGATTTTGGCATAGTACTGATATGGCCTAATTGCATTGAAGCCGTTTTGGATAACCCATCATTACTATTTTTGCGGTTAAAATTATGAAGGAATGCCTATAGCTTAGCTTAACATCCAATGCATTATATTTACATATTTATATAATATGAAGCAATGAGTAATAAATTTTTAAAAATTTCTTGACTTATACTGGAACATAGCACCCAGTATCCAATAATCTGTTACATAAGAAATTTAAACTTATTTCTGATTCAGAAAACACTTACAAATAAGTTTTCATTTTCAAATTCCTTTTCTGAAATACTGTCAGCATCACTCATTGGATTGATATGCAGCATTAATAATTTCCTTATGAAATTCCAGAAATTTACATGAGATGTTCCTTGTTTCTTTTAATAATTTATTGGAATCTTTGATTTTTTTTTGGTAATTCAGCTTTTTCAGCATAATGTGATTTTTAATTGACATAATACAAAAACAAGTATTTATTTATGAATCATAATCTGGATAGAATTCAAAGATTAATTATTTTCCATTCATCACATTGAAATCACTTATTTTCCTTATAAAATATCTATTTACCTCTAATGAAGGGGACAGCTAGAAACAAATTAGATATAGAAAGCCAGAAATTATAATTAATGAATTAGAAAATCAGAAATTATGAAATTAATAAGATTCAGCGTTAGTCTCCATTATTATATTATTATGACAATAGTCATGTTTCCATTAAATGGGATTTTACTGTAATCTTATATATAATTGCCAGAATTAGGATATAAGTGTTTTATTAGCATCATAATTCATTATGGTAATTTCTTAAAAAAATTTACAAAATAAATATATTCTTTTCAATATTTACTATTATTTAATCATAAAATAAAAAGAAAATAAAAAAAATTCTATTAAAGTTTTAACAAGATTTATCATTTAAACATTTTAGCAATTACTCAACCAAACCAGGTTCAGCTTTCATATATCAAGTAAATATCGTTATGATTTGTATCAAGCATTTGGCAACACTCGCTTTTCCCTATTCTTCTATGATTTGTATGTGCCATTTGGCTATGCAGACTAATGCATAAATCAGCACAGTTCTTCAAAATGGCTGTATTCGAATGAAGATTACTCTCTCTATAATTAAGTGCTTGTACTGTAGAATTAAATGATGTCTATGATATACTTGGGTGTTATTTCTGCTAACCCCTAAGCAGCATCACTTTAAATACAATGTTCTGCATATTGAAATTAAAGGTTATAGTGCAGAAATATAATACATTATTATTAATGAAACAATAATACATTATCACTAATGAAAATTAATAATAATTTATCAATTAAAAATTAATAATAAAAAGTATAAGTTACTCACAAAAACTCTTGCAGTATCAAAAAGGCCGTCTGTATCATTTGCAATCACTTCAAAATCAAAATAACCTTTCATTCCTTTTTGGGGATCAAAGTTCAAGCTGATAACACCAGTATCTTTATTCACAATGAAAGGAGATACTTTAAGGGATTCCAATCCTTCAGACAAGGTCATTTGGACATCACCAGCAATGTAATATGTTACAGCAGCATTTTTGCCTATATCGAGATCAATTGCCTAAAAAAAATAAAAATTTCATAAAATGTCAGTGATAAATATGTAGTTCTCAAATGTGATTATAATAGTAATGCAATTGAAATCCATACACATGTATTGTTTATTTTGAATACTTAACAGTATGCATAAATGACAAGGAAAAAATATGAATAATTGTTACTTAGTCCACAAGATATACAGGATATTAATAAAAAAATTGACAAGATCTTTGGAACAGCCAGTTGTAGACCATGCCATTTGAAATACGAAATTCATAAGAGATTTGTTGGAGATACATAAGAAATGAATCAAGTAAGATAGGCTTTCTAACTATGAGATTTTTGATCACTTAAAACTTTAGAATACACATAAAAGCTCAGAAGTTACAATCTGGAAATTCTTAATTCTAATAAAGATCTTTAAGAAATAGGGAAAGGAAGATATACAAACTGATGCTCAAAAAAAAAAAAAAAAAAAAAAGGAGGGAACATGCATAAAAAAATTATATGGCTTAAACTAGTGGTCTCAAATTAAAATTGTAGGTGGGTCAAATGCATGACCTGAAAGCAGTTGACAGGTCACATATATATATGCCATTAAAATAGCAATCTTGGCTTCTCTTAATTACAGATTTTTCAAAATATACATTAACTGTAAACTGTAATAATAGTGACATAAAGAGAAAATTCCAATTCATACTTCTCTTCTGTTTGATTGAAATCTAAAGGTGCAAGAAATGTATGTTGGTTACATTTTGTAATTCAAATCTATTAACAGCCAAATATTAAATTTTCAGATTGACATTTATTCAAATATTTCTGATACGCTAAAGTAATCACTAAATAATTTACTTAAATTAAAAATAAACAAATTATGAAAATTTAGTTAGAAGGATAAAACTTGAGAATAAACACTAAAAGTTTGTAACCTTGAAGAAATAGACAGTATCTTTATCATGAACTGTGAATACTTTGGCAAACTGGTTTTTAGACCTATTCCTCTTCAGCTAGGGGGTTGTTCAAATGTAAATGTACTCCCAATAAAAACGACTATTCTTATTGAAGAAATTCGTAACTAAGGGCATTTATCTTTTGAGAAATACAAATAAATGCTTCTTTAAAATCATCAGATATTCTAATGCAATTTATATTACTATGTAAATTAATTAGCTCCATTTACAGGTTTCATTACGATCTTAAAATTCTTGTCAAGTTAATTCTAATTAATTTATTGGAAATATATTTATGAGCTGTGTATAAATGCTTGAGGTCTGCATACAGCCTGCCAGTTTCATGCCACTGACTTAAATCACTAAAGTCCAAAAGAATGAATAATATTTTTATAAATAGTGGTTTAAAATCAGTGATTCTAAATTAATATTTTTTTTAAGTTACTACGTGTTTCAAATATCAAATTATTTTTTTAGAAATTTCCTCCATCTTTAATAGTAGTGCCACTATCTTTAATAGTACAAGTTGCATCTCATTAATCTTCAGTTCAGTGATTTGGCCCTTCCTAAATCCAAATTATTTTGAATCTGACAAGGTTAGTTTGTGAATCTGCCATTAAAATAGCAATCTTGGCAGCATTCAGAATTCAAGTTTCGTTTTTATTTGAGTCAAGAAAGTCTCAGTTGTATAGCAGCATAGTAATTTTTAATTTTCAGATGTAATATAGTCTATACATCAACTAAGAGACCAAAAGCTCTGAAAATGGTGCTAGTACTACCAAACAAATGTAAATCTATAGAAATAAAGATGTGTTTATTCTATAGAAGTAAAGATAAATTTACAGAAAGTTAAAAAAGGAGTACACATAAAGGTATTGCATGAGTACTGTGGAATCAAATTGTCTGTGCGTTTGACTATCAAATTACAAGCTACTGATACGATGGATGTTTTGTATAGTGTTAAGCATTCCTAAGTTAACTAAAGCAATAACCAAATGCTTTCAAGAAACGCACTGAATTGTGAAATAAACATATTTCTTCTCTTTCAGCTATGCGTCTGATTACTTTGAGGAAGATTTAACAAGCGTCCGATTACTTTGAGGAAGATTTAGCAAACTACATAAATACAGATTTCAACTGAAAAATTGACAATTTCATATGATTCTATCCTTAAGGTCAAAAGCACATTAAGTATTTTGCTTTTCCCCGCCACTTTACCGATAATGCTTTTCTCATAATATTTGTTGACTTAAAAATACTGTAAAATTACGCTTTACTTATGCCGAGAGTTTCAAATATGCTGCATTTCTCAAAATTATTGCAGCAAATCTAAAAGAAAAATAAAGATTTCCCCTCAGTTTTGGCTGCAGTTAATAATGGTTATCTCACACACAGAACTATTTCAAACATGTGACACAGGCAGCTAGTTTTTGGAAGGGGCCAGTTACTATATTCTCAAAAGTAAAAACTAAATAAAGGTACATTTTGTATTGAATTACAAATAGTTTTATATACATGTGATGCTAGCTATACTAACAGAAAATGCCAAAAGAAGAAGCCAAGTCGAAGCCTGACCCCACACCATTATTTACATATTACACTACTCATATTTCACTGCAATTAAGTTTCTGAAATGAGAACAGATATCAGTAAAGCCAATACAACGAACTGGCCCATTTATACTGTTTCATTTACCTTAACAATCATGAATGCTGTCCCAAAATCAGTTTCTGCTGTTATTCCACCAGTGAAAACCCTTTTGATGAACCTTGGAGGATTATCATTTATATCTTTGACCCCAATATGTACTTGCAATAAGGAATTATCCCTTGGATCGAAACGTGTAACAGAAGTAGGTTGATGAAAGCAGTCATCTGAAGCTTGAACGATGAGAGTATAATTCTGTCTTTCTTCCCGATCCAAAACTTCAGTGCAGTAAAGTTGATGAGTAAAGATATCAAGCTTAAAACGACCAAAATGATTACCTCCTAGAAACAAGAATTTATGAATTGAATTATACTTCACAATACTGTAATTTATTATTATTATTAAAAAAAGGGCAACAAGTACAGCTATTTGCTTATAGACTAAAAAAGAACAAGAGGAAAAAACAAATAAAAAAGGCACATTTGATTTATAACACTGATAACATTTTATTATTTTGATTTTTTGTTTATCATATATTAAAAACATATTAAATAAGATATCAAATTTACAATGCATGCACAAATAAAATGATTTAAATTACTAATTAATTTTAGTTATAATATGATGAGAAAAAGAAATTTTGCTTTTAAGGAATGGGAAAACCTACTTTGTACATATACAGTAAGCATATGAAATAGTCAGAATCATCAGCACAGTAAATATACTGGTTGATAAAAATGGCCCAAAAAGTGTTTTTAATTTTTCAATTAACATCACACTACATAGATACATGTGCTGAGAATTTCATTACATCACTTCACTTGCAAATCAAACTGTGGCTTATCCAGTGGAATTGCAAGTATTATCTCATCATGTCAATGTACTGGCAGTGACAATGAACATTTAATATGATTTATATTATACTATATGCATTCTGTACAGCTATTCATACTGCTTTTCCTCAAGAATTAGAATTAAGTGAAATAATATATTTTCAAAATATGAATCCCCAAAATGAGGTGTTTCATTGAAAATAAAAATTACACATTTCACAAAGTCGTTTCCCATACATGACTGTCCAATATCATTGTTTATGGTTGATTCTGACCACAATATCTAAATAAAAACAGTACCATTCAGTAAATTCTATCTTAATTACTGAAAAAATTCACATTCAAACTTATATTCATTAATGAAAAACTGATTCAAATGTTTCTTTCTGGGGGGGATGGCAAAATATCCTTAGCATTCATAGACACATTTTTTTAACATCAGTATCACACACTTTCTTAATATTCATTACTGAAGTGGCTGAAGCATTCATCTCAGTAGAAAAAAAAAATATATATATATATATATAATCAGTTTAATGTTGTTAAAGTCAAAAGTCTTTAATCCGGACTCGTCGGGACTTCGGCGATTCCGGATTATTGGTTTTTCCGGATTATAGATCATCAGTTTAAATCTGGTAAGATGGTATGCAGAAATTCTAAAATTAAAAATATGAAACCGTAATTTATGAAATAAAGAGCAATTATGATCTAAAGGGTATCAAAATTTACAAAAAAAAAAAAAAAAAAGCTTTATATTTATCTGTTTACTTTATTAAAAATTTCTTTCAATGCGGGCATGCGTAAAGCATACATTGCGCATAGTCGAAATTAGAAAATTGCAACCAGAAAACTATTTGATGTGTATTCGTGATATTTATAATGATGAAGAATTTGATTTAAATCATATGAGTACATGGAAATGAAATACTACATTTAGTAAGGAATTATAAGCCGAATAAAATAAAAACATCTGCCTCTGCCCTGAAGACAAGGATAGTGCTGAGAGAGAAATTACTTAAGAAAATGTAATCATCACATTTTAAACAAAATTGGATTTTCTTCCTAAATTGTTTACACTGATCACCTTGAAATTTGAACTGTTCAAATAATCAACATGGTACTGCACTGAGAAAATACCAGACAACTAATGATTGTTTAGTGAATTATTAGAAGTGTAGTTTTCACAATTTATTCACAGCACATATTTTTTGGAAATGTATCACATAAATACATATGTAAAATGTATATTAAATTTAATATAAATACAACAAAAAATTTATATTAGATGAATATATTAAAATAATCACTAAAATCTCTAATGGCTTAAGATATAAGCTAATAATTACAAACAAGAAATTAATATTTTTTTTTCTTTAACTTACCCACTATAAAATAACATGGAATAGGTTTCCTAGAGCCAGAATCATCATCTTTATCAACAGTAGCAATAAGTTTGAAACTTTCTTTTCCAGGTTCCAGGTTTTCAGTGAACATAACTTCATACTGCAATTTAGTAAGTCAAATAATTATATTTTTATAACTATAACAATTACATTAAATCATTACACTTAATGTAAAAAGATTTTTTTAATACAACAAACCAACGATTTCAGCTAAAATGTAGATTTAATAACTACACTAGAAGGATAAGCAAAAAAATTAACAGCAAAAAGTGACACAAGAATGACTATAACTGGACTTGAGAGAAGGCTTTAAATAAAAATAAGAAAAATATCAGTTTTTTTTATCGTTGAAAACAATTTTTATTCTGGGCAAGAATTGATCTCCTCTTTCATGTATGAAAGAAAGAGTATGCTAATAATGATGATTTTTTGATAATTAATAATGAATTTTTTTTAAAAATAATACTTTAAATTTGAATCACTGGTAAACATATATTTTTAGGTTTTTGCATAATTATTTAACTGTAAAAACATTATAATTATTGCATAAATATAATAATTATAAAAACTTATATTTTATTACAGATTGTTTAAATAATAAGTTTCATAATTATAGCATAAATAAGATAACCAATTTTAAGACTATCGTTATCACATATATATTACATAAAATAATTAATTTACAAATATGATATTAAGGAAATTTTAATAAGTTCTTACAATTTTGTCTCAACTTAACTCTATAATATGCACATATAATAATTAAAATTTTCCTTATTTTTCAGTTATTGAAAAAACTCAATTTAAATACAAAATACCTCTATATATTTGCAAGCTATTTTCTAGAGTTTAAATATGCGTTTGAAAAATCATAGTAAAAGGTCATATTAAAACTCACATCATCCTCTGTAAATTCTGGAGCATTATCATCAACATTTACAACAAAAATGGTTAAATCCAAATCAGTTGAAAGTGAAGTTGGTTGCCCAAGATCATAAGCTTCAACACGAACCTAAAAAAAAGTACAGCATTTGATATAATTATGGAAAAAAAAAAATATTTTAAAGAATAATAAACACTAATAAAACAGTGAATAAAGAGAAACAAGGAAAAAGAGCTTTTAAAAAAATCAAGTTGGGGGGGAGAAGTCCAATTCAAAGATAATTTTACTACTTTTAAAATGTTACTAAGGAAGTCTACTAGAATCTGTGTATAAAGCAAACTGCAAATGCATTAACACTGCAACCTTCCATTTTTGGAAGTTTCTTAGTGCTGCCATCTGGTGACTAACACAAAAGTAAAAGTATAATGGTCAATATGACAGTAGTCACACCTATTTTGAACTGAGTATAACAGAAGATCTTCCATCACACTCAGTGCACCTTAAAAATTAAATTATGAAAAATAGTCCTGTTTGTAAATGTATTTGTAAGATATCTTAATAAGCCCTAAACTTTCCAACCTTTCTTTTGAAACATCTAATGCACATCAACATAATGTTTATGGAATGCTGTATGAAAAAACGATCAGGCAAAATATAAATTAAAGTTAAAAATATATTTTACCTCATAAACCTTTTGTCTTTCCCTATCAAGAGCTTCTCGAACAGTTATAACTCCTGAAATCTCATGGATGTTGAAGGCTTTCCAGTGACCATTTGCAAGTTTCTTGAATCGATATCGAACTTCACCATTTAAACCTATATCCGCATCTCGAGCACTAACTTCAACTACACTGCTCCCAAGAGTGGCATTCTTAAATAAATAAATAAATAAAAAATTAAAATAGAAAACAACAATAAAATAAATTACTATTTAATAAAAGAGAGAATTTTTTTTAAACGGTAACATTTTTATTTTGTAGTTTGCCTATTCATACTTAAATATTTTATCAACAAGTTTAACATTAATACATCACACATATATTTGTTTAAAAGTCAGTAAATATCAATATAAAGAAATAACTAACCTCAAGAACTCTAATTGTATAATTCTGAGGAGGTTTAACAAAAACTGGGCTGTTATCATTCACATCAGTAACACACACTTGAAAGCGAGATGTAGTGTGCAAGGGTGGATTGCCAGAATCTTGAGCTTGCAACACTAGACTGTAATTTCCAAATCTTCCTCTCAATGAATAACGTGAAACTACTCGAGCTGTATTAGAGTCCTGGTTTTCAATTCCAAATAAGCCTGTAATAAAATTACAGAAATCAAATGAATGTAAAAGTGAAGGTATTTTACTATAGCACTAAATGAGAGGTAAACAAATGTAAAACTATGTAGCATAAAAACTAATGAAATGCTATAAATAGATAAAAGAAATATCAATACAGCAAACAATAGTCAGATTATTGGTGTAGTTAACTATGACTAACAGTTTTTTGCATCTTCTGTTTAGAGAAATTCTGCCTACTTGAACAGTTTAAATGGCATATGGGATTAACATTTTATAAATTCAAATAAATTTTACATTACTGGAACAAAACAATATGCAATAGTTTGGAAAAATATATCAATATAAATTCATAAATATAGCATTTTCATAAGTATATATATAATAATAATTTAATTAATAAGTGCAATCATTAAGGTGTTTATTAAGACAAAAAAGATTAATAAGAAAAAGAGAAAATAAATTACCGTATTTGACGCATATAAGACGCACTTTTTTTCCTAAATTTGGTCTCAAAAAAGTTACCTGTGTCTTATACGTGAAGGACACAGGTTAACTTTCAATACTGAATGCTATTTTTAGCCCAGATAAAGGTCTAGACACACATAACTGCTACATCTACATGTGTGTGGCCTTCTAAATAAGGGTGCGTCTTATATGCCGTCAAATACGGTATATGATATCTCACCTTACAAATTATTCGATGTGAATGCACTATTCAATCATCCTGAATAACGCGTTTGATATTTACAGTCAGTTTTGAAGGAAATAAAGAGAAAGGGGTGAATAAATCCACGAGAATGAAGTTTATAAGAGGACAGAATTTAAACAATATGTTGAATGTGTTGCACTTTATTTATAACTGATAAATATCTGTATCAAATATAAACCAAAGGTAGCTCCACTTAACATGATACATAATAAAAATGGGGTTCTAATCATCAGACAATAATAAGATTAGTGAATCAGTAGATACATTTGGCACATATTCAATTGCAGAATTCTCGACTGTTCTGTTATCTCAGCCAGTACAATAAATAACCATGCGACATAAATCAAATCGATGCACTTATTTTGAGTTTCTTGAATTAAGTAAACCAAAATTTAATTTCTTGTGACTGACCTTCATCATTTCCACCAACTATGGAGAACTGGAGTTTTCCATTTGGGGTGGTGGAATCGTCTGCATCACTTGCTGATACCATGAAAATGGTATCTCGTATCCGATGGAATTCTGTAACAGTTGCACATACTTCCTGCTTTATAAATATCGGAGCTTCATCATTCACATCTGTTACGTGAACAGTTATCTAAAGCCAAGAGAGAAAAAAATTTTACTACACATAGTTTACCTGTATTTTATAATAAACTTAATAAATGAAAATAAAAGTAATATTTTAAAGCACAGAATTAAATAAAATTCAGACATCAATTGTTCTCACTGAAAAGAAAATTATTTATATTTAAAGCAAACTAATTATTCAGTCAGACAAAATAAATATTTCCATTTGGCATCTACATATTTTTTCAATGCAAACATATATTTCACATGACTGCATTTTCAGAAGAAGGTTGTTTTACATTAAGCATCTGAAATAATATCTTCTAGCCCAATAATAAAATGTTTTAAACCATAACTGACATTTTATACAAAAGGTTACAAAGTAAAAATGCAAGAGCACTATTAACTATCCAAATAAGCTTTAAAAGAAATTTGAAAGCAGATACTGACTTGTTTAAAGGCTTTACGACTCTCTCCTGTTGAAAACCCATAATCATAATTATCCCATGCTTGGACAACAAGAGTATATACATCTTTATCTTCCCTGTCCAAAGGAGATGCTACTGTGATTGATCCCTAAAAATATAAAGATTATTGTATTCACAGAAGAAAATAAATTTGCACATTATATACAGAACCGGAATTTAGACAATAAATCTGAAAAAAATCTAAAAAATATACTAATAAATAAATAAAATAATACAATGAAGCATACAAATTAATCAAATTATTTATAATTTAGATAAAAATGTGTCCTACTAAGAACTTAATTTTTATACAGCAAATGCATTACCGTTTCTTTATTTATTTTAAAATGTCCTTGAGTAGATGATGTATCTAAAAGATATGTAATTTTTCCATATTCTCCAACATCTGCATCCGTAGCTTGAACCAAAGCAACTTCTGTTCCAACAGTTACATCTTCTGCAACAGAAAAGTCTGAAGCACTATTTACAAACACAGGATTGTTGTCATTTTCATCCAAAACCTGCAAAAATTATAAGAAAAGAAAATTGTTTTGACTGCAAATTATCTAAATCATAGCATAATTACAGTGGTTTAAAGCTTTCTACAACTGATGACCCAGTTTAACTAAACATCAGAAATCTTACTCATGCAGTGATTTAGATTTCTTCTTATTATTATCAATCTTTTATCAATATGCTTACCATATTTGCCATCATGTTACACTCTGTTTTTTAGCTTGAATGTTAAAAGTGAAAAATTACATAGAATATATTGTTTATGAGGATAGAAAACTTAATAGATCGAAATGCATATATGAGTAGATGTACAAACATAACTGAGGTGTTGGTGAAATATGTCAGTTATACATCCTGACTTTAACATGATTCTTTTTACTTTCAATTGTGTATTGCTACCTAACTCATAATTTACAACTCATACTATTTAATAGTATGCATTAAAAAAAAAAAAAAAAAAAAAAAAAAAAAACTCACTAGCTTCTGTATTTGAAGTCTATTTTCTAGTCTTATTACAGATAAATATCTATAACAATTAATTTTAAAAGGATTTAAATATAAGAAAAGGGAAAATTTTCTGAATTTAGGGAGAAAGATAAAAATTGTGTTAATTAATCAAACATTTCTAAATCATGTGTTAATTGAGCTGGGGATAAAAATATACTCAGGTCCACAAGTCGAGTGAAAAAATGGATCAAAAGAAAAGTATTTAGTTGAATTTATTGAAACTTCTACTGATAGTCTACAACAAAAGTATATTTCATACATGTTAGGTGGAATTTAAAAGTCAGGTGATTTTGATGGCCAATTCACATGAAGCAGTGGTTCTGATTTTAAGTACTAGCCGATAATATATGCCCCATGAACTTGTGCATTATCATTCATTAAAAGTAATCTCAAGAGCCATGGTTAAGATGTGGAAATCAGGGCTGCTACTGAGATCAGTGCCTATCCACACCATCAAACCACCATCTCTGTATGATGATGTTACCAGTATGACAGCAAGTGTTAAGCATATTCAAGATCAATAATTAGTCTGCAGACTAGACCTTGACTTATACATAAAAAGCACAATATCCCACTGTTGCATAACTCAACCGAGGTGATTTTTTTGACCAGGTTAAGTTGGCTCGTTTGTGATACAGTGCCAGTGGGATACAAATTGTTGGTCATCTAACATACAACTGATATATGTTTAGTCATTTGTAAACAGTATGTGGATATTCGATGTTTCTTGTCATTGCTATAAGGAAATATTCAATAACAAAATTACGATTTATATTTTTACAACAACATACTTGTATAAATATATCAGCAGCTCCAGAAAGAGGAGGAATACCACTATCCGTAGCAATTACTGTGACATTCAGCCAAGAAAACATCTCTCGATCAATTTTATTGCTGACACTCACTTCACCTATAAATAAACAACAGTTTCATCTTTTACTCATCAACAATAGTTTTTAAAATACTTTTTATTTAAAAATTTAAAGTGAAGGTTAAAATTAAATGCAATGTGTTTTTATTTATACAGTTAATAGATCAAAATATGAACATCAATTATTAATTTTTTGAAAAAGTTTCCATAATTTAATTTTTGCTAGGTCAAATCATTTGTTTAAAATAATTTCAGTGAAGAGTAAGAGTTTTAAAGGAGAAATATTTGTAATTTATGTATGCACCCATTTGGTAAAATGAAGGAGATTTAGCAAAAATCTGTAACTAGAAATAATAATAATAATAATAACAAAAAGGATCAATAAAATGTTATCTCAATCATAACTTGAGGTTTATGCTTTAATTTGTATTTAAACAAGGAATTCTATCGAATGAAATATAAAAGTCTTTTTTTTCCCTCACTTTTCTACATAAACATACCACTAAAAATTTTGAAGGTGCTTTAAAATATACATTGTTAATATACTATATTAACAATGCAGGTTTCACCAAATAATTAAAACCAACCCAAATTGAAGGAAAAAACTATAAACAACAATGCACTGTTGCCAAATGCCCATAGCAAAAATGTGCTTTTTATTCATTACTTCTATACTTTGCATCACAACTTCATTTCAGAGATACTAGATCACATTCTGATAACCAATGTTTAGTGTTCTGGCACTCAATTACTTTTAGAAACTATGCATAATTATTTTCTGTAGTTATGTCAACAAACAAAAGCAAAGGCCATAATGAATACAAACAATTAATTTTAATATATATCAATATTTTTTATAACCATCAAGTCTTTCAAAGTTAACAGCCTTAAAAGCAATTTTAAGTTTTAGCTGTATTTTAATTTTTTTTCAAATATTTAGAATTAATTAATATATAAGGAAAAATAAAGAAGAGCTTATATTAAATCCCTAACATGCACATTATTATTATTTGAATACAGCTTCATTAAATGGTAAAATTTCTCTTTTCGCTCCCTTTTAATACTCTGCTGCATAAGTCTTACTGTACACTAATTGATTAGAAACAAAAACTATAATCAATTATTATCCTCCCTGTGTTTAAATTGCTGATGCAAATCATTAGCATAAGTTTCTCTTTGCTTTTCCTTCTACGGGATAGGCTGCAGTTCAATAACAAATAAGTGAAGTGACAGTTACAAATAAATTAGAAACCATGTTTAAAAGATAATTGTGTGGATGCACCATCACCATTTTTCAGCAGTTGCTTGCAAGGGCTCCTCTACCTCTGAGTTAGCAGAAGTTCCTATATTTTCACAGACAAACTTAGCAAAGGTCTACTGAGCTTTGTTCATTCAGGATAGACAAAAGTAATATGCACAAAGTTTTAGTTGACATTAGACTAAAATGCAATCATAAGGTTGCATTTTAGCCAGAGGTGATCACACACACACCTTATTAATATTTTCTATATATTACTAAAAAGTTGCAACATCAATTTCTTCCTACCCCATTTTATATCACATTTCCTATGTTCTTATTCAAACTTACTTTTTCAAGAAAAGAAATAGGCGATTTTGGGTTTTGAAGATATGTCAGGCATGACAAAATCTTATGCAAATTCCATGCACTTAGCTGCAAAATCATTCAAGTTACATGAGTCCTTTTCATTTTCCCTGCCCCACAAAATAGCTCAACATATATTCACACTGAAGATAGGGCAAATAAACTGACTTTCTCCCAATCTAAATTTTTATATAAGATAACTCAGATTTGGGATCCTTTGCACAGTTTCATAATTTACAAATTCAATGAGAAAAAATCTATAATTAATACACTTTTTATATATTGACCTCCCCCCTAAAAAACCTACACATGTGATAACAGATCAATCCTGATTTGTATAATAAAATTAAAACATCAACATTATATTTCATGCTATAGATAAGCAATGAAATGTTTGTTAATAGTATATGTTATAATATTATAACATCTACTACTGCAAAATTTAGTTGTAATTTTATTAGGACATTCACATATGACTCAGACTAATGGATATTTCATGAAGTGATTTATGCTGCATAGTAAATGACCACAAAATATTCCAGTCATCATGTGTTACCTATAATGGAACAAAAACTCTGTTTTGTTAGAAGCATGTGAAAAGGGTGGGTGAGCAGGAAGTACTTCAATGTAAGGAACAAAGAATTATCATTGAGGCTTTAGTTTGGAAAGGGATCAACAGCTCATAAATTTTGACTAAAATTTTTAGACACTATGGAGAACAATGTTGATCAAGAATCCAGGTATCTGAATGGTATATGGAAGACTTCTGATAAAGGAGAACACCAACTGAACATTAATTCCATAGAAGATGCCTAAAAACTCCATTAACACTGTAAAATACCAAAGGAGTGAATGAGATTGTTCGTGATAATTTTCACATTATAGTGTACGAAAATAGCTCAATAACTGAACACCAATGTTTGCCATGCTTATAAGATTGTGGAAAAAAGGGGGGGGGAACTGGGTATCACATGGTTTAATGTTCATTGAATTCTTCCTACATTGACTAAGAACAATGAGTTAATGCACATCCAGATGGTTACACAGCTTCCGTTTCATTTCCAAGTAGAAACAGAGGACTTCCCAAAATTCATACAAGATGAAACATGAGTCTATCACTTTATTCTTGAATCAATGGAAGAAAGCAAATGACTCTACCCAAAAGAAAAATCTTTTGAGAGTTGGAAGGGGATAATTCAAATAAATTTTTTCAAAAATAACAGAGGAATCAATTCAGGATGGTTAACTACTTATTATTTGCATCAAAGAAGCAAATTGTTTTCATCGTAACAGCATTGAACCATATATGGCTCATAAGATTATGTTCTATGATATATTACACACTTAATGTTGGTCATCTCCCTAATAGCCCATATTTAGAATTCACTGACTATCAAAGTTGTAATATGACTGCTGGATTTAAGGTTAATAATTCCATTAATTCACTTGGAGGAAAAAGGATACACAATAACCAAATACCTTTTTTCAAATAGGAATAAAGTATATGTAAATTAGATATTTCAGATTGCTGGTTAAGATGCATTGCAGAGCAAGAGTTCTTAAGTATTTTAATTCAGTGGTCTTCACACTGTGTTCCATGGAAAAACTTCAAACCATGTTAGGAGTCAAATCCTACAGTTCCGCAAGTTAAAAATATAAAGATACATTAGTTACAGATTGATTAGTTATAGAATTTGTTTTTAAAATTTGTTACCACATTTCAAAGTGATGCTTTTCAAAACTGAACAGTTTTCTGATGAAAATGAATTGAATTTAGGAGACAGTTAAAAATTATACAATGGAGCACATTTTCAGCTGAACAAAACTATAAAAGAATACTTCTCAAATGAAAAAAACTAAGTATGACTGCATAAAAATCTCTTCGAGAAGTACAATAAATCATACAGCTTGCCAATAAAGGAAAAGAAACAATTTATCAATATGTCAATGACATTAAAAACTAAATTTAAGTAAGAGCAGCTCCTAAATTTTTGGTTTTAGATTTATTCAGTATATAATTTTCTAATAATATTTTAATGCCATTAGCCAAAGTGAAATATTTTTCTCAATGTATGTGGCAACAACAAGGGGAAAAAAAAAAAAAAAAAAAAAAAAAGGTTAAATGCAGAATATGAAATGCAGTTGCAGATAATATTAATAGGGTTTGTTTAAAAGAATGCAACCACATCCCTGTCAGGAAACAAAATGCAAGGGTAGGAGACATCTGGAGCACAAGTTAATACTATTAATGAGTGAATTGGATTAATTTTATACTAAATTTTTTAATAAGAAATACAGTACTTTTCTTTACATAAAGTACCTATAACATACTGATCTACTTAAAATTCTAGTTTAAGATACATTTTTCTAAGGATGGGAAGGGATTACCCAAAAAACCTTATAGTTCTAAAGGGTCCGTGTGTCGACAGAGTTTGAGACAGAGTTTGAAGACCACTGCTTAAACTAATGATATGCTATTTAGGTATGTAAACATTCAATCTTTTTCAGTCATTTCATTTGCCTAAGTCATATTTGAATGCACTATACTCATATGTATTGCACTAAATCATTTAATAACTATGACAAGTAAAACAAATACATAGCAAACAATTTAAGTTACAGTGTTAAAACAGATAATGAATGATTAGCTTTGTTTAAAAAGCAGTAAAAACCCACCTGTTACTGGATGAAGCCACAGCAAACCAGTAGATTCTGCAAGGAAATAGCAGAGAAGAATAGTAAAGCATGGTTAGCAATTAAGCCCTTTCACCACATTATTAACTATTAATATTAGCTTGTTAATGGGCAAATAATAATGCCAAACATTTAATGCAGTCTGCATCAGAAATTATTTGAAGTGCCAGAAAAATTTTTTTAACAATTTTTAATAATTAAACATAATGGATATTTTTCACATTTAGCTGTGTTTATGCATTAAAATATTTAAAAATTTTATTAAAAAACCTTTTTGATGCTTTCAGAATATACAGTGCACCAGAATATATGCACCAGAAATTAAAAATTAACATTGTATATAATTTCGTAGGTGAAGTAAATATGTCTGAAAAAATTACAGCAAATTTGGCAATAAAATTGCCATTCTGAAAAAAAAAAAAAAAAAAAAAAAAAAAAAAAAGGGCAACTTTAAATAATTTATTAATCGCTCAGTCAGATATAAACAAGCAAACTGGACTACGCCTGAAAAGTTCTGTTTCTCAGCGAGTTTTCTTTAAAAGTACAAAGCATAAAATGCAAAATGTCCAAGAATTTATTCTAATAATATTAAAAAAAATTATCAAAAACTCATATTATGATAAAGGCCACAAAAGCTATTTGATCTGAGAACACAGGCAGTTTAAGAATAATTATATGAAGGTGTGGTTGCTTTCTTATAAAAAGTTTCATACAATTTTTTTATACTGGGAATAGAATTTGGTACAAATTTCTAGTGTTCATTTACCTTTGTCTACTCATTAGCTCAGAACTTTATCACATTATGATTAAAATTTTTTTCTCAATACTTAGCAATTAAAAATTCAGGTGCAGACTGCATGCAAGTGATATTATATAATGGTTAAGCTTGTAAGCTTAGTAATTAGCTTATTTACAACAAAACATCTGTTAAATACATAAAAGCACAGTTATCAGCTCAAAAATGCATAAATGTAAGAATAAAAAAACATTACTGGACAAAAAGTTGTAAAAGTATATAAATACAAATAAAAGGAAGACCTGCTCTGATAGAATGTTTAAAATGTATTGCACTTCTCATATATTTGTGGTTTTCATTTAACCTATATATGTATGCTGTAGAGTAATAACTGATTACAACAATAATAAAATGCCCTGTCTTCTAGAATGGTCAAACACAGAATAATACATTTAGATATGATTTCAATTAAACGTTTAAAAAAGTGGGTCATATAGACACTTGGTTAGCTGTTAAAATGTAAAATTTTATGAAATTAATATGGCTATACATGGACTTTCAAAATCCTTTCATGGATACTCTATACTACAACTTAAAGCATGATACAGCATAATAATATAAAATGAAATTTTTATACATCAGGCCACATACTAAACAAACACACAGCAATTGCAAATGGCCAATCAGTAGAAATACAAGCAGATAAAAATGGCAATATTTTAGTCCAGGAATTTAATATTTTAAAACTTCACATTTTCAAAAAATATATGTATTTTAAATAAAATATAACATAATGAAAAATTAAAAATAGTTCTGGGTAAAAATAGCAGTTCAGTTTAAAATTTTCATATCTACACAAAAAATTATTATTATCTACTCAAAGTTTCAAATACTTTTTTTTTAAATAAATAAAATTTTCATAATATAAAAATCATCAGTATTCTTTCTTTAATAAAAATAACGTTTATTTTTAATGTATGATCTATTATGTATTTATATAAAGCATATTTATCTACTGCAACAACAAATTTTCAAACCATGCATAAAAAATAAAATTATATTCATATTTTAATGTTAACAGTATGATTACCAAATTATTATATTTGTCATTAATTTATTTTTGGATACTTTATTAGGATACTATGGGATATGGCAAGCTAAAAATTAAGTTTGAAATTAATTTTCCTTTTGGATTTAATTTTTCAGACATGATATATTAAAAAAAGCATGTAAAGCAATACATTAATTTAAATATAAGTGGTTTAGTCCTTTGGGAGGAAAGATTTGCACCAAAACTTAGCAATTCTCTGATATTAATGAGTCACTTTCAAGCACTGATATGCAAATGTAAATTAGACAGCAACAGATAGTTGTTATGATATTTAAATTGATATAAACTATAAAGTTAACAAAATTAAAATTTATATTTTACATATAGCAGTGCTCTGTGCTAATTTAGGACAAGGTACTACAGTAGGGATTATACATAGTAGAGCCCTGTTTTGAACATACTGCCCTATATTTTTAGATACATGTTCCAACTGCTGTACTAATATGACACCAAAGATAACAGTGATTACCCATACAACTTAATTCATGTGATATGCACAAATATGCAAAAGTTCAGCTAATAAATTTGAAATATTATCAACCTTATATACACAGCCAAAACCTGGCATCTGTCTGTATATCCATTTTGGCATACTAGGTATTGCCAGGGTGGGTTGCTAAGTGTTAAGGTTCCACACCAGATGGAGTTCCACGGAAGAGCACCCCAGGGGGTGGTCTGAAGGTCATCCACACTCTTCTCTTACCACCAAGCTCTCAGAAAGATTTCGGCTTGCCACGCATTTTGAGTGCTTCCTTGCCGCCCAAACACTATATGCTCACAAACATCCATGCCTCCTCTGGGATTAAAACTCGAGCACTTCAGTTCAGCTGTCAGCAACACTAACTACTATCCCATCTACACAGCACTACATATTTAGTGTATATTACCTCTTTATTTTTCTTATATGTATAAAAGTAAGAAATGCTGATATTTCTAATTTGTACTGGCCTATCTGAAGCTATGCTTTTGAACTGATTGCAGGCTATCTACTCTTATGTTACAAGATTATTATTATTACATTTTAAAAAATGTCTTTTCCACATATTTGTTGCCTGTACAAAATAATTAGCTCCTATCAGGTAATGTTTTGGAAGCCCTGCTTCAGTTTAATACCATGGGATGGTAAGTAGAACAAAAATTATATTTTTCATCAAAGCAATAAAATATCAGTAAGGATGTCATAAATGTACTTTTTCTCATACTTAGGACTGCAGTGGAGAAAGCAATATTTCGTTTACCTTATCTGCAGAATTTCAACACATTATGATTTCTTTTTTAACAGATATTTCATTAAATTAGAAAAAATCATTTATTTTTTCAGTTATGCACATATTTTATTTATTTTTTTTGTTACGCTGATGGCCCAGAGAATGCTTCCAAACAACAAATAACTGAAGCTTTTGGGATTAGCAGACATGAAGTCATAAGTGTATTTTTAAAGTAATGTGACTCTATTCTTTAAATTTTATAATTTTGCTTATTATTTAATCTGTGATTTAAAAAAAAAAAAAACTCTTTAGTAGACACAGATGATAATTAACTCAGGCTATCTGATTTTTTAAATGATGAAAATTCTTAGAAAAATATGTCATAGTGCCTATATGTCCGCTTCTTACGCTCATTCTAAAACTAAATATATTATAATAGAAAATAAAATAAGCAAAGACAAAGAAGCATTAAAACCATATTTAGCATAAAAGAAAGATGCATCAGTTATAACACTACAAAATACCTGATTTTTTATCCATCCCAACAAGGCCGATGATATCGGGACTTCCTTGAAGTGAATATATTAATGATCGATTCTTGTCAGCATCTTCAGCGACCACTGTCACTATTGGAGAACCAGGTTTCGTGTTTTCTGTTACTGCTTGTCGATAATACCTCTTTTGAAAGTGAGGTTTGTTATCATTTACATCATCAATACGAACAGAAAGTGTAGCTGTAAATTCAGAAAATAATATAAACTTACAAAATTTCCTAGAGATTGGATTAGTAAATAATTGCATAATAACATGAGACTAAAGAAAGTCTAATAAAAATAAATGATGAAAAAAAAAATCTGAAAGGAATCCAATTTTAACATTCCATCAAAGGGCTTGGTAAATGTTTTATGCTCTCATTGAGCTTGCAGTTTGTTTACCTCCCATTTGATTCACTTCTGCTGACACAACAATTTTCGGGCGTTTTAACTTTATTATTAAACTTCACCTTCTTCACACTTGCAAGATATAAAATTCAACAGCAAAATCACAAAATTTTAAAAGCAGCATGCTGTTAGAATTCCCAGTAAAGTGTTTCATGTTTTGTGTTACTGCATCGCCCAGAAGGGTTATTATTCTTGAACATTACTTCAAATAACATTTGCATCATTCTTCAAATAAATAGCTTCTGGTGCATCTAGCCACCTAAAATAGTTACTATAGAAAAGAATAATATATATAATGCTTTAAATAAATCCAGCTAGTCTCATTTCATGAGTCGAGCTGATAATTAATGAGTTTATTGCTTTTAACTTGCTTAGTTTTTTAATCAATAATAGATGAGTTAAATTTAAAAGAAAAATTAAATATTTTACTCTTTGCCAAATGACAGCAAACTGGCAAATGGAATTTAAAAGTATTTTTATATTGAATCTCTTTAATATTCCCAATAAAGTATTAAATGTAGTCATACATTTTTTAAAAATTTGCGATATTATTTCATTAAAAATAACACATGGAAATCAAATTTTGTGACGACATCCTTTCATTTATATTGCGATAAATTTTTTATTTATATTCACTATATTATTTCTTTAAAAGTAATACATCGCGATAACATTTGCTGGAAACATTTGAAAAGGGATATGGTCAAAAATGTGAGATTTGAAACTAATAATATCCTTAGATGCTAAAAATCTTACACAGCACAAAATAAAGTAGTATTTTGCTATTCATTCACAAAAATAAGTAGACTACTAAAATAAATATATTATATAAATGAAAAGTTTAGCATACCAGTTGATGTTTGCCCTTTAGTAGCAGCAGCTAAATCTTCTACTTTGATTACAAGCTTAATCACTTCCATTTTTTCTCTGTCCAAAGATTTGGCAACAGTTAAAGTGCCATCCACAGCATTAATAGCAAAGATGTTATTGTAGTCATATTCTGTTGGTGAAACAAGAGCTCCCTCTTCTGTTCTACCCTCACTGGAACGATAGTCAAGAGAAAATCTTAAAACAGGTCGTTCATCTGCATCTATTGCAGAAACTTTAGTTACGACAGTACCAACTTCTGCATTTTCAGAAATAATTGCCTAGAAAGACATAATAAATTTATTAAGCTAAAAGAGAAACATGACTACTATTACATAAATCCAACTATAAAAAAATATTCAATTTTTTTAATAATTTACCTTAAGAAATGTGGTCACTGAAAATAACAAACTGTTATTTGACAAGCAAGAAATTAATCCTCCCCCCAAAATACAGAATCATATATTTTTATATAAAATATTTGCAAGATGGTTTTCTGTATTTTCGAATGAAGACAACTTCTAATGTAACGAGATTAATAATTGAAAACAACAGTGCACTTTTTAGTATTATTTATTCAAATGAATATTTTGCAAACATTTCATGCAATTCACAAGAGGAAATGACAGCGCTTTATTTTTTTGTTTTAAATTACATGCATAAGAACATTTTCTATTAACACTGTTGGTGAGAACTGTTACAATAGACATGACTGAAATAAACACAAATATAACAAATAATAAAGATTTTATTTATTAATAATGAAGATTAAAATAGTCCATCAGTTATTAATTTAATAATAATGCAAACATGAAGCTTAATTTTTTAAATTAAGGTGTATGAGTAAATATTATAAAAATACTATAGCACTTTCTACAAAATAAAATTTGTATTATGAATCACATTCTGAGAATTCCAATCAGAATTATGCTATTCTAAAACACAGGCATTTTTATTTCATGTTCAAATAATTTTTTATTAGTAATGGCAGTAAAACAATGCTAAAAATTTCCATGAGTACTTATTACTAAGATGCAAGGTTGCACGACAAAAAAATCACCGAGGTCTGTGATATAGTCCACTGACATAATGTTTTGAAATCAATTGATATTGCACTTACAGCTGATTTAAAGCCTAACTTCAGAAAAAGAATCTATGCCATATTAAAATTTATGGATTAAAATCCACTGAAAAAATACCATTAATATGAATAATAAAAAAAATCAAAAGCATATAATACACAGTTTATTCTAGATATATCATGCCTTTAAGGTCTTTAAAAGTAACTTTGTCAGTATGATATGATGCTAGCAAAACCACATCCAAATGGCTTGCTTAATTTGGAAAGCTACAAGAAAAAGAGGAAAAACTTTTGGATAATGAAAATGAGAAGCAAGAGATTATTCATTAGAAGATAGAAAGCCAGTATTGGGGATGCTGAGTACTGCTAACAGATACTTATAAAAGAGCGCCTTAAGACGGAAATTGTTGGTAGGAAGTTGAGAACAAGCAGTGAGATAAAAGACACAATGCTTCAGTGGCTATGCACTGGTAAAATTCAGGAATTACTGAGAACTATGTTAAAAAAAAGATGAATTCTTCTTTTTCTTTTTTGTACCTCTTTGTTAAAACACCCAGTATGCTTAGATGCCAAAATTGAACACTTTAGTCACCAAATTTCAAATGTTGTCAAAGGCTTATGTAGTGGGCAGGACCGGCATTAGACTTTTGTCGCCCCGGTGCAAACCTTGCAAATCCAAAATTCTGCCACCCAGTTCCTTTCTAAATTTTAGAAATGCTGCCACCCAGTGCAGTCACACTGGTTGTGCATTTTATGGCGCTGGCCCTGGTGATGGACCACTTTGACAATGAAGTACTGTATTTTCAGGCCTATTTGTGCATGACTGACTGTTGGAAATTTAAATTCATCAATTTATTTTATGCAATGAAGGAATATATGATAATGATTTTAGAAACATTTATGCAACTGATAAGAAAAATTTATACTAACAAATGTCTCAGTGCTAACAAATGCTATTCTCAGTAGCTAGTAAGATATCATTATTCTGTTAAGCAAATAAACAAACAACAATAAATAAATAAATAAAATTTAAAAAATATACATACATAAAAGGAAACATTCCTTACCGGTTTAGGGTCCACAAATTTAGGAGCTTTATTATTTACATCCATAATAGATATATTAACAGGAACCCTGTTTTGCTGCTGCTCTGTACCAATGCCACCATCTAATGCCACAACATCCAGTAAGTAGAAATTAGATTTTGGAATAGTTCTGTCTGGATCTAAGTTAGCTCCACGTGCTACACTAATGATACCAGAATCTGCATCAATCACAAATTTATCTTGTGCACCAGACTGTATTCTATATACAACTTGACTATTTGAGGAAGAATGGTCACCATCTAAAGCTTTTACTTGTACAACAGATGTTCCAGGAGGTGTATCTTCTGGTATTGATTTGCTATAAAATGGCTGTACAAAGACTGGTGGAAAATCATTCACATCCTATAGAAAGATGTAATAAAATTAGCACAACTAAAACAAGGAAAGAGTGAATTATTTCTTATTTTTTAGTACGATGAAAAAATTGTAATGAGAAAATTGAAATGTTTCATCCGTTAAACAAATATAATGATTTTTATTTTGAAAATATTTTTGTTATTCATGATAAAAATAAACTTTTATTTTAAAAGACATGCCAAAATTTTGATATTTGTGGATGACTTTATATAATAAGTCAATAGGAATATTTAGATAATTACGAGTATCAATAACAACCAAGATCAATGCTGGTCTTTTTACTACTTGCAATCTCTATGCAAGCCAATACCTCTAAATTCTGCTGCATAGTGAAATTGCACCTGCCCTCATATTAATTTTTGAATTGTACAAAATTTGCTCAGCTAATTATTTTCCTTAAATTTAAATACTTTCTTTTTTTTTTGTAATTTATTATTACTTATGCCTCTGTGATATAAAACATTTAAACTGGTTACAATTACAAGAGTAAAATGTAGTTAGAAAAAAGAAAGGAGTTGTTTCTTAGATTTGTAATAACCCACATTTTAGTACCTTGATGCCCATGAAATTTAAACTATCAAAAATTTATAATAAACAAACAGGTTATAAAGGCACAAGTGAAATCAAAATTTAACAAATAGAAATAAAATGTATAGGCTATAGCTTTTGAAACTAATGTTAATAAAAAATTGTATTTTTCTTAAGATTCAAATCTGAATGTTGTGTTGGTTATCTGGAAAATTCTGCTGTTTTTTAATGATAAATAAAAATGAAGCATTAATTTATCAATAGAAGTCAAATGATAAATATCAGCATTATATTTGCAAATTTTCACAAGACTAGTTTTGATGGTTTTATGTAACAACATCCTCAGCTGCCAAACAGCAAATGAAAGAGATATGATATAATGATAAGATACAAATGGCTCGACAGGACTTAAGCTACTGGTGCCATTTATTGATGAAACGAGAACTAAAACATGATTTCCTTAAAGGCTGAAGGCAAAGAAGGATTGGAATTAGGGTCGTTAACTAGAACAGAAAGATTTTTTTTTTTTGAATGTGAAACTCTAAAATCTAATTCACCAATGGAAGATGTTTTTTGAATAATTTTGGTTGGAGAAAAATTGAAAGTGTGATTTTCGGACCAACAATGCTGGGCAACAGAGGCCTTCTGTGTTTCCTTTTTTCTAACATATGTCTCATATTCCTTAACACACAATTTTAAGACTCTCTTAGTTTGAGCAATATAAATTAAACTACATTGGCAAGGAATCCTGTAAATACCCCAGGTATTCATATCCGGAATGGTCTTTGAGTATGGGACTCAACATTTTATTGATAGGAGAATAAGCAATCTGAAAGTTAAATTTCTGTAAAATACATGCAATTTTATAGCTAATTGATGAAAAGAAAGGAAGAATTTTTTAGCTGCTTGATTAATAATGGTGGGTGAAAAATCCGTGTCAATAGCAACTGCTTTTAAATAATTTAATTCTTGATCAAGAACCAATTTGGAGAAGCAAACTTGAAGTGCATGGAAAACATAGGAAGAAAGTGAAGCTATCTTTTGTTTAGTTGTTTAGTTTTTGAACTGTATCGTGTAGATTTTCAACAATAACTTATTTTAATAGAACCTTGTTTACAGAGGATGGTCATCATCTTCAAGGCTAAAATTTCAGCATTTGAACACCTTTGAACTATGTGACCAGAAAATGCACTCTGCTCAAATATAGCACAGATATTGTTTGACTAGCAATTTTTCCTCTTTTAAATTATAAGAGCATAAAATACTGAAAATGAACTTCTGAGTTCTTCATTCTTAGCACAGCACTAAAGCAAAAATGATGCAATAACACCTACTAGAATAACATCATTAACTTTGATCAAGGCCTTTCCTTATCAGCAGTCACTATATGATTACAAGACAATGTGCTTTGATTTGAAAAACTGCAGAGTTTTCTGGATGGTCTACTATTATGCAGATCTATGTTTGGTGTGCATTTATTTCATGAATCTTCTTTATCTAATTGACATAAAAATCTTCACTTAAGATGAATATTAAATTTTTCTACAAAGTGTATCATATAACTATTTTTAAAAAGCATTGAATGCATATGAAGGACAATTCAAACACGCTGAATGACTTTTGATGATACAATCAGAAAACAAATATTACAGGATTATTCTTTCAAAATATGTATTGAAATAAGAATAAAGTTACAGGTCTTATATAAATAAATTAAGAAAGACTTCAAACATACCTGGACATATATTATAACTGGCACATCACTGTAAAGAGACGGCGATCCGAGGTCATAGGCTCGAACTTTGAGTTCAAATGTTCTTATATCACCTTTCTCATTGGACATTTTCTCAAAATCAACCATTGTTCTAGGTCTAATTTCTCCAGTTAACTGGTTGATAGTAAAGTTTTTATTTCTATCCCCATCAACTATTTGATATCTAACTTGACTATTTGATGATCCCCGCAAATCATCATCCTGTGCCTGTAGAAAGATAAGATGTTATGAAAAAGCATAAAAATTTCTTTGCATTATGTTACATGAAATAGCTTTATAAGTTAATTAAATTTTTAACTCAAGTTTGTAAAAGAGACTGCAAGAACATGACCCTTTAAAAATCTGGCAATGAAATATAAACTTACTATTAACACTATTTACATAAACAATTTTGCTAGTTAGTATAGTTTTCAGAAAGTCAAGATGATTCTAAAAATCTTTACATAAAAAGATATAACTATCATTGTCAAATAATAATAAAATAATCTAACAAAAATTCACTGTTTAATAACAGACAACAAACATTTTAAAATATTTTTGTCAACATCTTTGTTGAGTTCCAATTTGTGAAAAGACCAATTAATTTTAGAATTTCTTTATAGGAAATCAGTTCCATTAAGGAAATTATATTAAACTATGAAATGCTATGATTACCCTATGCTGAAAAATTTATCAAATATATGTAGCATATTTATGTTACATGAGGAGTAAATATCTATACTTGATCAGTAAAGATAAAAAAAAAAAAAAAAAAAAAAAAAAAAAAAAAAATCTACAAAGAAATTACCAACATTCTGTTGCTTTAGGCATTGGGGAACTTGAAAATAAATGGAATAATCTCTGAAATGGAGATTGCATTTATGAAGTTATTATTTTTTATTTATTTCCTTTTTTAACAATGCAGGGAAAAAAAATCAATCCTTATTTTGTACCTTTACAGTACTTCTCAGCCATCAGAAAATTTTTTATACCACTTGTAAACACTGACATATATTCCGTGTTTTCTGCAAGCTTTATTGCTCATGTCGAAATTTATACCAATAGTATTTACTTTTTTTATGCAATGCATTTTCACAATGGATCATTATTTTAAGTTTTTACACGTCTTCGTTTAAGAGTTCGGCTATTGTAAAAAAGACGACGAATTTTCTTTAGCCGCTTCAAAATAATATAAAAACAGAAAAAAATTCTCTAAAGCATATTTTAAGTTTTAATTAGCAAAAAAGAACAAAAATTAAAATTTATTAAGAATAAAACACCTAACTGAAAATTTATGCCAAGCATTTCTGAAATGAAAATCACAGCACAAAATAATATGTTTTTCATGTCATAACGTAAGCTTCGATTAAGAAAGTTCGCATTAGTAGCCAAATAAAAAAAAAAAAAAAAAAAAAAAAAAAAAACTTAAAAACACATAGATTGCAAACCATAGCAGACAATTTTGCGCGCTTTAGTACTGTTGCCATAACAGTACATAAAAGTTGAGCACTAGAGCTAGACAACGAAATAATAGCCTTATCACTCTCGGGGAGTGAAATATGGCGAACTATTTGGTATAAATGCATTGAGTAGGTAATTATTTTTACAACTACCAATAAACAAAGAGTATAATTTTTGCCAGTTTCGTATGAAGAAGTTTCGCACAAATGAAGATTCGAAAAATAATTTCAATCTTCAAATAGTTCATGTAAGTGCTGCCATCTCTTGGAGCTATTGAGAATTCAAGTGTGGACTGAACTTAAGAACGTCGGAAATAAATTTCGTATCGCTGTATAACTAGCGATCACGTTGAAACTGAGAAGGAAAGAGCTATACAAAGAAATAAAGTAGGTATTTTGTTTTCTGAGTGCCTAATAATGTAGCTGCACTATTTATTAAAACTGGAAAGTATTTTCCAGAGGCACCAGAGCTTTTGGCATTTGGGTCAGTACCTGAGTTTGCCGCTCATCTCAATGTTTCAATACATACCAATAGAATGCACAGCGACCCGTGGTACGCAAGAGAAAAATTGGTGATACTCAGCGAAACAAATTATTTTATCTATTAAATTCAAAAATTAAATACCCCAACATACTGTTTAATTTTTTTCTCTAACACTCGTAAATTTGTGCTATCTGAGTTTTGTTCCAGGTCAACAGCCGCTCAAAGACTTTAGCATAAGCCGTTTTTATTTTTACAAATATTCTTTTAGCCATAGACATAACAAAATTTGTCCTAAACGATGTTTTCAAAAGGAGTAATAGAAATGGATGTTGTATTTAATAGGAAATAAAAATAAGTTTCTATAAAAGGATAATAGTATCTCATTAATTCTTTTAGAGCTGATCGATTAATTAGCATGTTTACACTTTATATCGCCACGATTTTCGGACTGATATTGCTCTGTTTTCAATTAAAATAATCCTTTTACGTCGATTTGTTCTCTCTCTAACAGTAGGTACTTTGTCTTTTTGCTGCTTGTATTCCTAGATTTTCTGCGCGATTTGAGAATATCGTCGTTTGTTTTATTGTGTATTTAAATATTCCTGAAAAAACAGTAAAACAAACCTAGATTTTCAAAATGGAAAAATGGCTATGATTGACTGAGCGGAAAATTGATGATTTACAGGTGGTGGATCCAGAGCAATCTGCTAGTATTAGGAACATTGAAAAGAAAAGAAAAATTGGTTATAGAAAATATAATGAAAGTTATTTACCATTTGTTATTTGGAATGGAGATGAGAAATTGTTTATAGAAAATATAATGAAGTTATTTACCATTTGGGTTTACTTGCAATGGCAATGAAATGCACCCTCAAACTCAGTGTATTGTTTGCCGTGAATTTATTATCCAGTCAAAGTATGAAACCATCGCTTCTTAAAAGACATCTTGAATCTAAGCATGCTAATTTAAAGGATAAATCTGAAGAAATATTTTAAGAGGAAATTATCGGAGTTCAAAAATAGTAAATAAGTAATGAAAGGTTTTGTTACTTCAAGTGAAAAAGCTTTGGAAGCTAGTTACCTAGTAAGCCTAAGAATTTCCAAGACTGGGTAGGCTCAAACTATTGGAGAAAATCGTAGATTACCAGCAGCTAAAGATATCGTTTTAACATTATTCAACAAAAAGCGGCTACTGAACTTAATAATATTCCGTTATCAAATGATGCAGTAAGTCGACGAATTCATGAAATGGCAAACACCATAAAAGAGACACTTATTCAAAAACTAAAACATAGTGAATATTTCGCAATGCAGTTGGATGAAAGTACTAATGTAATGCGCTTTGTTCTATTAGTTTACATACGTTTCGAAGACGATAAACGAATTGCCGAAGAGTATTTATTTTGTGAATCTGTTCATGATTGAGCTAATGAAATTTTTGAAGTAAGTGACAATTTTATGTTTGAGAATGATATTCCTTGGAATAAGTGCATTGCCGTATATAATGACAGAGCTCGGACTTTAATAGGAAAAACATTTCGGTGTTATGTGCCAAATAAAGAAAGTCGCACCTGAAACTAAATTGACTCACTGCTCCATTCATCGTGAAGCTTTAGTAGCCAAAACAATCCCCGAAAACCTGAAAACGTTTTGAATCAAGCTTGTGAAAATTGTTAATTTTATTAAAAGCCGAGCTTTAAATTCAAGAATATTTACGATTTTATGCCCAGAGATGGGTAGGTGAACATGAAACGCTTTTGTTACATTCCGAAGTAAGGGAATCCAGGGGCAAAGTTTTAAATCGTCTTTTTGAACTTCGATCAGAAATTCAAATTTTCCTCTGTGATTCAAAATTTGAATTCCAAAAATATTTATTTCGTGACTTATGGTTGGCGCGTTTAGCATATTTAGTTGATATTTTTGGAAAGTTGAATGAATTAAACTTGGGATTACAAGGATAAAATGTTAACTTGTTTACCATAAGAGATAAAATAAATGCAATGTTAAAAAAACTCGAGCTAATAATCAAAGAATTGGATAACAATATTTGTTTTTTACCACTTTTATAAAGTTTTCTAACCAAAATTAATTCGAAAATAAAAGAAGAATTAGTACATTAAAAATTTGTTTTCATTGCTAAATAATTTCGGTATGTATTTTCCAGATGATCATGAAAAAAATAATTGGATTAGAAATCCACTTTGTTCCAATATACGTGAAATATCTTGTGAAGAAAAAGAACAATTGATCGAAATTACATGTGATCGAACTCTAACTGAAGATTTTAAAAATAACACACTTGTTAACTTTTAGTTGAATCAAACGAAACAATTTAAAGGCATTTTAAATAAAGTTATTAAATTTGTACTGCCTTTTTGCATAACCTATTTGTATGAACAAGGATTTTCTTTCATGTTATACTTGAAAAATTATTACAAAACAAAATTAAAAGTGGATCTTAATTTACGGTAACTAAGTGATAAAAGACCAGACATAAAGAAACTGATCTCCCTTAAACAGGCCCAAATTTCACACTAAATTTTAGAATTAAAGTATTGTTACGAATTTTGTACTTAGATAGATAGTTTTAGTAGAATTATAATTAAAATTATTGTATTTCCGCGTGCAATGCTGGGCAACAAATTTTAAGAGAAAGGCTATGCCGGAAAACTAAGAATACAGGTGCATTTAACATTGAGTACATTGTTAGCTCGGTAATTTGTATTGAAATTGAATAAATGTAATATACCACTAGACCACTGTGTTAGCTCTAACCGTAATTCCATCCTCTTATTGCTCTCCAGAAATCTCGAGAAGCAGAAAGCACTAGAAATTTCTCGCGACCGGTTGAAAACTATAAAACCTCAGAGAGAGAGAGAGAGAGAGTAAAATGGTAACCACTTTTTTTATGTGTGCATAATTAATGCAAATAGCCAATATGTTGTGCAAATGGCAAAATATATATATTTTTCAATATTTATATTGAGAAAGTGAAAAATAATCATTGTAAAATGTAGTGGTAATACTAAAGTTTCTCAAAGTTTGTTCAGATGGTACGCGTTAGTCAAAAGGTTGAGAACCGCTGATCTAGAACATTTTAAAATACTTTCCACATCAGTTCCAACATTATAAAATCCTTTTCTACTTGCTCTCTGTTAGGAAAGTCTTTGATGACATTGCAGAAATCTGTTTCATTACACGAGACGCTATTCGGTAGGCATAGTATTTTAAGAAATCTTATATTCTTCGGTATAGTAAGATTTCTTAAAGGCGAAGTTCTCAATTGTAGGTCTCAGGTTCTCTTTTTAATGGATTTTAATTTAGAAAAATACTTTTATAGTCAGTAATACTTGCAGCAATTGTGAAGAAAATTCGTAGTACTATTACAAAATTTGATCCTATGTTTTGAGGCCGATAGGCTAATAATCAACTTGTAGGATTCCACACTGTGTAATTCTAAGTTACAGTTGAAAGTGAAGAATCTCAAGAACTAGTAAGCGATTAATCGCTTGAGTTCGTATACAGGAAACAACAAGTCAGAGGGTGAAATAACCCTTTATTATTCTAATAAAAGTTTTACAAAACTCCGTCTTGGAGTTGTACAATAAAGTCGACACTCGGGTTTGAACTTAAGAAACTAAGAATTAAACTGAACTAATCTAAACTAAAGAGATATAGCCAAAGCTATCAAGATTTTAACAGATTTGGCCCCTTAACGTTAACTAACTGCGAAGCTATCAAGGGCCTAAAGTACGGCCGAGCGTAATAATAGCTTACGAACGAGTAACCTACAAAGGCGTGCAGGCAGAATATCTGGTATATCTCTCGCTAAGACAGTAGAACTTCGCGGTTAAATACCGCTCTTCCCCAAATTTGCATTCAAACGTGATTCTAAAACTACTTTCTGGCCGGAAGTGGTAAGTTGAAATTAAGAATCCAAGAAGAAAGAATCAAGAATTAAGAATTAAGAAAAGTTTTTAGGGACCAATTTCCACATTTCTGTTTCGTCCTGCTTAGCAGTAACAGAAATTCAAATTTGAAGTATTTCTCTTTGAACGAGGAATTTTTTTCTTATTAATGTCTTATTGGTCATTATTTAGTTGGCATTTATGTTTTTCCTTAAAAAATTTCGAACTTTTAAAGAAAGCATAGTAAGAACATGTAAATATCCATTATGATTGCACTGAATGTTCTGCCAAGTGTAAAAATTAATTTTCTCCTAAATTCGATTTCGTAAGGGAATTGTCATCTCGTGATCCTTTCACTTATTTTCAATTTCTTCTGTCTGCTATAACGGTCCATGATTAACTTTTACAGTTACGTTAAAAATGCTTTCTTAAAAATGTGCCGCTTGGCGCAGACCGCCACCTCTAGCTACGCCACTAGTATTTTCGACATTGTCAAAAGCTGATTGATGTTTATTCAGAAGACTTTTTGTTACCGGATTGCACTGGCTACTCCTGAATTTCACTGCTCTGTGCCACCCAAATTTTGCTGTCGCTAAAATCTGATGGCCTGTCCTGCATCGCATGTAACATAAATTCAGTAAAAACAAGATTCAGTCCCACCTGAATTTCACATAATGATTTTAAAAAAGAGTAGAGTATCTCTTTTAAAATATAGATAACTGCTTTCGTATATTTTAGCATTGAAGCTTACGAATTTTTCAGTTGAATTTCTATTCTCGCAACTGAAACATGCTTCAAATTACCCCAAAAACAATCACATAACCGGAATGGCTGAAGACCAACTGCCTGTTAAGTGCATAACATATATATAAATATATGTTATGCAAGAATAATTGATCCTACATAATACTTATTTTGAGTAATATTATACATCGCTATATGAACACGGAGCTCACCGACATGCATTTTATCTATGGGCCTGTGACTAAAAGGGAACAGTTACTCAAAGGAAGTACACAAAACTATTTCCGACTACTTCCTTTGAGCTGCTGCCCCATCTGAAGCTCTTTAAATAATATACATATGGACATTGAGATGAAGACGCAGCGAATGCATACTAATCGAAATTCACACAGGAGTGACAATTTACACTAATAGAACATTTTCATCTACCGTTCAACAGTGTACTGTACCACTTCAACGTGCTATTTCTGCTTACAGATTCCACTATGAAACCTGCTTATTTCAATCCCTCTACTTGTCTCCTTTTCTGGCAGATATTTTGTAATCCTTTGTGCATATGGTAACAACAATTTCCAAAAGCCTAGGACCTTCAGAGGTTTTAAAGCGGTCGTGTGATTGGAAGAAAATATGTATGATGTGACGAAGACTTATTGGGAATGTACATTTAATGCGGAAGTCGCGAACTTTCGCAAAAGATTGCGCAAAACTAAGTTCTATATTAAGTACTTGTATGTAGATTTACTAGGATCCAATGCTTCCAAGATGGAGTATCAGACGCCATATTAAGAAAAACAGCACCTTGAAACGAAAGAAATCCTTTCATTTCAACACAGCACTAAAAAAAAAAAAAAAAAAAAAAAAAAAAAAAAAAAAAAAAAAAAAATTATTTGATTACAAAAGGTACACTTACCTGAACTATAAGAGGTGTTAAGAAATTATCTTCATTTTCGTTAAGCCTAGCTTCGTATTTCTGCTGCAGAAATCGGGGTGTATTATCATTTACATCATCAACAGATATTACTAGCTGAACTGTATTCCTGTTCCCTAAACCATTATTGTCTCTAGCTTCGACGGTCACGAAATACTGGGCTGTGGTTTCTCGATCCATTCCATGATCAGAATTTTCGATTGAAATAACACCAGTGAGAGGATCCAAACGTAATCTGAAAAAGTATCGAATAAGAAACATGATTAAAGAGAAAAAGTTAAGGTCCAAGACTTTCATGATTAATTTCTTATTCTGGTTATTATCTAGTAAAGAAAAAGGAAGAGCCAGTTCACTCTCAATACCAACCTTTGAGACTCAACCAACCTTAACTAGCCTTTAGCCAAACCTACTTTAACCAAGCCATTCCAACCTTAACAGAATAGACCAGTCCATTCTTGAGCTTGATTATATATCGCAGCCCATTCTTAAGCTTGTGCATTCATAACATTAGGTACCATTGGATTCACAAAGCCGGTGCATATTTTGATATGTTGGGTTTTATGTATGATTCAAAAGTAATGTTGGAAAATTAAATCTTATTTATTTCTACTAGAAATGATTCACCGCAACCGTACTGATACGGAATGAAAAAAAATTACCCAAATTGTTTTTACTCGTCTTCGCTAGTGTTTAGTGCGAGCACCATTGATGAAACACAGGACACCTCTGAAGCAGTAAAGTCAATTTCTAAGCATATCTGGCGTATCCTTAAATGTTGGCTTTATTGTTTAATTGTTTAGGCAGATATGCTTGGGCAAAATTTGAAGAGTACCGTCTTAATGTCTGCCATGCAATCAATGGCACCCAGACTGATAAGATAAGAAAGTTAGCTGCTTTTTCCTTTTGTATCAAAATAAACAACATTTTATTCTAATCCATTGCTTTTGAATAACCTTACACTTTGTTAATACGTACAAATCAACTTGAAATGTAACAGCACTTACTTGTCTGCAATCTGTCCTCTGAGATCGGTATACCGAATGCCTCTAGTTCCAAAGTCACCAGAATCTCTATCTTGAGCCTTAAAAAATTAACGTTACAAGAAGTTAAGATCGTTTTATTATAAGCATAAAGCATATTTAAATAAGCTTAAATTCTAAAGTATGAAAAGCATAAACAATTTGAATACTTTACCTGTATTGTTGTTAGAATAGTACCAGCTTCAGCATTTTCAGGCACGGAGACGCGATAAACATCTTCAGAAAATTCTGGAAAGTTGTCGTTAGTATCTCTTATATATACAGTTACGTCGGCAGTGCTAGATTTTGGCAAGATTGGAACAGTTTCTTGAGCAACGATCTGTTAAGTCGTAAGAGATATTGTTAGTCCATAATTATGAGTAATTTTTGTTACCTATTTTACTATAGTTTTCATAAGAAAAGACTGAGAACTACTACCTTAAAATTTACGAAAATATTTAACTCTACGAGAATGACGCATACAAAATATTTGATAAAGATGCGAGATGACTTCTTACTCTGAAATTGAATTCCTGTATCCTCTCATAATCTAAGGCTTGAGAATTTTTAACCCGAATAAGAAAGGAAGCTTCGTTCACACCTTCTGAAGGTGTGACATCAAAGACAGAATCATCTCCTTCAAGAAAGATCCTGAACGTACCATTGTTACCCTGAAAAATAATTAATAAAAATCATTTACATGATACACAACATGAAAGAAACAACAGAGCAAAAATCATTTGCTGTAAAAATTTCAATTGAGAATAGAACTACGCACTTGATCATGGTCAAAGACATCAGCGATGCTTGAACCAAGAAAATTTACTGGAACATTTGCTTCTGCGTTTTCGTTGATTTCTGCTGTGTACTGACGGCTCAAAAATGTCGGAGTTTCATCATTAACATCAGTGACTATGATAGTCACTTCTGTCGTAACACTGGGTGAAGGATATACGCCCAACGCAACTTCTTGAGCCTAAAATAAAATAAGAATTATATAAGCTATAGAATGTACAGGGAGACCTCTCATGGTGATCACTTCCCTAAATCGAATCACAGTTTTCGAGAAAGCAATTAAATTACAGTATCAAACTTCACTAATAGTTCTTTCTTCAAGACAATTGCAGCCAAGAATGTCTGAAATGAAACAAGAGATCAAAATTTTCTGGAATTGTAAGTGTTAGTCTTAGCGAAGTTTCACTGTGTTTAGTTAAATTTTGCATAGTTATTCATTATATAATAAAATAAGGTTACAATATTCAGACAATTCCATAGTTACTCATTATATAATAAAATAAGGTTACAATATTCAGATAATTATAAAATAAGGTTACAATATTCAGACAAAAATAATTGAAATATATAACGATTCCAGGAAAAGCAATAACGTTAACTTACATGCTAACTTTACGTAAACGTAATTTGCATAAAAGTGGCATATTTAAAAGACCTTGTTTCAGTGATTAGGCTAGAGATTCTTAAATTACCATCAACGGATTCGGGGGAATCAGTTCAGTAATAGTCAAGTGTCCGCAGGGATTTTTTGAAAGTGAAGTTCGATTTAACTATGAATAATGTAATACAAATACTGTACAAATTAATTATTAGGAACTCGCCTTAAGAAACACTGCATTGGGAAAAGGACCACAGCTAATATTTCAGAAAGTTGCAAGTTATTTCTCTGTTAATATAATATTTATTGGGTGCATAGGGTTGTAGCATTTTGTTATGGATCGGCGACACTGCGTTGTTCATTGTAACGTGTGCACATTTTGCCAACTTTGCAGAAAAATAACAAGATGAAATATCAAGTGGACAAAATCGAACATTTCTGGCATATTCTGTTCTTCAAGTTTAAAAGAGTATTATGAGTAGCAGGAGCGGCGAAAACAATTTGCGTGATGTATAAGGAACAATGCCGTTGTTGAAAGTATGACAAAAAAGAGGTTCTTTTGTTCTGGGGAAAGCGATTTGACGTTAACTGCTAATCTACGTTTAAGAAAACCATGAAATTTTGACGAAGATTGCTTAAATCGGTATCAACATGAGAATCCTCATCAAACAACGAGATAATTAGCACAACTTAAGGAATGTGACCGCTCTATCAGTCTGACTGTGGAGCGGTGTCTTGGTACACCAGGGTACCTGGGCCGAAGGCCCTACCCCTTGTAGAACAATTTTAAAATTGCGAATGATGCCAAAAGTAACCTATCAACTTTCTAGGACTTAAAATTTGGGTAAAAAGAAGTAAGTAAGATGATGCAAGTATTAAGTAAAATTTTGAAAAAGGGGGAAAGCTGACGAATAATTAAATTGCAAAAATAAGGATAAGTTATGAACTAATAATAGCAGGAAAAGCCGTCGAGCTGGTGATGTTTACTGAAAATTAAAGTTTATAGTAAAAAGTAATTACTCACTATTAGTGCATTCCATAAATTTTTGTACGGTTTGGAGTACTGTTCGAAGTTTCTCTGCAATGTTCACATTCTGTAGAAAACTAAGTATTTCGAGTATGATTTTTTCCTGTTCCTGGATGTTTAGGTTGGAAAAACACGATAGAAGTCCATCGAAAATGCTAGGCACAGAAGTTCGGTTGTTTTTAACTTTGTCGCTGTTGCGGGTTTTGTTAGTCGTTTGGGCTGGGCGATTGTCACTCCTGGGTAGTTGCCACCCTATCAGTATACGTCATTTGCACTGGATGCATCCGCCGAATGCAAATGGCACATAATGATTGAATGGTCACATATTTTTGTTATAGGTATAACTCTTAACAAAATTCTATTGAACTTACGCATTGACCTAATATATCGACGGTCAATAGAAATTTCAAACAATATGATTACAGGGAAAATTCGCTTAAAGCAATTAATACATCCATCAACTAATGCTCGCTAAATTAAATCGAATCGACTAAAAAAAAATATTTGCTTGACCTACTTAATTAAAATTAAGTAAATAAAGTAATTTTTTTATCAATTTCATTTTTTTTTCATTTCTTATTATTATTTAAGGAAAGATATGCAAACCTCTCGTGTTCTGCAAAGTATGCCACCAGGTTTGTGCAAATAAGTAAATAATTCAATAATACAAAGGAGATATAATACAACAATAAATACGCAGTATCTAAATCTGGAAAGAATAAGGATATACAAATGCTACTATATATTATAAATAATAAAGCTATAATATTGCTACTACTAGAAACAAATAATGATAATAATAATACAATAACAATAATAAAATAATATGTAAAATAATACTAATACAAAGGGAGTATGATACAACAATAATACAATATATTAATACATAATGTAATAATATATTAATACATACGTAACATAACGTATACACAGATAAAATGCAATAATAATACAATAACACATAAATGATAATAACACTAAATGTTTAAACAATAAATAAAGTTGCGTAAGAGTTTGCGCAAGTTGCGCAAATAGTTCTGGCACACGCATAAACCCTATAGTGCAATAAGTTACATTCTACATCTTCTACAGCATCTCCACAAGCACAAAGTTCACTGGTCACGATATTAAAACAAAATAAGTAATTTCTAAAATTCCCATGATCAGTTAAAATCTGAGTTAGTTTATAATCCTGTTGAATGTACTTAACGTTGAAAAACCTCTTCGTCCATTGGGCCTCCGATGAATTCTATTGAACCACATTTTTATCCCAGGCAACAAGCTTCCAATAATATTTAGGGACAGACATCATCATGTCAGTATCAAGATAAGTCGCTTTCTCTCATTACCGAGAATACCACTCACTTCAGCTCTTTCATTACCGAGAATACCACTCACTTCAGCTCTTTCATTACCGAGAATACCACTGTGACCTCGAACGTAAGTAAAACAAGATAGAGTGAATTTTCACCCCTAGTTTTTCTGGTGATAGTACATCAGGTAGGAGAAAGAGAAAAGTAAGCGAATTTGGGCAAGTCACACGACTTTTGACAGCTGTCGAAAGCATTATTCAAATTTCGGCTAACTTGGAAGCTTTGTTCATGTCAAGATCATGATCAACCAAAATTTCTTATCTTGTTCAAAGAGCTGAAAACGATTTCGAGTTCTTTTGTAATTAACTTCCTAGTTTCTGTTTTAGTTTCAGATTTCAGGTTTGAAATTAAATTAGAATAAACTAAGCAAGATTAAATTTTCTTTAAAAAAATAGAGAGAGAAGAGACAATGTTTTCAAATGCATTTACTTTGGTTGTTATCGAACGACGTAAAAGAGGGAATTTTATTATTTGTTAAATTATCCTGCGACATTTAACAAATCTTACTAATAAAGTACTTAAGCTCTAATAAAATTAAAATGTCGTTTAAAATTAGCAACATTTTAACATTTTGTTAGAAATTTCTGCATATACGCCATTGATGTCGACGTCTATACAATATTCCTTCAATGAGATAGCTGTATTTTTCTTATGGTTTTTAGCATTATAAGTGGATTAAAAACAAAATTTTCAAACCAAGTTTATTATCAAAAATTTTGCGTCACATAGAGGGGTGGGGACTCTCCCTCTCTATGTGACTTGCGTAAAAAGGGAACTAGGGACTTGCGTATCTTATAAATGACTTGCGTAAAAAGGGAAGCAGTTACTTCCATTCAGTCTTCCTAACGGATTATCAAACACATTGAATTCGCGTTGTCTAAAAACTTTTAATGTATAGTATAACATTAGAAGTTACAAATAAAGCATACATCGTTATTTGGCGTTTAAAGAAGTTTAAGTACCATTTCAAGTAAAGTATACCTCTATTTCAAGAATAAATGCTCCATTTCTGTTGTCTGTATTTTCTCGATCCAACTTCCCGCTGACTATGACCAATCCACTCGTACGATCAATGGAAAACAAACCTCTTGAACCTGTACAGAAATATTTACAAAACATATGTCATTATTCTATGAATCTGCATTAAAAGCATAATCGCATAATGTAAATTCTTCTCACTTATGCGTCTTTTTTCAGTGGTCCCTTAAAAAACCTAAAAATAGTATTTTATTGCACTAAACACCATCAAAAGTCTCATACGACCATCTTTACGGAATACAGAATTTACAGAATTGTTCGGAATCACGAGCGGACATTTTGAGATTTCACAAAATATAATTTCCATATAAGCTGATACATTCATTAATACCAAAATAATTAAAATAGTGACCATAGGATTCAGGATTCAGTTATGTCTGTAGAATGGGGGATCTGAATAAACAGCTTAGCTGTATGGGAGTATTCATGGCTTTTCCATATGTGCGAAGTAAATATCAGCTAATTTTTTTTTAGAAAATTCTCCTCGAAGGCATCCATCGTTTTGGGCAGATAAATCTCGCTTTCTTTGTAATATTCAAGTAAAGAAATAGCCGACAATGAATGGGATGCTTTTCTCAAACATACAGTAAATATAATCTAATTTTCCTTGGAACAATCAAACGATAACTGTTTTCAAGTACGTTAATTGTTTTGATTACATAATGCTCGAGTCATTTCAACTGAAAATTATTGAAAAAATTCCCGCTTAAAATTTTCTTAGATTCCCCAGTTATCGTACAAATTCAAGTTATTAAAATAGTTCAAGTTATTAATAATAAGAATAATAGTTCAAGTTATTAATAATAAGAATAATAGTTCAAGTTATTAAAATACATAAACAACATCGCTGTCGAAATACACATCGTATATTCTGGAGCAAGGATTCTGGAGCATAAAGCGCACCTATAATTTCAAAGTACATTTTTCAGTTTTCAGGTACATTCGTCGTATAACACGCATCGTTTTGTTTACAAAACGATGCGTGTTATACGACGAATAAACCTGAAAAAAAAAAAAAACCTGAAAGACACATGTGCGATGTTTTAATCTTTTAAAGTCATTCATTCGAAGATTTTTTTCCAGGCTTTTCAGCAATGGTATATTGAATTGACAAAACTATAAGGGGAACAATATGCGTGTAGGAGAAATGCTTGAGGAAGTAAATAATTGTGCAAAGAAGATACGTTGTGTTCAAGGCAGGCGTGCACAAGAATGTTGTTCTAAGGTTTCGAGAAAAGAGGGACGTTATTTGAGGTCAGAATGCGCTTCCGAACAGAATGAATTCGCAGAATTAGCAGTTACATGTTTTCTCCTCATGTCAGGGCCGGATTTAGACTTGGTAAGGCAAGCTATTTGAGACATGGTGCCCTTTATAAGTCCAGATATTATACGTCAGTGCCAAATATGATTTTCGGATATCTAGAGGGATTTTGGGTGGCCTCCAAGGAAGCGGGGGTCCTAAGCTATAGCTTACGGAATTCCTACACTGCTTCCTGCAGTTATCGGAAGCCGTGATTTTAAAGTGAACATTGAAGGCAAGGAAAGAAAAGGGAGTACAAATACATCATACCTTTGTTTTGTCTAGAAACAGTGTGTGAGTGGATAATGAAAAGCATGCAATGAAATTAAATCCGATACAATTCAAAAGGTCATTTAAAATGTAACATATCTAACAATCTAGATGGAACGGAAGATGATTATTTATTTATGGATCAGAATAACAGTGATGGTGAAGATGAAGTAGAATTCGATGATGTTCCTGAAGACAAATATGATGAACTTATCATATTATTAGATAAGAATTAATTAAATTTTTAAAAGTTCATAAGGAATGTCATTTCTTTTAAACACAGCATTCAGGTACATGTAGAAATCTAATTTCTGTATACTCTTCTTTTTCTTATTTTTAAATCTATAATTTTTATATACGACGTATAACGTGCAACCATAAATTTCTATGTTATATTTTGTATTAAAAGTGCATATTACACGCTATTATACGGTACATACACAAATATTATAAAAATTATAAGCGGGAATTCTTCGCGCGAAAATTGATGGATATTCTGTATAATTTAGAAGTTTGTTTTACTCCGCAATTAGTATCATCCATATTTTTGAGAAACAATTTATTTTAAAATAAAAAAATGACATTTTCCAGGAGAAAAGTACTTAAAGGAAAGTAAAAGATTTTATCATTTTCTAGTTGTTACAAGTTTGTTGTTATGGGTACCTATACAAGTAACATACAATAAAGCAATTATATAAGGTAATAAAATGTGTTGTTAATAAAATCTGCGCAAAGCTACTACTGTCATAATGGTCAAAGATGGATTACTGAGCTACAGTTGTCATACAGCACGAAAACTGAAAACTTTTCATCAACTGTACAAAATAAATTCAGATGCAGTATATAAAAAGCTAAAGAATTTCCTTCTGTTTCCTAGCTCATGTTGTAAACATGATATCAGACTAATGAAAAATAGGAACATTATATTTTTTATACATGTATTGCAGAGACTATAAGCAGTATCTCCATGCTGTTTTTAAAGGATGTGGTAGGAATCACCTCATAATGATACCCCCCTCATGAAGAAGGAAGCACTTTTGAATAAGTCGGCTACTGTTTTAAAAGTTAGAAATCTTTCATAAAGTTGCCCCGACATAAACTTATCTCATCCGAGGAAGATCTATTTCTAATCAATAAAACGACGCCTCATAAAAGGGCTGACACCTCTATGCCGGGGCAAAGCAATGCAAATAGGTATGCTACAAGCAAATAGATATTCAAAGTGCACAGCGGTGCCTCAGCATTACGTTACACGTACCTTTACGATTGCTTTTTTTCAAGACAGAAACTGATGTGCATAAGGTAGCGAACACCTTTATGCCGGACCATTGTGAAGGTTTCTGTCTTTTCAAACAAGAGCCGACTTGCTTAAATTTTCTTCCAGCATACTTTAGGTCAAACAGCAGAAACTCCATCTTTTAATTCTTTAAAGTAAAGCGACGAAGAGTGATGATCTTTAAAGAAATACATTTTGTAACATAAAAAACGAGCACCAAGAAGGTGTTATTCGAATGGAAAAAACTGCGTATGTTCATACCTTAAGATATAATATGTAATTATTAACTTTTGGTGGCCAGTGACTGACTAGCTTTAGATCCAGCGCACTGTAAGGGAACATCCGGATGGTAAAAAACAGTAAATGCAATAAACAGAGGACATTCCAAAGTCTAAAGCAAAACTCCTACGCGAATGTGGTTCCACCGACTCACGTGGATTATACGAAAGTCTTGTAGACGAGTTTGCGAACAATATCAGCAGACGTCACCGTTTGAGAGAGGAAGTGCAACTGGATTAAAGGAAACATGCTGGTCAAATTCAGGGTTGCTAGACATTTGGGTCTGAGCGATGCTACTATTTCACGATGCTGGCAGAAATGATGAATTATTGCTTTACAGAGCGTCAAAAAGGTAGCGGTTGATGAGCGAGATGAAAAAAATTCTAGGACAGAATGATCGTCCGATCAGCGCTCACGACCCCTAATTCGTCATTATCAACAATCTGTAACAAGGACACCAGTGATTGTAATGACCATTGACTGGCGACCCAGCGAAAGGGGGATGAAGGTCGGGAGACCACTACACCGATTGCCTCTCACCATTGCACACCGCAAGGCACGATTGAAGAGTTGCCGGGGTCTTTCAATATGGGAACTCACAGGTTGGAAAAGAATTGTTTCCAGGGATGAAGCCCGCTTCGAATTGAGCCCCGATGGCCAGCGAAGACGTGTTTGGAGACGTTCAGGACAGCAGTGGGATAATCACCTTACTGTTGCCCGCTACACAGCCCGACAACGAGGATTTATGGTTTGAGGTGCCATTTCATTTGGTTGTCATCTGTGACACCTTTACAGCACGACGATACCTCGAGGAGATTTTATGTCCCGTGGTGTTGTTTCTTCCTTTCATGGGCAGCTGGGCTTATATTTCAACCAGATAATGCCCGCCGCACACGGCACGCATTTATGCTGCTTGTCTTTCGTTCTTCTCCAACACTTTCCTGGATGGCGAAATCGCCAAATTTCTTCTCAGTAGAGCACGTTTGGGCTCTGATGAGCAGACATCTCCGACTGCCTCTCGATAACGCAGTTCTAAGTCGCCAGGTGGAACGTGTATGGCAAGCAGTCTCGCAGAAGGACATCCGCCAACTCTACGAGTCAATGCACAGCCGGATAACAGTTTGTATTAGAACTAGAGGTGAGCCAACGCAATTTTTTTTGGTCTTGTTGCTGCCTTTCCTGAATAAAGCGTTCAATTCCTATGATATGATAGCGTTTCGTTCTCAGTATATGTGCATCACATCTACCGATTTTCGTCCCATTCGGATGATTCCTTCTTGGTGCTTTGCTTTTTATGTTATAGAGGGTATAATCACATTTTATCTTTTTTAAGTTAATAGATAACAGCAATATACGCAAAGAACATAAAACATTTTCATTATCCAGGCTCCAAGTTAATATTATAAATGCTTTTAAAAGGAGTAATTGATTACCCATCCTGCAAAGAAAATTCATCTTACCTTTAGAAATTCTGTACGTAATAGCATTATTTACCCCTCTGTCACCATCAACAGCTTTGACTGATAATACTGCAGAATTCTATAATAAAAAAAGGCGGTTATCAGAATGTAAGAAACAAAGGAATAAAAATAATTTGCAGTAAATTATTAAGAAATAGTTATTAACTGAACAAATAAACTCCTGATACACTTACTTTTATAACAATAGATACTTAGTTTTATAATTAATAGTGTTTTAAGAAAAGAGAATTTAATGTATACATTTCTTTCATAAGGATTGCATATACTTTCAAAAACATTTCACTTAGTAATTTTAATATTTAATTTAATAACTGAAAACTATTAAATTATTTACAACAAATAGTTAAAATTTATTCGTTGATGATCCATAAAAAATTTATAGTTTGAAAATTAATATTAAAACTCAGATCTAGAGAAGAAGAATTATTGCAAAGTAGAAAGCTTCAATGACGTATGTATCAAATAAATAATTCAAACTGCAGAAAACTTTAATTACGTGATGTATTAAATAAAGAATTAAGACTTTACTTTTACAAAGCCAACCTGCGGTGACATAGAATAATAATAATCACAGCAATACATAACGAGAAATTACCTCTGGCAATTAGAAGATAGCAAATTGCTTTAGTTCTCGTTTCCGTTGCATTCATTCCTAACTAAATTGGTAGGATTTTTGATCTCAATGTCCAACCGCTTACTAATTACTATCACAAACTGTACTTACAGATTCATTCTTTTCCAACCGGAACCTGAAGTCTCTGAAGAATGGGTTGGCTTCAGGCTAACCGCAAGAATCAAGATGCATAAGAAACGAGCTAATAAAACCACCTCAGAATAATTGGGCAATTAAAAATAAGCCGAAATCTTACAACATTATACATACTAAGTTAAATATCCCTTAGCCCAAAAGTATGCTGTCTCATATGACATAGATATGCGTGATCAAAATAAAGACTACTCGAACACTTTTGCAGTAGGTAAAGGCTTTGCCAACACGACGAATGAGCGAAAAGAGCTAAGTCTGTTCGGAATGGAGTATGATAACCGGCACCCATAAGTTCAATCATTTAATCAAAGATATATATGGTTAATTAAGTGCGTTGGATCTACTGTTAGTTTTGTTGTCATGAAGCACAAACGTCATGGAAGTATTTAATGCAACATTCGCCTGTTAGGTATAAGAAATTGCGAGACAGGCACTGGCAAGAACATCGTAAAACGTAATTTTCTGATAGTCTTTGCCATTACTACAATTAACTTCGAGTTCAGCTGGTAAAAGAAGCCAATAATGGAATATTCACTTTCAGATGGTAAATTTGGTTCACCTTGAGATGACTGCATTTGCATCACGTTGCAGTCACGTTAGTCACTGAATGCATGTTTTAGATCATTTGGAAAAGTGCAAACAACATTGCAAACGGAAACGTTCTTAATGTTCTCTGGAACGATGAGGTATTACGTATTTTTCTTTCCCGATGTAAGAATGTTCCTAATTTATACTGGATAGATTTGAATCTCTAGTAGGACAGCCACAGCGTTCAATATTTTGTCACAGAGAGAGGAAGCACCCAAGTTTGCTAGCGTACTTGTAGTTTATCATGGCATGGAAAATGATGCCGTGGCAACAATACCGACCTTAATTCAAGTACCGTAAAATCTATGGTTGGCAGAAAGACATAAGTATGAAAGTGTAAACTTGAGTGTATTACTAGCTAAATAATACAGGTATTGTTGATTTATGAGCATTAAGATGGTTGTTGATGTCTGGTTGGGAGTCAGTGAATTTTACATCGATTTAAATTTTAAGAGATTTTCTTTTGCCGTGTGGTGAAAGATCTGTTTCACAAAAATTTTAATCTAGACTTGATGAATATATATAGTGCAGAAGCATACAGATTTATGAAATAATCAAGTACATTGCGATACCTAGTACACAAATACTACATAGCTAATACAGATTAAGAGATACATTGCGATACCTAGTACACAAATACTACATAGCTAATACAGATTAAGAGATAAAATTAACATAGAAACATTAACATAAATTATAAGTGATAATGGTCAATAATTTGGATAATCAAAGTTCAGAAATCAGCACAGATAATCTGAACTGATTAATAGCAGTAGTTTTTTTTAAAAATTCTTACGATATAAATTTATTGAGTTTAAAATTTAATTAAAGTTATTTTTTATGTTAATTACATACTTAGAAACAAAACATTATTCTACTTTTCTTTAGTTTCAATGAAAACTCCATTTAAACGTTTTTACAGCGGAATAAGCAAAGAATAGTTTTCACTAACTGGAGGTAAATCTTCGGGTATTCTGGTTACGGATGGTACCGAAATGAACACAGGAGGCTGGTCTTCTACATCTTCAACTTTCACCAAGATGGCAGCAGTAGCAGTATTCCTCCGTCCAGTATTGGCACGATCCTGTTTAATAATGAAAATAATTTTAACAGAATCAACCAAGCATAATTTAATTGAGTATAAAATGTTATTTCAGGGCCAGTTAAAACTGGCGTATGGTAAATGTAACGAATGCACTCCAGTTTCAGTTAAGAATAATTTAACTGAAATCTGGCATTAATTGCCTGCTAAATTATCCCCAAATGTAAAAGAGTTTAAACCACTAAATCTATCTCTTTTTGCTAATTAAATAAAGCTTTACAATGAAATTTATCTCAAACTAAAGCTGAACTGAGTTTGATTTTTACAAGTGACAAAAAATCTTAAAGGAAATAGCAAAAAGAAAAAATGCTAGGAAGTGGTTTAAACTCTTTTATCTAAAAACACTGGTAAAATTATTTAGCCTCAGTATAATTCATTTTAATGTTACTTGTTTCTTAACGAATTCTGGTAATTTTATGAGGCCTGCATATACATACTACTAATACTTTACTTACTATAGCCAGAACTCTCAACTGGTAAAGTCCTTTTCTTTCATAATCTAATGGCCCAACGAGATTTATGACTCCTTTTCCTTGGCTAGTTTGTACTGAAAACGTTTCAGACGTTTCTTTGTCCACATTCTGTCATGAATTAAAAAAAAGAAAAATTAGAACATTCAGAAATTATTTATCTGAACTTGAAATTAGTCTGAGACAAGTTAAAAAAGTTGTCTCAGATCGACAAGACGAGAATGTTGTTTCAGAATGAAGCTGTGAATATTCTGAGACATTTTGATGCTCAAGGAAAGAACTTACTCCTAATTGATATATAACTTGTCCGAAAGGTCCCGCATCACTATCTATTGCTTCTACAGTTTCTAAAATTTTGGGTGGAGAATCCTGAAAAAAAAAATCTTACAATGAAGAACAAAAGAAATGCCAGAAAGGAAGACATTAGCATAAAAAATGAAAAGAACGATGTAATATGTGATCTATCTCTTTTGATAATTATTTATTTTTTTAGATGGCGGCATTAAAATTGACTGTTGATTTGAGCACTTCCTTTTCTCCTTTTCATTGCACATTCGAATTTAAAAATAGCGTTTTAGTTGTGCCATCTAGGAAATAACTAACTAAAAGTCGTAGATAGCATACTACTTTATTACCAAGTTTTATATTCGTTAAGCTATTAAAGATCAGCATAAGGCGCATGAATTTCTAATTATATCCTTAAGTCTTCTTAGAAGAGAAAAGTCAGAAACTATCTACAGACTAAAAATATTAGGAAGTTAATAATTACCTCACGGACATTAATAGTTGATCTAAAGGATTTAAATATAGGTTCATTATCATTCACATCTTCAACTATAATAAGCATGGAATGACGGATCTGAAAAAAAAATAGAAAAAATACTCATATTTTTGATAATTAGAAGCAAAAAATGCAGTAAGATATAAAACTGAAGAATTCAAAATAATTATTCCAAATTTTCAGAAAACCTGAAAGACTGCTGGTGTCTTTCAAGTTTAGTGAAAATTTTAATAACAGTTTATTGAAGCTCTACTGTGGCTTTGACTATAGGATGAGTAACGTCATCCATTTATTTTTTACTAAATCAAAATTGAAAGCAGAATTTTGAAAAGCAAATTACTTCAGTATTAAAGTTTATTTAAACTTATACGGACTTTTTGGAAATCCGTCAAGTTGTATTTCGTGAAAAAACAGCAGTTGAATGGTGATGATATTTTGATGCCAGATATCTGGATATGATTTAAAGGATTTTATTTTCTGCAATTTAAAATCACCCTGAATTCTGGTTTCAACAAGTTAAGTTACTGTCATTACACTCAAGGCCATTATAAGTCTTCTCAATTTCAAAAACTTCCTAACAAACTCTCGGACGGGCAGAGTTATCGACAGGTTATAACTGCAAGCGAGGCTGCCAAAAGCTGTAGCAAATAATATGCATTCTGGTGAGGACTACGAAAAGACATTATAAGGATCAAGCAATTATTAATTAGTTAAATAACATAAACTTTACAACATTTCTTGCATGTATAATTTAATAAATCCTTTATATATACTAGAAAAACATACTGGAATACAATGCACTTCCTGATGTTTTTTGAATGCTTTTTTAGATGCTTTTAGAATGCAGAAGGCTTTTTTAGGATGTTTTTCTGGAACGATTTTAGACTATTTTAGAATATCTTTTATTTATGGAAGTCAGTGAAAATAAAACGAAGATGTAACTATTGAATTAAAAAGGCCTTCACGCTGATATTTAAAGACTTTAAACTTCAGAAAGCAGATATACAGATTTAAACCTTAGGGCACTAAATTTACAGTTCAGTTTACACGCTCTTTTTATAATTTACGATTTTTTAAAGTAATAAATTAACGTTATTATAAAATAAAGTAAATTAAAAAAATAAGACTGCGTTTCAAGTAAAATATTTAGAGTTCTAACATGTACCCCATTGAGGTTAGCTTAGTAAAAGTGTTGCATTTATTACACGTTTGGTTACTATTATATCGCATTCCCCATTCTAGTACTTTAGCAGAAACAAAACAAAGCAAAAAACAAACCAAAAACTAAACTTACAAACTGTCCTTCTCCCAGTCTTCCATCTGTAAGCGTGAGGACCAATGAATAGGAATCTGCCACCTGTAAGATTGAAACATTGAAGATTAATATTACTGAGATGAGAAATTTGAAAAGCAAAATTGTTGCATTAATGCAGCACTGTAGTAAAATCAACTATAGTTTACATATCCTTAATGTTAATTAAGTTACTAAAGACTTCAAATAAGACAAAAGCGTTTCTGCGGCTTACTTAAATGACCATCATTTATAATTCTGAAATGATGTGGGAATAAGTTCCTGACCTTTTACATAGTTTAATTTCATTTTAATAATATATTTAAATGCTATAATTTATAACAGAACAAATGACAATTTTTATAAACATTTATGGTATAACTTTAATTAATAAAATTTTTCCTAACACCACATATTATGTATCGTGGTACGGAATTACTCACTTGCGCATTTTTTATTATTTTTTTTAAAGTACTTTCTACCGTCTTGATTTAATTTCTAAGGTTGTTTTGAAGGAATTTTTCTCTACTACTGGAATAAATTAGGCCAATTTTCTGGTTCTTTTAATTCGTGGCCCTTGAGAATAAAGTATCTAATTAATATTATCAATATGAGGCAAGAGATAGAGGAAAAACTCTAAATACAGCCGCTCGTAATGCTGTTTTGAGAAAGCTCTAAATAGTAAAAAAAATTTCAAGTAACTATTATTGCTGCAAGAAACTATTGCAAGTAAGTGTTTTAACTATCATTATTATTAAGTAATTTCAGACTCTTGCAGCCTAAAGAATTTAACAGTAATTTTTTAAAAATTCATTAGAAGATGTATACAGATGAAGATTTTCATTTATAATTCACCGTTTTGCGCTCCCAGCTGAAAATGCTACGTCACACTAAAAGTTCAGTGGTAAGCATAGAAGTTTTAATTAGACCTTGTGTAAAATTTAATTTAACGAATATACTCTTTAATGTAAAATTAGGCAAAAAAGTGATCTTATTTTGGCATAGATTTTGAATAAATGATAACTTATCAGTTCCGAATGCGACCAGATACAAGTCCCATTGTTTCAGAAGAAAAAAAGGATTGCAAAATGGGAGAGGCCTATTTAAAAATCTTGTGCTTAAAAAAGGCTGCTCTTTTGCCTAATTCTATATTCTATATTTGCGTGTTTTCCTCCGTAATTCGTAATTCAAAAAAGAGCTGAAAGTGTATTTCGATAATGACCACACTGGCAGATTTTATTATAAACATTGGTTTGAGAAATCGAAAGATTAGAAGCTGTTTTTGCTATTAATCTGCACCAATTACGATTATTTCTGTTATTGGATATAAACTACCCAATAACACAAAAATATTTAATATGGGTAATGAAAAGTGAGATTAAGATACAATAACATCAAGAGCCATCAGTTGCTGTGTATATTATTGTATTGATATTCTCAGGTATTTTACATAAAAAAATGAAGCCAACTTATCCTGTTGTTAACAACGATGCCATCTTCGCCATTAAAAATTTGCCTAAAACTATAATGTTGTAACATTGAAATGTTAACCGAAATGCAGTACGGAACTAATATATTATCTGTAAATCTTGTAATTTATCTAATTAGGAAATTGACATGTTTAATTCATGGGAACCACTACGATATATAGATTTTACATTATTGAAGAATTACGATATGCGTATTGTTTTACATATTTTAGATGCATATTGTTTTGCAGTAACTTGCTACGATTAACATGAAAATATGTATATTAATATTAACCAACATAATAATTTAAAAATCAGTTATGGATAACAACTACATACATACCTTATCCATCAGACAAACCTGAATATCTCTACAAAAATATAATAATAATTGCATAATAGGACCTTATCAAATTTTTTAATCTTCCGAAATTTGCGTAACCAAGAAAAGCGCGGGATTAATAAAAATTAGAAAAGGAACAATAAACAATTACGTACTTTACAAACATTACAAAATAATGATATGGTATGATGCTGGCGACCAGTATGCTCTATGCATTTTATAGTATTGTTAACCAGTTAACTGTGATTGACGATTATACTCGTCATGCGTATAATGAAATGGAAAGATAAGAGAGAGGTTTATTTAGTAAGAACGGTTCATAATGATAACGTAATAGAAACAGAGAAAAGAAAAATAATAACAAAGGAACCGGAGCTAGTGATTGATTATAATATAATAAAAAATGGGTGGAGTGGATATGAGCGATGGAATTATCATAGCGTACTCCACAACAAGAAAACAACTCAAAAAGTACTACAAAAAGATATTTCTCCATTTCTTAGACATTATGTGTCTGAATGCATTCACATTATATTAAAAAAAATAATGGAACTTTATCGCGCATCAACTTTTTGCTCAAATTTATTGAAGACACTTTAGCGACGTATCCAGTTGAAAGAAATAAATCGACACGTACTCGGCCATTTAGACCTAATATTAGCCAATTGAGTGGGAATCATGTTCCGGGTTAGGTGTTCGCATTGCTACGTAAGATCAGGAAGGAATCGCGTTACCGGTGTTCGATTTGCAAAGTTCCATTGTGTATAGTACCCTGTTTCACTGAATATCACTCCACTGCAGGAATTTAAATTCTTACTTTTATATGTATAATGTTTAATTTAATTTATTGCGTTTTTAGTTTAATATGTATGTAATATATGCTTATGTTAACCAAATAAGTAAATATTAGTAATAAAATTTTCAAATGATAGCAATTAGTCATAAACAACTAGCCGTAACTAGGTGTATACTGCAGCGTAATATTTTGATTTATACTCAGATCTGAGGTTTTAGTGTATTTTTTTGCAAATAATACAATCATCCGTTACGATCATCGCAAATACTGTATACCTTATAATTATATAATTCATTGCGTACTTAGTGCGAACACGTTAAAAAAATGTTGTAAAGAATATTCTGTGAAATATCTTGTTGGGCCTACTTCTAGTGTGGGCTGACTGTGCGGCCAGTAGGTACAGTAGTGCATGGAGGTAGGAAGTAACCTACGTCCATGCAGTAGTGCATGCAGTAGTTTTCTACCTACATGCAGTAGTGCGGCGGAACAATGCCTAAAGCCACCGAGGAAGTTTTGATACTCTGCGCTTTTCCGAACCCCTGGGTATGAATTACCGAATAGGTTGTAGTGATGTACAAACTCATAACAAACACAAAATGAGACAATGGAAAACAGGCTATCATACAAAGGTAAATTATACGAGAGAAATCGAGCTTTCTCATATTAATATTTGACTATATTTTGAATTGGGGAAAAAAAAAATGATGCGAATGCAGAAAAGTTAAAGCGAAATTTAATTGAGATTTATAGCATATAATAGCATTCGAATCATCTTAGTTATATTAACATAAATAGGCAAATAAATACTTTATCTCTGCAAAAAATCAACATTCTGTTATTAAACAAAAAAAAACAAAAAAAAAAAATCATTAACTGGAATCCCTGATATGCGAATATCAGACATCCTAATATTTTAATAATTTTGTTAGCATCCAAAGAAAAAAATTCATTAAGAAACAATGTCTCTAAATAATTTACTTGTTGCCCTGAATTAAGCAGTAAGTTGTTGATATTAATATTACGTTCCGCGTAGCGTGGCAGCATTTTTCATTTTTCTATTTCGTCTAGCTAGAAATTAGCAAAGAATTCCCAAAGCAAAATAATATCTTAATAAAACCCTATGAAAAAATTAATTAGCCAAACCAAGGCAGAGTAAAAATACACACCAAAACAAACTTCTGGAACTGATAGCCAAAGAAATTAAATTTTATCTGCATTTTTATTTAAATATTTAAAACATAAAAAAAAAAAAAAAATTCTCCGTATATTTTCCATAAGCAGAAAGAAAAATAGCGATAAACTACTTTCTGCTAAAGATTATTAGAGATCGGATATCGCCTTAGGGATGTACTTTGTTTTGTGCCAGCAATTGTTTCTCGATGCATGTCAATCAATGATATAAATCCTTTCAATAATTCATGATTTTTTTATTACATTGCTAACTAATGAGCATACTTCATAACATTGGTCACATGACACAGCACATGCCTCCGAAGCTCAGTGTCCTGTCCTTTACATTTTATGCTCTTCAGCAGCTTCGGGCTTTTGAATATGCTAATATATTCAACGTTTTATCTAACTTTATCCAGTCCTTTACCAATAAATGTACAAAAGCATGACATTCAATATCAGCCATGAATATGAAATATTCGATGTAAAAAATATAACTTTGAAGCTATTAGATAAGTGAACCGATATGGGGACTGCATTATAAACAGGGTGTTGCAAGACTCTTATTTAAATCTCACATTAAGTTAGATAAAATTTAAACCCAAGCACAAACCGAAAATCGTGTGAAAATTCTTTTATGCAGAATGATGACCCTTCAACTATAATTTATTCATGTTACATTATTATCTTACATTTTACTGCGTTACACATTTATTGTTTCCTTAAATTTATTGAGCTTTAAAACTTAATTAAAGTAGATAATTTAGTCAATAATAATTAATTTTTCGTTTGACTATTTGAATAAACTTTTGTACATAGTAAACTTAAAAATATACAAGACATATATCTAATGTAGATTGTAATGCATAAAGAAGTATTATATTACTAATTCAGGACCACCAAAGGTGTAAAAAGTATGACTTATGTTTATTCATCAGCTATTTTTCATTGCCATTTTCTGACATTTTACATTTTGAATGATATACCTATCGTACAATTCTTTTAGAAATATATTGTTATACTAACTAAGCCATTAATTTAGAAATAAAAAAAAATCAGCATTATATTTGCAAATTTTATAACAGGACTAGTTTCGATGCTTTTACCGAACCATCTTCCTCAACTGCCAAAGAGCAAATGAACGAGATAAGATATAATGATAAGATAAGAATGGCTGTAGAGGAGTTAAGTTACTGGCGCTATCTATTGATGAAACAAGAAAACTAAAACATAATTTCCTTAAAGGCTGAAGGTAAAGATGGATTGGAATTTGGGTCGTTAACTAGAACAGAGAGATTTTTTGAATGTGAAACGCCTCTAGAAAATGTAATTCACCAATGGAAGTTGTTTTTTGAATAATTTTGTCTGTTTGATTGCTGTTTGACTTTAAATTAACATTTGTTCGGCGTGTTATCTTACCTAAATTTACTAAAATATTTTATCGTATTCTCCTATTCATTATCGTAAATGAAAAAAAAAATTGGGTATCATACTTCAACGGAAATATCCATTTTGACCGTTTATGATTCCATTTGGATGATTTTTTTTTTCCGTGACGTATATACGTATAGATACGTATAGAATAAAGGACTTTTTATTCTAAAACGGATTGTAAAATGGATTTAAAGTAGATTTAAAAGGGATCATTTCATGCAGTCTGTACGTAAGTATATATTATATATTTTAAAATAAAAAAGGCCGTAGATTGTTAGCATAAATTTAGGTATTTTGCATAATGAAACTCGAAAAGCATACGAAACGAACGTGCGCCAAGGTGTATATTGGCGAGAGAAAGTAAAGCCCGTGTGCAATGCAGTATATTTGATTTTCACCCTAGCTACTTGTACCTGGCCAAAGGTCTAATCCAGTAGTACTTTCTTCTCTTTCAGGTACGATGGCAAAGTATATTCCTGTTTATTTTTCTTATTGCCTAATATAGGTAAGCCTGATGATATTTAGTACTGATGATGATTCTATGTAAGTTATTCTTTTGAATGCTTCAATTTTAATGTCCGTGAACATTATTACTTTTTGTTATGCTTAAGTTAAGCAAAATTATCCTATTAAATAAAGATTTCGTAGTTAATTTTTTTGACTTATGATTCTTTAATTCTGTGCTTGAGGAAACGTACTCATTACGCCTTCAGTGCTAATGCACAACCAACATATATCCATAAGATCAGACGTAGAACTTTGAAATTTGGTTATAGGACTGCTATAACATTTAGATGTGCACCTCCCTTGTTTATTGCAATTTTCAGTGCCAAAAGTGTATATATATATATATATGTATATAGATATAACCCAACCCCTAACCCTGTTTAAAAGTCCTTAACCGACAATTATTATTTATTTTCGTAATCGTTGGTTCGTAGCCAATATATTTCCAATTACAGAAGTGTGTTTTAAATGATGAAAATATTCACGTTTTGGTAATGCCAAATTAAAAAAAAAGGAGAAATGCTGTTTCTAAGCGCTATGAAATAATAAAATTATAAGAAGACCATACGACAAAAAAATGACCAGAATACTTAATTTGCAATTTTTGATGCTATTTTCAACTTGCCTTGGTGGATCGGTTACTGAAGCTCGAATAATTCAAGGAAATAAGTTTAAATGATTTGGGAAAAAAAAAAGTGTATAATTTAACATGCCATACAAGGAAGTCATGTGGTATTCACATCAAATTTTGTAGTTTAATTATGAACTTAAATTTTACTTTTGGAGTAGGAATATTTTTAGAAGTTAAATTCAGATGCAATTTTTGCCGATTAAGCCATGTAAGATGAAATAAATCATATAAAGACAAACTCGGATGTCTTCATTCTTCCTAAATCGCATTACGAAAAGTAGAATCAAGCAAATTTTTGTAAAACAAGTTTAAACTTTGGCTTGAGCCCCACCAGTGACCAAGCAGTTAAAGACTGTTGAATGCTGGTAATTCGTCCTGGGTTAGAACACAGGCGAACGGGCTGGCTGCATGGTTGGTTCCTCCATATGTAAGGGTGAATGCGAACCAATTTCTGCTAGAAAGTCCTTCACCAAAGCATCCTTTCCCTGAGGCATAGACGCCTCGTTTGCTTTAACATTTTCAAATAAAGAAACCTGGCTAGAGTTTAAACCTTTCCCTTTCACGCTTCCCTCAGCCAAGATTGAAAGAAGAATTAGTTAAGAAGGAGCAAAAGAGAAAATGACCCTATGGTAATTTATTTGATCAATTAGTCCTCGAATATGTGCATCACAGAGAGAGAGAGAAAGATTATCAGAAAAAATAGTTTCTAGTTATTTCATTTAACAGACCCATTTTACTGTTATGATTAATATTTATGTTTTATTTTTCCAATGGCGGGCACTAGCCTATGCCGTACGTATCTATTACGTATCTTATCTATAGAGTTAGCGAAGATTAATTAATGTATTTTCGAGTTTGATTTCAAAATTCTGTAGTTTTGCTTACATAAAGTACAGGAATCAGACCTTGTGGAATGGTAATAGTGGGAAAGAACCCTGCTTGTAGTTACAATTTAGTTTTGATACATTACTAGCCATTTTAATCATAGCATTTCCAGGTTCACTTTATTGTCTTACATTTATATACCCTTTCGTGCGTCTTTGTCAATCTGGTATGAGGTTTAATGTCAACTGCTGAGAAATAAATGGAACCACAACTGTGCAGTGGTTTGACCACTGCACATGTGTTAGTCCCGTGATCCAAAACAGAGTGTTATGGAGCTTTCACAGGAAGGCTTTGTGGTCACAAATGGGATAAGCCAAACTTTGTTGTTAGGTTGTCAACATTTCTATGTCCCAGAAATTGATGAAAGAATATTGTTTAAATATTTACAGCTGTTTAACTTTAATTGTTTAATTTCCATTTGTTTAACCAACCTAGTATAAGAACCGACCACTCACAGCGAAGCAAACACGAGCTGACTTTAGGACAAACGATTTTTCTGAGTCATCTGCAATTCTCGCATGTGCAACTTTACCTTCCCTTACTGACTATGGTTTAAATCTTATTCCACAAGTGTGAAAGGCGTTATTGACTTTTTATGTGAGTGAGACAATAAAGACGACTAGACCATAGTGTGAACACTTCCTCAGAGACTAGAAGCCAATCTTAAAAGTGCACTCGTTCTCTAGGTAAGCAGTTTAGACAAGAAGTCTAGATCAGCGGCAAGCTCTCGTTTCGCTGAGTATACAATTACAATTATGCGCAGTTCTAGCAGTCCTTATAATAATAAATTAGCGTATTTTTCAAGGCAGTTATTCTACAGTTGTTTAGGGTATTTCTTAGTCTTCAGCTGTGGTGAGTGTTTAAAAACGAGGAACTAGTATATAAAAGTAGTAGCTATTTAAGCTTTTTAAGAAATATTTTTTCCAAATTAAAGTCATATCAAAAGTATGAAATTTGATAGAGCAATGTCTGCGTTTTGAATTCTATGCCGTAACCTATTTAGTCTATGGAATACTGACCTCCCTATCAAGTTCCTTGTTGAGATATACGTTGGCCTCTGACGCTCCGAGGCGCTCGAAACGTAAGATTTCTTTACCGACCGGTCCAACGACACCAAAGGTGAGACGATCGCCGTCTGCATCTTCACCACGTAATCTGTATAGAAGCTTACCTGAAAAGAATTATAGATATTAAATATTTTTCAAGGTAGGTATGAACAAAAAATTTATCGGCCGAGTGAAAGTAAATATATTTTGTTTAGTTATATTTTGCCTATATAAGACTGGTTTTTCACATTATTCATTCTGAATATCCCAGCTGGGTTCCGCAGAAGCATACTTAGGATTCAGATTTAGTACATCCGTCGGCAGGCGAATGAATCTGGTTTTCCTTATAAGACACATAATTAATTTTCTGCTGAAAGAAAGATACTATTTATGTTTCGGAATCCTTACCTGACTGCCTCATAGGCCTGAAGACATCCTATCGTATCAGATAATCTTGTCTGGAAAAATATAACTGATTACAAACGTCTAGTCATATTAAAAATGACTCAAACTAATTATTTGTCATCTAAAAGACAACCCAAGAAAACCAGTCTCCTACAACGAAAAATAACCATATAGCGACAAGGTAACCAAGTAGGCAGATTTATTTTAAATTTATGGATAAGCAATATTATTGAAAAAAAAAATAACACACAGGATATTCTGACGTATATTCAGAGGAATGTTATTAAAGTAAAAGAGGTTAAAAATATATAACAAAAAGCATTTGTAACATAAAAACACTAGTTCTAATAGTATAAGATGCGCACTAATGTTAATAGCAGCTCTCAAATTTATAAATCCATGCATCTCAATACTATTTTCTTTTACTTTTGCAGAGATAGGTAAATTAATATTTCTCAGCGCACAGAACTTTTTGGCAAAAATATGGGCTTCTCTTACAGTTTGAAGTATACGTGGAAGATGGTCACTGGATAATGGATAGGTATTTAATTCTACCAGATTAGATTTAATTCTACCAGATCACCAGATTCATTGATGTTTTTTATAGGGTTTCTTAAAGACCAAGGATATAGCAGAGGGCTGCAGAATGCGGAGGAATTACGCAGCAAAATTTATGCAGTAATCAGTAACGTTGCCCTAAGAAAACTCAATGTCTAGGTTGAAAAAGAGACTATCAGTTAATCATTTACAACCATCTCCCTACGAGTGAAGTTTCTGTTGAATTGCACTTACTATACAAAATTGTGTTTTGAAGTTCTGTACTTGGAAGAATATATGCCGGTAGGAAACGGTGACAAATTTAGATTCGCCAACAAGTTCCTTCATGAAATATCTAAGAAAATTGCATTACATGGATGAAAAGGCTTTTCAGAATTGCGGGTACCTTAAACTTGCCGTGTAAAACAAATCATTATGAATGATACTCGAAGACAATTCAATGAAATAGATATAATAATATAGAAATAATTGCTTACCAACACTGTCCGGCCCCTCTCGGACTTTGACCACTATTTCGCTTGCCCCGTCAAGGGCAAACTTTGGTGGAGAATTGGCTTTCACTGCAAGAAAAATATAAAACTATTGTCAGCTGTTAAAAATGATAGCCAAACAATGAAATAAATTCAGTTAGAGAAGAGGAAGAATGACCTTGTTTATTTACATTAGCTATACATAAATCACGTGATCTCAGGGTTTCTCTATAATGTTTGTTTACATTAGCTATACATAAGTCACCTGATCTCTGATGTCATCGGAATGTATCTCACTGCACTTCATATATGTGCATATTCAGCTTCATATATGTGTACAAGCATTCCCATACAGGTATATTTATTTTAAGAAAAATTTAATGCATTATAATTCAAATATGAATTGACCATGAATGTATAGCGTAATTTAACTGACGGTAGATGGGGAAATCTGGTTTGCACTAACAGTTACTAGATATATTCCCTACCCATTATTAACTTGGATTAATATGAATCGACAGTTATCGTGACAATGGACGACTCATCATCTTTTGAGAGCATACCGGCTGAGTTCTTATAAATAGTAACTAAGGTATTTTATAATTTCGATACAATGTAAGGTAAGTTAAGTAAGGTAAGGTAAGGTAAGTAAAATTACAGGCGCAAAACTTAAATAGATTATATTGTGCCAAACACAAGGCAAATGTTCTCTACTTTGTAAATAAGTAAATAATCATAAAAAACAAATAACATATTAGTGAACTCAAGATAATGCTGAGATGAACATATGCATGATATCCACAGAGTGAATTCAAATATAAAAATAAGTAAAATCACAAAATATCAAAAACATTAATATACATGAGAGCAAAACCCATTAAATTATTATAAAATTACATCAAATTAGATAATAAAGGCCGATCTCTTTTAGATATTGAAAAATCTTAAAATTAATTTTTTTCTGATTAAATAGTCAAGGGGCAAATCACAGTCATTAAAACACTTTAATCGAAGTCTGTTAAAATACAGACATTTTACTAGAAATGACGCACCAACAAAACATCATTACAGTTTAAACAAAGAGGTTCATTCTTGGCTTTTAAGAGGTAATTATGTGTAATTCAAGAGTTGCCGATTCTAAGATGAGTTAAAAGGACTTAATACAAGATGAGTTAAAAGGACTTAATACAAGATGAGTTAAAAGGACTTAATACAAGATGAGTTAAAAGGACCTTCCTCCGGTTTCTATTAGCCTCCCAATATTTTACTTTAGGTTTTATGCTTCTTAGTTTACTATTCACTTGAAAGTCCTACAATCATTTCCATTTATTCAGGATCTTCCATTTCATGACAATTCTCTTACCCTTAATAGCGACATACTATTAACTGTACAGTTCAATGGCAGATTTCGCTGTGATGCATACTAGCTGGTTATTCTTTTACTTCTTAATGCCCGAGAGCCCACCTGTAAAGAATCCGGTACCCACGACTCTTTAGTTTAAATTCATATTTAGAACTTTTTCAACAAACGGATTCTGAATCTCTGAGAATATTTCTAAAGCATTTAGTGAGCTGAAAGCGCAAGAATAAACTATGAATCTTTTCCGGTATAGTTTAGAAATACAAGAGCATAATACAAGCAGTCAGTTCAGAAGCGAGTGCAGACAATCGTCTTCCTTTCATATCATTTTTAATTATGAAAGATATTCCGGCATGACAAACTACTTAACATCCTTCTATGGAATGTAATTGTTGTATCTCTGTTTGTCCAAAATAAAACGTTGCTATATATATGTGCCGTTATTACGTTTTTTTTTTTGTCAAGAAGAACATCAAAAGAAGTCTAATATGCGCATTCTCCCATGGTGATACTTCAAAATGCTTTATTGCGTGGGTCAAAATGCTTTATTGCGTGCTTTATTGCCTAACACTTAAAGAAAATGAAGTCACATATGATGTCCTTGGCATGTCATCAAGGAAAATAAATTTATTAAGATGGTTAGGTTACAATAAATTATTGAATTAATGCAGAACAGGCAGCTTCTCAAGTCTCAGCTGGAGTGATGGTGTCGTACGAGTCAACACACGTACTCTAGAGGATTTTCTGAAGCGTCCAGAACAAGTAGAAAATAGGATCTAATTTCAATAAAACTAAAGATGTTGTTAATCCATACACTATTGAGACATAATCCAGTCTACAGTGTTCGAGTTCTCTAAGTGTGAAGCATTCCATTATGTTTGTTTTGCATTCTAAGAGGCATTCACCAGGACTGGAAGACTGTCTGGAAGTCTATGCTTGTCTAAAAAGAATTCAACGTCTCAACAAGAGATGCTGATAACGCTAAGATCAGAGCTTGAATTTCTATGACTGATGTAAAACTTGGACAATAAGAGTCGTTATTGAATTCACAATATTCAAGAAGGATCTGTGAATCGTTCAGAAAAATTTACAATTTACAAAACACAGAGTTTGAATATCATTATTATTTTAAAAGAATGTTTTTTCCACAGTTCGGTTTTTTAGAGACGTCTGCGAAAAATCACTAAAGAGGAATGGATTTTTCATTTGTCATTACTTTGCCCAACATATTGTTTCACTTCGGATGAACATGTACAGAAGGCAGCAATCTAAGATCGAATACTTTCTCCTTTTTTGCCATCCCACACATGAGACAATCAAGTACGAGTAATTTCATGCATTCTTGCTTCGGGTAAACAAGCCGATCATGAAAATATAAGCCTACATCTTGGATTCAAACTTTAATTCATCAGAATGGTGGGCAGCTTTACCAATAAAGAGCCAACGGCTCACAAATCATCTTTTGCTATTACAGTTACATAGATTTCATAATGGAAGAAAGATAACTTGGAACAGAAAACGGTCTTTGTCAAATGCATTTGTTTTACCCATAATCATTCATAATTGAATATAACCGTAACTTCGTTTTAAGCATAATTATTGAGAAAAACAGTTAGTGATATTTATCATTAGATTTATGTTTATCTCCCACACCATAACGTCGAGTCATTGAAATCAAATTACGCATTTAAGTAAGTGTGTACAAATCGGGATATAACTAGCTAAAAATCTGTTTCTTTTTCATGCGGGTCCATGGTAAACTGCTTTTGTCGTATCATGTAAATTGCAGTGTTTGCCTCACCAGCAACTGGCATTCACCCAGTAAGTGGAGAACGTTATTATTTATTCTATCAATTTACCATCGTTTAGGATATTCCAAGATATTAACTTTACAGTAATTTGTTGTAAAATTCTTTTCCATTCGATATCTGCTGCATTAGGAATGGGAGTTTTTCCAATGTTTGGTAGAGATATTAACTAGTTGTTACCGCATTAAGGAAATGTGACAGCATGTTAACTAAATGTTTTGAAATTACCGTATTTGAATAACATCCTTTATGTAAAATACAGCAGACCCTAAAACCTACATTAGTACATTTAGTATTTGTGTATAAATAAATGTTAAAAGGTAACTGAAATCCTCTCAGTTAGATGAAAAATGAAACTAGAATTTAAAATAGTTAATTTTTGAAATGTAAAATAAGAATTTCCCTAACAATAAAGATAATCGCATAAAATCAAGTTACAATTGATCTATTAGTTCGAAAGAAAAAAAATATTAATCTAAAATATCTAGTTTTAAATGATAAATAATTAAAAAAAAATAGCTGCGCTTAAAATATACAGAAGCACGATTAAAGTATTGAGCTTTAGTTTCCGTTTATATTTTGTAAAAGTAATAAGAAATATTTGGATACTCTTTTTCTAATTGTGACAAGTAATGGTTTGAGCGCTTTAGACGAACAGTGTAATCCAAAAAAGAAATACGTAATTTAGAAATTATTCAATAAAATTTTAGAGATTTATCAATATGAGAATTAAATTGAGCCTTGAAAGTCTAAGCGTGATATTACAAGAATAGTAATTTACCTGAAAGTATTCCGTAAAAGCATAGAAACAAGAGAAGGGCCACCTTCATCACCTGTGCTCCCTGCATAGTACCATGGCAGTACCCACCGTCAGGCCACGCCTACCTGTGGAAGAAAGAAACTCCGGATTAAAATCTATTTTTTAGATGCGTTATAGAAAACGAATTTTTTTCTAAAAGGTATACTAAAATAATTGATAAATTTTTGGAAAGTAAATGGCCGAGGGGGGAGAAGCTAAACGCTTATGCACGTATAACCCTAAAAAGAAAGTGTATGGGAAGAGAAAATTAATATTTTTCCCTCTGATTTTATTTGGAGGGGATTACTAATATGATCAAAAATATTCGGCATGAACTTGATTGTAAAACATAAGACCACAGTAGTGTGCCAAACATTAAATAATCTTCGAAAGGTTTCCTGCTTAATAAATTATACATCTAATATTATTTTATACAAAAGGAAAAAACTCTTAATCCATGGAGTGAACGCAGATTTTGTCCTGCGCCAATTGCAGTGCTATTTTTTAAACCTGTCGCTGATTTAATTCGCAGATATTTTTTACGTGCTTATTTCGCATTTGAGCTGTGCCTTTGCTGTTCTCAGTCAATCAAAATATCAATTAAATGTTTTAGCCCTCACTTTATTTCTAACCAATAAAATCTGAAATCTTTATATTTACTCTCCACTAGACGTTAGTTTGATCAGTGTCTGCTTTTATTCAGAGTAAAACGGACAGCATAACAGTTTGCTAAACAAAACTCAAGAACGCAAAGATGATCAATTATTGTTTACACCAGAAAGTACATCTTAAACCAGGTTTTAAGACTACTTACTTTGTAGAACCGATATTAATTACCGATCTTAAAGCTTTTGAAGAGGCACTAGAAGGAATGTGATCGCCTACAGACAAAACATGAAAGAGTTTAAATAGCGAAATTGATCTGAAGATACTGACATCCATGATTTATTAATGAGTCACAAATCTCATTCTGCTTCATAATTATTTGTCCCCAAAAGCAAAGAGTGGAACTTTTTAATCGCATGAAATGACAAGATAAATCTTAACACGGAGGATGTCCGAGACACGGTGGCCAGATGATGAATCGCTTCATTTTCAGTGGTCTTTACACCGCCTCCAGAGGATATAAGTTAATGAATCAATAACTCTGCTTCAAGCACTTAATGACGACTTTTATCAAAGTGTGTCGGAAAGTTGAACTTGAATAAATTTTAATTGCTGCTACGAATGACACCGAATCCAGTTATCTGTGCAATGGACATGTATTCTGTTACTCTGCATCTCAGAAGCTATTTATTTGTTCAGGCAGTCAGGCAGATTTCACGAGGTTTATGAAAGCGAAAAGGACAACACGTGTAAAATGAAATAAATAATTAAAAATGTGCATTTTAAGCTGGACATGATTTAATAAGCTATGCAGATGTTTTTTTTAAAGTATATTCTATTATGCGTTAAAAAGGGAACAAGCAATGCAATATTTCCAGCAATTTGAACTGTATTCCAATAAATAAGCAGAGCACCTGTGCTTTGTTTGTTCCTAACTCTGTTCGCGAATGAACAAAATTAGGAGCTCTTCATGACTATTATTAAATAATTTCTACCAGCAGAATTTTAAAATGGCTTTCGGAATAAAACTAAAAAGAAGAAATTGCTTAGCACTCAGAAATTATTTATCTTAGGTGGTATTTTCGAGCACATGTGGATTACATACGAAATTCATGGAAGTTCTATGGACTTATAAATGAATTCTTCAGAACTTCAATGGCATCTCAGCCTGATGATAACAGTAGGGACTGTCGAAGGCCGACCTGAATCAAAGATTTTGCAATGCTTAAGAAACATTTTCTTATCCCTAATAAATTAAAAACAAAACATTCTATTCAGCTACGTTTCTGATTGCAGGAAGAAAAGCTCATAAACGGTTTAATAGAGCACTTCGGTTTAATAGAATAATGGCTCGCTACATATTTACAGTGCCCTCATGCCAAACACATATTATACATTCACGCCTTCTCCGGGGTTCGAACCCGGGCCCTTCGGCACAGTAGTCAGAGCCACTAACCACTATATCACCTGGGGCGATTTCAGAAACCTTAGGAAAATTTATCGCATATCTCTAATTGATAATACCAATTTGATAATGAGCTGATTAAATAACTAAAACTTTTATTCTGGACACTGTGTGACGCAAATACACTTACTTAAACTCCAATTGTTAAACCTAAGTTTGGCATTCATATCGTTGCCAAACAAGAATGAAATCTGGCCTTTTACTAATTATTCCGATTTTTAATTATGTAAGAGCATAAAAACATATAACAGCGCAGAAGTTTTAACTCTTTATCCAATCTGCTGTTTGGTAATGTTTTGTTTTTGAATTTGCTTTAAATATGTAAAAAACCATTAATTCATATTCGATTAATAAAATAAATTACACAAATTATGTGAAAAATTATGAAACTAATGTTTGAAGAGGATTTCATGAGTATTTTTAAGAAGCAGTTTTACTTGAATTTAGGAAACATAGAATTTTATTTTAAATGTAATATGTTCTCATTTTTTGAGCAGATTTACTATTTTAAAATACAGTAAAATCACAAGCTTAAAATTCTTAAACCGCGAGATCTAATGTCACGAGATTTTCCTCTTATCAATAGCCTGGAGAATGAAATAAATCATATCGAAATTCTCCATGCTCAGAATTTTATTTCAAGTTTAAAATTCTTCTTATTCAGGTAACCTTTTCTTAATCTAATATACATTTCGGTTTCGTTTGCGGCAATATCATCAGTAAGAGGTCAGAGTTTATCGTAACTCCATAATTTAAGAAACAAGAACAAGAATATCTGTCATAAATTCTTGCGGAGAAATGTTTTTATTAGCATGTAAAATTATGTTGCCTGAAGGAAGAATGGAAATTTCTTGGTTATAGTATATTGTTTATTGAGGAATATTAATAGCTTATTATGAAGGGATTTGAAAAAAAAAAAAAAAAAAAAAAAGATGTATTTTCTTTTGAATGAAACTTCTTTCGCTCTTGAATTTTATAATGCCTTAAAATGTACATTTTCTCGCGGGCTTGTTTTGAAATACATTTTAAGATTTCTAGCTATTACTTTTAAATTGGAAAGATCTCGAAGGAAAATTTTTTGTAGTGCTTAATTTTTTTAGTTGGCAAATTTTGTGGCCCTAAAGAATAGAAAGTATTGCCACTTGAGCAACATTTTTGTTGCTATTCTTTGTTTTATTACCTGTTTGTGTTGTTTGAGGGCTTGTCTTAAAATGAAATGTAATATTTCTATTTATTGCTTTTAAACAGGAAATGTGTCAAGCGAAGATGTTTGTGGTGCTGAATATTTTTAGTTGGAGGATTTTTCAACAAGCAAAATATAAAGTACTGCCCCCCTTCTGTAGGAAATGTTTGTTGGCAACCTGAAGCACAAGCTACCCGGTGACAGAAATGCACAGCTGTATTTCGAATAATTAAGTCTTTTATTTATTAAATATGTCTACATGGCGTCTTTAATTTACAAAAAATAATTTTATAGAAAACTTTGCTTTTTACTGTTCTAATTTGCAATTTTGAAGAGCTCATTTTAAATATAAGATATTATCTCTTGTATCTTAAATTTCTGAGAGGATGGAGCTAAGTTTTAAGCTAGTAGGCCTATCATAACTGCTCAGTTTAATACTGTTTAAGTGCTCAATTGAAATCCGTATACCAAGATCAGATCGCTCTTTCTTTGTAATCTTATGTTTTTTTTTTTAGCCCAAAGGGGCAATTTTCCAGAAGGGCTATTAATTTCGTTTTGGCATTTTGCGTTGGTTCACTATAAACGGCGATTCACTTTTCAAATTATTGCCGCCAAATATTAGAGCCATGCATTATACTCGTATTTAAAGCAACTGAATAATGAAGAATCTGCATGAATGTATGTATGTTTCTCGCACCGTGAAAAAAAAGGTACCTAAAGACATCAAATTTTGAATAACATGGCCCTCCACTCGAATATGGGCATCTGCAAGCCCAAATTTGGAATTTGTTTTATTATTTATTTCATATTTTGTAAAACTTTAACGAATTTTTGATTAACTAACTCGACGATTTCAAAGCGATCAATGGCAACACTGTACGGGGAGTGGAAATATCTCCAGCGCACGAGACTGTGTATCGAAAATTCTAAAAATATGCTCTTTTAAAATTATTTTATGATATATCTGTTAAATTGAGTTTTATGGTTTAAGTGCGAAGAATATGATATTTAAATAATAAAAGTAACATACTAAAGTTAAAAAAAAAGCCCCATTGGGAGTAATATAAAATCTGAAAGCTTTCAAAAAATATTTTTTAAATATTTTCTTATTTTGTTATTAGTATTTTTCATTTTTCTAAAAAAAAATTTGGCCGTGAGCTGTTTTTAGCTTGTGCATTCGGCCTTTAGTGAATTTGAGTTTGAGACCACTGATTTATATTGTTACGTTTTTCTTTCTTCTGACACCAGTTGTTAGCTATTTTCTTCCTTCACGTTCGTACGGAGTTCGTAGATTTGGGGTGAATAACGACGACACTTGATGAAGTATCAAAACGCTCTTTATTTAGCCAGTACTAATCAGGACAGTTCCAAAATCACGTTACAGTCGTCGAAGAACTACTATAAACACGCTGACACAATCAGCGACACAGCCTTCAAGTTATTAGGCTATTGCGGTGGAAACAGCTTCACTGCAAAACACTAGAGTACAGTCAAAATCGTAAAAAACAACCTTATATTTAGCGTAGGTATAATGAAACACTCAATCGATTTCGAGGGCAGCTAAAGGTCCCTCCTCATCAGGAGAAAGAAATACATAGAAAGAAGAAAATAGGAATCACAGAAACACGTGGTGCTTATCAGCACTGCACGTGGTTATAACTAGATTTTTAATCAGAGTTGCACTGGCCGCCTACTTTTACTGAGCCAGGCTGTCTGATCAAGCATAAAGAAATATTAGCGAAGTTAAAATAGGGAGCGAGGGGCAAATGCACATTACGCTCAAATCTGAACTTCAATATGGAAAGCAACCACTGAACGGATTTTAGCCCTCT